GATTTCTTTGGTGGTCAACAGCAATTAAACAGCCAGCTTCCTGGCATGCTCCAGCCTTTTCCAAGGCAGCAGATGACGTTCAATGAAATGCAACAACTAAAGCAGCAAGTTATGGTTAAGCAAATGCATGAGTATCAAATGCAACAACAACAACTTCAAAAGCAACAGCTAGAGGCCAGGCAGCTGAATTATTTGAATTCAAATGCTGTTAATGGAAGTCGCTCAAGTGATAATCAATCACATGGCATCCCTCTTCAGAATGCGTCTAATAGTTGTTGGCAGCCTAACCTAATGACAGGTAATACAAACTGGATGCATCAAGGTTCTTCCAGTGGGTCTATGGCTACCGCTGAGCACGGGCAGGCAAACTTATTGGCACAACAGTTTGAACCTTCCTTGTACGGTATGCCTCTTGGTGGGCCAAATGCACCTCAAAATGCCTTCTCTTCCGTTCAAATGAACAGATTACCTGCGCAACATGGTCCTGCAAACAAAAATTCCTTGCTCACCAGTCAGCCAACCTCATTTCTGAATCAAGTTGATGTACATGATAGTAATATGCTCCCTAGATCCACATACCAGGAGCAACTGTTGTTCTCCCACACATCAGGTCCAGTTTCAGTTAATAGGCCCAATTCTGAAAGTTTTCAGCAAGATGATTCCCGCGAGAGGAACAATTCAGTGACGGAGAAATTTAGTAAGATGGAAGTCCCCGCTCCATCAGTAAAGACAGATATAAAAGTGCCTGAAAAGACAACTACATTGCAGAAATCGTCAACATTGGATCCAACTGAAGAAAAGATTTTGTTTGGTACGGATGACAATTTGTGGGAGGCGTTTGGGAACAGCACTGATATGAGTTTGACAGGAAATCTTATGTCCAGTAACTCTGACCTTTTTGATGCATGCCCTTCTTTGCAAAGCGGGAGTTGGAGTGCTCTTATGCAATCTGCTGTAGCAGAAACATCTAGTGATGATGCAGGCGTACATGAATGGGGTAGTAAACAACAATCTGTGTGGACTCACAACAATAATGCCCCACATGCAAATTCTTCAAACATACCTAGTGAGAGAGTCCATAGTGATTCCACTCAGACAGCTGTTCAACATTTGCATAACAGAGGAAATAAAGTTTCAAATGATGGTATGTTGGAGAAGCCAGTGGCTCAGCGCAGTCAAATGGTTGGAAATATGTTTCAAAAACCTTCAGGTTCTGGTGTCGATGGGAATTCAAGTTCTATCCGAAAGAATGAGGGCACTGAAGATAGACTTGGTATCTGGAAGGCTGCTTCCAACCCAAATCTAGCTGCTCTGAAGGAAGAGAATAGTCATTTCTCACAAAATCTACAAATGCAAAGGGCCAGCTACGGATTTGGCATTGCTGGTGCAGAAAATGTTTCCAGCCAACAGAAGTTGGATAGTAACTCTGTGGAGAATGCTATCCCTCAACTGAAATCTAGAGACGGCGGTCAGATTCTTGAGTCATATGGGAGTAATAATGCTGGATCAAATGAAATGCTAAAAGCTCGTGATTTGTCTATGTTACCTGGTGGGAAAGAAACACAACCTGGTCATGTTGGTGTTAGGCCGTCCATACCTCGCAAATTTCAGTATCATCCTATGGGTAACATTGATGTCACTGATGACTCTTGTCGAGAATTTTTTTCTCATTTGGGGCAGTCAAAGACTGTTGGTCAGCCAGCTATGAAAATTCAAATGGACAAGGTAAAGTTTTTTTTCCTTTGGTCTTTGACTATGCGGTGATTTAGAAATTTTAGTTGCTCTGAACATTTTTTTATACTTTTTGCTTCGTTATGGCAGGGACATGTTTCACAAAATAACTTGAATTGCACAAATGAGGCTTTTAAAGGCATGGGTTCAGAAAATTCGCCTAGTACGTCTGCTTCAGCTGACAATCAAGTGAAGAGTTCTTCGTCAAGGTACTTATTCTTTGAGTTGAAAAGGTTTTGTTTATTATGTATGCTTAAACTGTTCACTCTTTGAACACCTCTGTCAAGTAGCAATTTGTGCTTTTCAATTGCCTTTCTGAGATAAATTCTTTTGCAGGCTTGAGCTTCTTCACAAGGTGAACCAGCCGCACGAGCATTCATATGGTGATCGATTACCGCTTAGTCAGTCATCTGCTTCTCAGGCATTTAATCTACAGCTGGCACCTCCATCTCAACTAGCTCTCTCTCCTGATAACATGCATTTTTCTGGGAATTCTTTGAAGCCATTGAGTTCACTTCCCACTGCCCCTGAAAAAGGAGGAACAAGTCAATCAAGATCTGCTCCATGGGCATCNATTCATATGGTGATCGATTACCGCTTAGTCAGTCATCTGCTTCTCAGGCATTTAATCTACAGCTGGCACCTCCATCTCAACTAGCTCTCTCTCCTGATAACATGCATTTTTCTGGGAATTCTTTGAAGCCATTGAGTTCACTTCCCACTGCCCCTGAAAAAGGAGGAACAAGTCAATCAAGATCTGCTCCATGGGCATCTAATCAATCTTTTCCTCAGCAATCCACATTTCAAGGATCATTTCCTGGTATCCCACGAGAAAGCAACGTTAAATCTGTTTTCCCCTATTCCAGAGAGCATAACCGAAATCAACTGATGCCTTCTAACCAATTAATCAATTCATCTTCTGAGTTGTCTACCCCTCAAATGAATGAAAGAGATGAATGCAGTGACTTTGATCGACGTGGACATTCAGCACAAACACCTTCCCTGCTAAATCCTATAGCCCACAACAACAAAGGAGATTCATCTGAAGGATCGCGTATGCTGTCTTCTTCTCAGCCTGTGGTTGCGTCCAGCTTGGCTCAGCAGAGTTCCTCTTCTGGTATGATGTCGGACTCACGAGCCAGTATTTCAGCACCGCAACATCGATTTTGGAACCAGCCATCTAAGCCTCAGCCAGATATTTTACGGCCGCATCCATTTCCCAACAACCAAGTAGAAGGCAGCTTCTCAAGGCAAGAGAATAGAAATCAGTTATCCTCCCAAAATGCAGACGTGTCATTAAGTGGGAGGGACATGATGAATATGCATGAGTTGCAGGGTAAAGATACAGGTGCAAAACAAACATCTGACGTTGCTTCGATGTTCTCCAGAATGGTGCAGAGCAATGACCAAACTTTTGGTCGTTCTATTCCTTCAGATAACTTGCGTCACGATGTGCATATGGCAGGAAGTATGGAGGGAGACGCACTCAAGATGACTGTGAAGAGAGTTGAGGATAGTGTGGATCTTCAAAAGATAGATTCCAAAGGAGAGCAACAATCACCTTCAAGATCTAATGTTTTAGTTAGAGATGGATTGAATCACAAAGAATCAGCGAACCAGATGATGCATTTTGGTCAAACCGTTTCTCAGAGTTTCTCCAATAAGAATCATTCAGTCTCGGCTGGAGCAGATCATCAGCAAATCAGTCCTCAGATGGCTCCATCCTGGTACAGTCAATATGGGACTTTCAAGAACGGACTGGTGCAACCTGTGAATGATTCAGGGAGCATGAAGATAGGACAACATTTTTCTATTGATGGGAGTTCGGCCGATGTCTCACATTCTGTTCAATCTTCGAAGCAGTTTAATATGCAGCAAATGCCAGGCTCCGCACCAGTTGCAGAGACCCTTTCATCTCAGTCATTTCCTCATGGTGCAACTGACAATTTTCTGAAGGTTGATAAACCAAATAAGCGCAAGACAGCTACATCAGGACATCTATCTTGGAGTAAAGTAATAACGCAGGGTCCCCAGAGGCTTAAGACACTTGGGTGTGTGTGGCTTATGAGCACTGATATTCCTTTAAAAAAAAAAATCATATCCATTACCGTATTAACCTTTTTTACTCTTTTACAGTGAGACCGAGGTTGATTGGGCCAGAGCAACTAATCGATTTTCTGAAAAAGTGAGTTTCCTAGTTACATGTTTCTCCACCTGTCTCTTTGTACAGTGTTGTTGAATACCTTGATGGCTTATGCTCTGACAGGTGGGATTTGAGACTTCACTTGAGGATGGCCCACCATTAAAATCAAAGAGAAGGCTTATATATACGACACAACTCGTGCAACAATTATTTCGGCCTCCTCCTGCTAAGGTAGTATCGTTGGTTGGTACCTCAAACTATGAGTTTGTTGCATATACTACTGCAAGAGCTGCACTAGGAGATGCATGTAGCTCAACTTGTACGGACAGGAGTGATCCGCAGAGCAATTCAAGCCCGTAAGAATACATTCTGTTTATCCGTGAAATGCTGGAGAAGTATCAGAGTTTGAGACTGTATATTGACATGAACCTATCCACTCTTTGTGTAGGTTGTCTGAGAAAAGGAATACCGCAAAAATCAATGACCAATACATCTCCAAAGCTGCTGAAGATTTCATAAGTAGATCACGGAAACTAGAGACTGACTTTGCAGGGTAAAAACCAATTAGCTCTTTTTAAATTAATGGGTGCTTAATTTGGCTGGCGTGATCTCATGAGTATCTGGTGGTTCTTTCTGCAGACTAGAAACTGGAACTACAATAGCAGACTTGAGAGTCGAAGTCGAGGATCTAGAGAAGTTTGCAATGATCAATCGGTTTGCGAGGTTCCACCCATCATCATCATCTTCATCTATCCACCGGAACGCAAGTCCACTTAGATTAAACGCACAGAGATATGTGACCATAGCACCAATGCCTCAGAATATTCCAGACAGGGTACAATGTCTCTCCCTCTAACTACTGATGAAATTCTACCCACATATAATTCAGTTTTTTGGCCTATCTTCTTCACCATCTTTGCTTCGATATAGGTAAAATGTAACTAATGCCCCAGATCCTCTCTATATCTTTTTGTTTTGGGTGGGTAGTAGCTAGTTTGATCGGAGATTTTCTACTAAACATGTAACATCACTCTGTACGCATCATCGCAAATATTGTAAGTTAGCAAAGAAATGTATGCATCATCTCACATCATCATTCGACTTTTCTAGAAATTTCATCATTAAACCATGTTTAAATTCATGGAGACCAAAAACAGAAAAGTTGAGAGCATCACAAATGAGAGAACATTTGAACATGAACTCTGGTTTAGTTAAACACCTAAAAGAAATGAGCCAAACACACAAGTTTAACCAAAATAGAATACTATGGCGTAATCTCTGTCTTACAATTTAAAATTTGCAGAAACAAGAACCAAACAAGGTTTGAGATAAGAGATGTTATCAAAAAGACGAGATTATTTCTTTGCAGCGGGTCTATTAGGTCCTAAGTAGTTTGTGACCAATCCCATTACAGCAAACCTGTATCAATACAAGAAAACTCGAGTCAACATCAAACAATCTACACACCATGGTTCAGTATTAACAATCTATAGGATTAAATCATCTTTTAACGTCCAAAGAGCTAAACTTAAGATCTACTTTCCATGGCTTAGATATAAACAATTTTTTTTTAATCTCTAAGTAATGGAATGTTAACGAGTGAGTGAGGATGGGGAAACATACATCATAGCCATGGAGATCTGCTTCAAATCATTTTCAAAGTTCCTCATGTTGGCTAGAGACTGTGCACAGAATATAATCGCAAGCCACGAGCAAATCTTGTACTGCACACACAAAGATGAAAACGAATGTGTTCAAGACTCAATATCAAGAAACAAAGGATCTTTTATCCATTTGAGATCTAGTTGATTAGTTTATAATATATGTGATGCAATCACAGTTTTGTATAAGTCAAAACCATACTTTAGAGGATTTGAATCAGCCAAAACAGAAACTAAACCTGATCACACGACCCACCTAACTAAATACAAAGCTAGAGAGATGAGATGAGATTTTGTACCTTGAACATAACGCCGGAGACGCCGAGGATAACGGCGATGAATCCAGAGTAGTCAACGGGAAGATCCTCCGGCGCAACAGGTCGTGGAGTGTAAGGCTTCGCCGCCAAAGGTTGACGTGGATCGTTCCCGTGACTGTGAGACATTCTCTCTCTCTCTGTAAAACTTCTGATGGTAAAATCTTTGATCTACTGTAGAGATTCGATCGTATATATTAAGAAAAAATTTAACTATTACTGCACTGATTCGATTATCTTACAGCAGTTAATTTTTAAACAATCTAGTTAAAAAGCTTGTGAAATGACAAGTGTACCCTCTTAAGTCTTTTTTACAAAAGAAAATAAGTTCTCGCCGGCGGCGTTTCAACTTCCGGCATAGTTCCGTCGTGCAGCTTTTGGAGTCGTTTTATTCGTGCCACTGCGTTTAATCATCATCGATGAGGTTATGGAGACCAGTTGCTCAGAGCGGAATCTTAGGAACCAGTGGTCAAAACTGGAAACCTGTCGGAAACAGTGGATCGTTGCTTGTTCTGTCGGAACATCTCACGCTAGATACCAGAAGATTAAGTGGGGACAGTAAAAAAAGACTCCGTCGCTGGGACTCGAACCCGGGTCTCTCGGGTGAGAGCCGAGTATCCTAACCAGCTAGACTACGACGGATCTGTTGATCAACTTACCAGAAGACTATAACTGGAACCTACTCTAACCGCTACAGAATCATAAATACTTGATGATCATAATATCTAGTGCGTCTCTCGGGTGAGAACAGAGTATCCTACGACGGATTTGTTGATCAATCTTTTTGTATTGTGCTATACAGATTTACTTGATCACTTGGGTTTCAGAGGTGAACATTGATATCCATCCATAGGTAATATTTAGACTCACTCATCCTCTAGGCAAGGAATGTACTCTGACAAGTGGTGTGTTGGAGGAGGGATGAGATATCAGCCATGGTGGGGGAAGAAATTGGAGTTACCTTCTAAACAGTTTCAAAAGCTATTCTTCAGTACTGCTCCTGGTTAAGTTTCAGTGACTTTAGCATGACCGGCTCTTTACAATCTTAGCTTCTTCAAAGCATAACTATATATTGAGACTTGTTGCTATACTTTGTTTACTGGAAACACTGTACAGTGTCCTTATGTGAGAAAAAATTTCTTTACTTAAGTATACAAATAGATTTGAGTTGCAACTATTCGTGTGATGATAATATATTTTTTTTTTTTCTGAACACAGTGATGACTGATGATAATACATTGTTACCAAAGTATATGGCATTCAAAACAATCAGAAGGTTACATTAGAGTATGGGCCGCCACTGGGCCAGCCTCACAGGTAAGCTTACACCCATCTGATCCGACCCGACTCAAATTGAACCCGTTTGTCGTTTAAAACGAAGTCGCAGCTACTATTACTTTACTCTATATCCTCAACGGAAAGAGAAGAATCATAATTTGGATTCGCCTTGTTCCAATTCAAAAATCGAACTTCGTCGTCGGAGCTTTCTCAGATAGGTAAAACCTTGGGTGCTCGCTTGAATCTAACTATGTCTCTGTATGCTCATCTAACATTTCAGCATCTGTTGGGACCGACACGTGGATAACATGTGGCTAGTCTGGATTGATTCGTGTATAATTCGTTTGATTTGGGGAAATATGTGGGATTCGTAAAATGAAAAAAAAATGTTTCTATAGGCCTAATGACTAACATTTGAATTTTTTTTTTTTTTTTTTTTGCAGTGGTGATATCTGTCTTTAAAAATGTCGAGTAGCTCGGGAAGTTTCTCAGGAAGAAGTAGCTCAGCTTGTAGTTCCACAAGTGATTGCCAAAACTCCTTTGATGCTGAAGACCTTCTGCAGATTGGGTCAAGACGCATGGAGGTTTTCCCTGCCTCTTATATTTGATGAAACAGTGATTGGGATATTATTTATTTTCTCATTCTTAGTTTAAGTTTTATTGGTATGGCAGCTAAGGAAAGAAAAGGACTTGCTGAAAGAATCGCAGCCTCATAGTATCGAGCTAGTCAGAGTATATTCTTCTTCTTCTTCTTGTTTAATATTATGAACATTTTCAGCGTTTTGTCTTTCTAAATGGTTGAATTCTCGGACATTTATCTTGTCTTTACCACAGAGGTTGGAACTCCAGACAAAGTCATTATCGGAATCCCGCTTAGAAGACACGGCCAGAATTCAGACCATGGTGAAAGAGTTGTTGAACTGCTATAAAGAGATTGGTAAGTCCCTATATGAGCCAACCAATTCAGTCTTTGCTATACTAAATGACTCCTATTGTTATTCGTTTGTCCTGTAGATTACTTGCGGGATCAACTTATTTTTAGAAGCAAGGAAGTGAGTTATCTCAGTGAATATGTCCACAATCTTGAATGCAAATTCGCTGAATCAAGGAACGTGGAAGAAGAAGTTAACTGTTTGAGGGAGGAGCTGTGTATGTCTAAATCCGAGAGTTTGTTGTTGTTGCAAGAACTCGAGAGCAAAGAGACAGAGCTACATTGTTCGTCTCTTTCTGTACAGAAACTAGAGGAGACTATCTCATCCTTAACGTTGGAGTCCTTGTGTGAAATTGAAAGCATGAAGCTTGATATAACAGCGTTGGAGCAATCACTCGTTGATGCTATGAAAATCCAAGAAGAAAGCATCCAAGAAAAAGATCACCTAAGAGGGATAATCGAAGAGTTCCAGTTTCAGTCTCAAGAGGCACAAGTGAATGCCAAGTCGTTTGAGAAGCAAAACCAAGAGCTGAGGGAGAGAATCGCAGCCTCTGAAAAGAGTATCAAAGAGTTTTTACAAAGTACTAAAGAACGGTTAGAAAGTGAGAACGAACAACAACCCCTTAATGCAGAGTGCTTCTTTACTGAATTGAGCCTTCTGTTTCCAGTGTCCTGTGAAGTTCGGTAAGTTCCAGCTTAGAAACTTGTTTATTACGACGAATAATTTAGTTATCCCCGTTTATAACAAGTTGGTTTCTGTGTCTCACAGGGAATGTTTCGATGCAATCATTAAGAAACTAGAACTTTCCCTGAACATGACTTTCATTGATAAAATGGAGGGTATGGGGAAACAGATACAGCTGCACGAAGATCTTGTAAAGCGGCTCAAGGTATTTTTGGAAAAAAAAATGAGGAATTATATTTCCTATCTAATGCACCATTACACAACTCTAGGGTCAATCAAACTAATTTCGCTGTGATCTTTGGTATGCATAGGAGGAACTGAAACAGGAGAAACTGAAGGCGAAGGAAGAAGCGGAAGAACTTACGCAAGAAATGGCTGAACTAAGGTATAAGATGACATGTTTGCTCGACGAAGAACGGAAACGCCGTGTGTGCATAGAACAAGCGTCATTACAGAGAATTTCAGAACTAGAAGCCCAGGTACTACTTCATTTAAGATGCTTTCTTTTGTCAAGCATGCGAAAAACGAAAGATTATCTTCTAAACACTGAAGGAATCTACCTGTTGTTTTTATGCTCTCTCTGTTGTTGAAGATCAAGAGAGAGACGAACAAGCTATCTTCCAATAATATGCTGCCTATCTCCGGGTCATGAAAAGGGCAAGATGGTCAAGAATCCCATCTCGAAAAGAATTATAACCATACACTAAATTCAATAGCTGCGAATCAGACTCTTCCTCCAGCAAGGTTTCCACCTTAGTTCTATGCTTGGAAGGTGATGGGATCTTAATTTCACATCAAATCGCAGGATGGTGAGGAATCCAAGAGACTTGAAGTGGCTGTAGAGACACAAGTCATACAACAAGAGGTCTGAGTTAAATCATTTGACTAAATGTGTCGAAGAGTTTAGATTTAGAGATTGTTTCTTGTTCTTCTAGCTTTTAGAGTGCCTGGAACATAGTGAGTGTATTTATATTCTTTGTTCGTTTTGATAAGAGAAAAACGGCATGATGCTTAAGCTAATTTAAACGCTAAGAGCATCCACATCAATGAACCCCTTCTTGGGGTTCATTGAATCATTTTTTTATTATTAAAAATTTTCTGTTTTTTTTTTTATTTTTTTTTTTTAACAAAAAAAAAAAAAAAAAATCTAGACCAATCCCGAGCCGCCACGTGTTGAACCTCAGGAGAGAGAGGTTCATCGGGGTGAACTTTAGGAGAGAGGGATTCATAGGTTTTTTTTATTTTAGTATTATTTTTTCTTGATTTCTGTGTGAACTCCCCCCCCCCCATGAATCTTCAATGGGGATGTTCTAACAATCTTATCCCTTATCACCCCTTTGTGTGTAGTTTCGCCAGCTTCTTTATCATTAAAGAGACTTGTTTTATATGTGAGAAATGTAACATAGTATACGAAGTGATAAAATAAAAGGATATAGGCATACATGTATTTATGTGTAAATACTTTTGGTATTTCTTATTTGATGAAAGGCAAAACTAAAATTAATATTTTATGAATCAATGGTTATAGTTAGCAAAGTAACTAGCAGAAAATAGGGTTTATTTTCCTAAATCTTCAATTGGTCTTTCTTCCAAAACGAAATTGTGGCTTTGTGAGGATAAAATGTAAGCGACTAGTTGGCTGAAAAAACTCCATTAGTTAAGGAAAACCGGAAATTACCAAATTACAATCACATGAGGCATGAATAAACGTGTAAAATAACAAACACACACACACACACATGTACAAGACTACAAGCACAACAAGAGCTTGATCATGTCAAAGCACGCATCACACACACAAAGGTACAAGTACAACAAGAACCTGATCATGTCAAAGCAAGTGATCACACACACGTTCAGAAGTACCTCCTGTGGACTAGAACTAAAAGCGAAACACCCACAAACCATTGAGGAGTCTCGAAGAAACTCGTGTCCGCGAACACTAGAGGTGCTACGAACTTAGAGAGAGCAGCCAAAACAAGAGCGAAAAAGAGCTCTTCTAGAATGAACAAATTACTTTTAGTGAATATTTCAGGTAGCTGTCTCTTAACATCCTCAACAATCGCGTCCACAAGATTACTATCAACGCTGCAATATCAATAACCATTCTTCATGTCAGATAGTCTAGCTACATCCTAAACATAACGATTGCTCTCTCTTCTAGAACGATATAATCTCAACCGAAAATTAACAAATATTTAACCTTTATATGTATATTTTTCCTTGTTTTACAAAAAAAATTTATGTAGAAAACAAACAAGTAAATAATTTTAAAAATATTTAGCAAAACTAAAAAATAATCTAGATTTAAATGGTCCAGTTTTTTTTTCTTCTTTTTAATTTTTTTCCCTATAATCCATAATAAAATGAGAAAATGACTAGAATATACCTAAAATTTTTTTTGTCACAAATATAGATCTTAACAATTAAAATGGATAGGGTTTTAATTTTTTTTTTTTAAAAAAAACTTAAAATTTTCAAAATAAAAAATATTATTTTGGTTATTTTAATTTTTGAAGTTTATTTTTGTGATAAAAATTTAAAAGAGAGTTATTTAAGAGAATTGCCCTAATAAAATTGAGCCTGACCATACCTGTGTATTTCTGAGGTGAGGCCGGGTTTGGAGGAAACAGACTTCACAGAGCCCATCCAAAGTTCTGCCACATGCTTCACTTCAGCTGACTGTTTCTGCACCGTTTCTTCAAAAGCGCTTCCAAATTTACCTTTGAAATTTTTGACGTCGTATGTGCTCACCCTGTAGAAGACAGGGATCACTCTGAGTTTGCTGTCCTTCACACGATTAGCCATCCTTACCACCTCATTTAAGCACCATTCTGACTCCGAGAACCGGTCAGAGAATATCACAAGTGCGATTTTTGAGTTGTCGATCTTCTTGATGATAGTTTCAGTGTCTCTTACTTTCAGCTCATTGCTATCTTTGAAAACGTTGACCCCTGCGTCTTCCAAGGCCTTCACTACATGGCTCACGAAGCCGTTGCTTAGTTCATTTCCCCAGAAATTGACGAACAGCTGAGGTCGTGGTGGTGGATGGCGACCAACCACAATATAGAACAAAGAAAAACAAATTAAAAGAAGATAAAAAGCTGAGATATTTGTGTCCAGGGGCTGAGGACGAGGTTGTTCATCTTCCAAGGGCTGAGGAGGAGGAGGTTCTTCATCTTCCAAGGGCTGAGCAGGAGGTTGTTGTGGCACCGGTATATCCATGTGTTTTGAAAGAGTTTGGTGTGGGTTTAGGTTTTTAAAACTAAGCAAACAAGTGAATAAGAAAATGAAAAAGGAACTCTATATAGAAAAAACATCACAGGATAGATCCATTTTTTTTTTAACACAAATATATTTAATTTGACTAAAACGTATTTTAATTTTATTAAAGAAATAAAAGACGTTTATACTTTAAGATTAACTGGTTTAAACTTAAAGTTTAGATTTGGGATGAAATTTTGGAGTGGGTTTAGATGTTTTTTTTTTGGTAGGAAAGAGGGAGGCAAGCCTCCCCAATTTATTATAAATGAATCAAACTACACATGAACTTGTCTAGGGCATGGTATGCCTCTAGCATCATCCGACAAAAGCAACAAAATACTTGCAGGACATGAATCAAAAACATGAACTCCTAACGGTAAAGAAAATGCATAGTTAGCCAATCCGTCTGCGAGACGATTAGCCTCCCTATACACATGCGACACTCGGACTGTCTAGTCCCTCGAAAGAAAGCCGTAGCACAAACGTACTAGGAAGGACAAAGGATGCGTCTCATGAACACCCTTCGTCAAAAAGCCAGCCACCATCTCCGAATCTGTTTCAAGCTCAACCTGCGAAGCCCTCTTCTCCCACGCTATCGCCAAGCCATAATATACTCCCCATAACTCTGCTAACGCTGCAGAACACGAGCCCACATTCGCCGCAAAGCCTTGTACCCAACCCCCATCAGCCATCCGTAAAACCCCTCCCGCCGTAGCTGTCCCCGGGTCCCCACGAGAAGCTCCATCAGTGTTTAACTTGACCCACCCAGCAGTAGGAGGTAACCACGCGATCATCCTCTCCACCCTTGACGTCTCCCGAACCAGACCTCGTGCCATAAAGTACGCTCGGTCCACCTCCCTACTTAAATCTCTTATGAAACGTACCCGATCCCGACATCTTCCATTCTCACCAAAAACATTACCACAACGCCACTTCCACCCCCACCATACTCCCATACCAAAGATCGTCGGCCACGGTACTCCTTTAACCGACGCAATGTCATTCAAGTTGTAGTAAACCCATTCAAGTAGGGGCTTCGAGAAGAACTCCCGACGTTTTGCCACTGGAACCAGACGAGCCCAAATCCCGGCCATTGCTGGGCAGTCCCGCAAGATATGTATGATGGTCTCCTCCCCGCCTCTACAAACTTGGCACGTACTCGATTCACACAGATGCCGTCGCCTCCGTTCAGAGTTTGTCATCAGCACTTGGTTCACTCCTAGCCAAAGAAAAACCCTTATTCTCTCTGGAACACGTAGTCTCCAAACCTTCATAAACAGATTCTCCATATTTAACCTCGGTGAAGGATTTTCAGTCAATTTAGAATACGCCGATTGAACTGAAAACTTTCCATCCTTACTTAAGCCCCAAGACACTCTGTCTCTTGCCCCTGTTACATTATCCACCACCACTGACATCAACTGGAGTCGAACTTCCGGCGATACATAAGGTGAGATTCGACTCATATCCCACCCCGTTCCTTCTGCCCATAACTCACAGACCCTGGCTCCTTTTAGTACTGGCGGCACTGGTAGAATAGTAAGGTGTAGAAGCGGTTCATTAGTCAACCACTTATCGCACCAGAAGCGAACCTGAGCTCCATCTCCTACAACCCAGCTTACCCCTGGTAAAACCACCTCTCTCAATGCCATGCTCACACTTCTCCAAGTAGAGGACCAATGCCCCTTTGCGATGACCCAGCTCTGCTCCTGGTTAGTCCCCACCTTATACTTCCCTCTCAACACCCGCGCCCATAAGCTCCTATCATCCTGCAGAATGCGCCACCCAATCTTTGCCAATAGCGCCTTATTCATGTTCTCTGATTTCCGAATTCCCAGACCTCCTTCTTGTTTTGGTAAGCAAATCTTACTCCAGGCTAAGAGATGCTGTCTCTTTTTCTCGCTCGAACTTCCCCACACAAAATTCCTAGAAATTTTATCTAGGCTTGTCAAGGTTGATTTCGGCAGTGAGATAGTACTCATGATGTGAATAGGTGACGATGAGAGGACCGACTTGGTGAGAGTAATCCGTCCTGCCAAGTTTAAAACACGCCCTTTCCATCCCGCCAGACGTGAGGAAACCCGCTTTACAACTTCCCGAAAGGTATCTTTATTTATTCTTTTCTGCAGGATAGGCATCCCCAAATATTTACCAAGATCTTTAGTTGCTTTTATACCACTCTCATCACTGATACGTACTGCCAATTCCCGACTCACATTCTCAGAGAAATAAATCTTAGACTTCTCCAGACTTACTTTCTGTCCGGAGGCCCCACAAAAGGTTTCCAGCACCTTCCTAATCACCTTAATTTGAGCCACCAATGCCTCAGCAAATAATATTAAGTCATCCGCAAAGCATATATGTGACAACTTAGGACCACCACGTGAGAGGCTAATGGGCTTCCATTCCTTCAACTCGATAGCCCTCTCGATCTGATGACATAGCCTCTCAATGCAAAGCACAAAGAGGTATGGTGACAAGGGATCACCTTGCCTAAGCCCTCGTTCTGGTTTGAAAGCATCTGTCTTCTCCCCGTTCCACAATAGCGTCATTGAAGGGCCTTCAACACACTTCATGATCCGCTGAACCCATATCACCGAAAGCCCCGCGGCCAAGAGGGTATCTTCTAGGAAGTCCCAGCGTATTCGATCGTAAGCCTTTTCCAAGTCTAGCTTCAGCAACATCCATCCTTTTTTCCCTTTTTTACGTCGCATTGAATGAACTGCTTCTTGGACAACAACGATATTGTCAGTACTCAGCCGCCCTGGGATGAAGCTTGCTTGTGCTGGACCTATCAACTGTGTCATGACAGGCTTCAAACGCAACACCATAACCTTAGTAATGATCTTGAATAGAACATTACAAAGGCTAATGGGGCGAAACTGTGTCACCTTCTCCGGTTTCTCTACTTTCGGGATTAAAACCACCAGAGCATCATTTAAACCCTCCGGCACAGCTCCTGTGGTAAAAAAATCAAGCACAAACTTACATACCGAAGAGCCCACAACATCCCAACACTCCTGATAAAATACGGGTTGATACCCATCTGGCCCTGGAGCTTTATATTTTCCCATGCTCCTTATGGATGCTTCCACTTCAGCCACTGTAAACTCTTTTCCTAACGCCACCATCTCTGCCGCTGATAAAGCCACAAAACCCCTTGATGGTAACTTGTTTACAACAGGATCCACATCCGCCAGCGAGTACAATCTTTTGTAATATGCTACTGCCATTGCTTCAAGTTCTTTCCCATCCGAAACCCATTGCCCATTATCATCTTTAAGTATCTCAACCCTGTTCCGCCGTCGTCTTATAATTGTGGACATGTGGAAAAACTTCGTGTTTCTTTCTCCATATACTATCCACTTGTCTCTAGACTTTTGGTACCAGAGCATCTCCTCCTGTTCAAGGATCACATCGAACTCCTTGATCAGTTCCTCCTCTCTTCCTAACAAGTGGTCCGTACTCTGTATCTCAATTTGGTCTTGGATCTCCTTGAGCTCCTGGATTAACATATCTTTCTTCTTCTGGACATCCCCAAAAACCTCCCTATTCCACTTCCTTAATTTAATACGTAATCGCTGCAGAGCGCTTCATTGGTTGATACATCATTATTCCAAGAGGATACCAACAAATCCTTAAAGCTTTCATGCTGTAGCCAAGCCGCTTCAAAACGAAACGGACGCCTCTTTGGATCCCCTGACACGGTTGGGCAGAGCTGCACATACAGGGGGGCATGATCCGATGATAAGAACGGCAAGTGCGTGGAGTGGGTTTAGATGTTTAAAACAGTATCTATAACTCAACTAATATTTAAAATAATAATTTCAAGAATATTTTTTTAAAAAATGAATTTCAAGCAAAAATATCAAAAAATCGAAAAAAGAATTTGAAATTGTTTTACATTCACAGTAATTGTTTTACATTAAATGATCCTTCTAAAATTTGATCCTTTAAATGACTATTGTAATTGTTTTACATTCACAGTAAATTCTATGGTCAAACCTCTGTATGTGAAAGCTAAGCAGGCATTTCCTAGGAATGGTTGTAAAGTTGTCAATCAAACTCATAAACAAAATATATAAATAGATAACATATAATATCAACGTTATGCTTATCAATATCATAGTCGTAAGTCGTAACAACCACCGAACCACAAGAAATCGATCCCCGGAATTTACAAATTGCCAACGACTTTCTTTTTTCGTTTTTTTTGTGCAACTTGCCAACGACTTTCTTTAATATGTTTTCATAAGAAAATGTTATTATACAGTCTCCGGCATGTCACCCTACCCGTCATGAATCAATATGAAGGTGTTGTCGCAGACGAAAACAAATTACAATTTGGATCAACTTTTATTACTATAATTGTTTGATCTGCTTGACCATCATCGATCCTAGGAATAGTTTGAATGGAACTTTAGATTAGATGAATACTTTGCTAGCTAACACATAGTTCTCAGCACCATATACATTTGCTTTCGAATACAATTTATGATCGGGCATATATATATAAAAGGTTCCACATGGCATAGTTAGTGATAATCTTTCCCCTCCTATATGTTGTAACTGCCTCCTCGTGCGACAATTACTTTGGTCCTTTGTCATCATTTGCTACCAAGCACACATGTGTTTGTGAAAGATGATTACAGTAATTGTTGTTTACTGCACAATTAATTGGTCAAACTGTTTCATTGAACCACTTGCTCTATAAACTGATTATAACAAACATAGTTTATTAATATCATAGCTGTTACATCACCAAACTATAAGAATATTACTTCTCCTGGCCAATCGGAGTCCACCGCAAAAGTCTTGTCCCTTTTAATAATTGTCAATCAGGAAAACGTCATTACGCCTGTTTGTTGTAAAAATGCAGCAACTCGCGTCAGCGGCAATAAATAAAGCTACGACCGAAGTAATTTACGAATTATGTGCGGCCGCATCAGTTGCCAAAGATTGATTGGAGACAGAAAACCAGAGTTGCCGCTGTTATTTCTAGTGTCGCATCTCCTGGGTATTACTTGTTGCTGTAGTGACTGATAAAAAAAAATCTCTTTTGTGGTGACTGTGATGTTTTTTGCCGTGACCATAGTCGTTATTGAACCGCTGACTCTGGCGTTTATTAAACGAACAGACCTAGTGTCGCTAGCTTTTTCATCCTAGGTGAAAAGCTCTTGTAACATCCTAGGTGAAAAGCTCTTGTGAATGTAAAAATTTATATGGGCTTACTTTTAAACACAAACTAGATAATATCATACTAATCAGTTTAAGAAGAGTTGGACATAGATTTCAAAATATCCAACAGTTGGTATCAGGATGGCAAACTAATCTGCAAAACAATGATATTATTCTTTAAGTTTGAGGATGATAACCAACAATGGGAAGATGAAAGATATGTGGTATATACGAGGAGAAGGTTGTGGAGGTCGTTGCAAATCCATCAATGAATAACACCTTTATATGTTTAAAAGAATTTAGCTTTAGAGATTGTTTATTTTAGCTTGTAGAGTGCACAGGTTGTTGATTTATGCCGCAGCTTCCAAGGACTCCATGCTCAACGTGCAGTGATCATCCTAAAGCTTATCAGTCAAGTCATCACTTACAATCTTTGGCGCAAACGGAATGCCCGCATTTTCCGGGCCACTGCCTTATCCCATGACGGTTTCTTCAGAGTTGTTGATCGAGGTCTGCGCGATAGACTGCTCTCCCCTTCTCTGTTATCTTCTTCCTCCCCTTCTCTGCTTCAGTTGTACTTTTGATTCATTTCCCCTTTTAGTTAAGCTACAATCTCTCTTTCTATTCTCCATCTGTAATAAGTTGTGCTCCACAACATTGTAAAACCTTAAAAAAGCGGTATAAATCTTAACATTTTGACAAAAAAAAAAAAAAAAACTTGCGTCTAAATCTTGACCGTGTGTACAAAACAAATTACATTAACAAATGTTCTTCTAGATGACAAAACAGAAACAAAAAAAACAAAAACAAATGTTCTTATGTGGTTTTCTAAGAAAAATAAAATCTAAATAAGTACAATAAAAGTATTCTAACAAAATTAATTTTTAAACAAATATATTTCTTTTGTTTCAAAGAATAGGATATTCACAGCTATTAAATAATTATTTGTCTAAAACATATTGTTAACATATAAATTTAAAATTATTCAACTCATAATAAAAAAAAGATTACAAAATATTATTACTTACACAGTTTCTAATAAAAATAAAAATTATCTAAAAAAAGAAAACATTTTATTATTGAAACATCAAAAACTCCATATAACATCATACATAACGAAAAGGAGAGAGTACTAATCCATAACTAGATTTTGACCCGCGCTTAAAAAGCGCGGGTTTATTTTTGAAATAAAATAAATTCTTCTAAATGAATTTTTATATAAGATAATGCACATGTTATACATTTTTCCAGGTGAACCGAACCGTAACAAACTGGAAAAAAACGAAAATTAAACCAAATTTCATAAATAATCGATCATATCATATATTTCTGGAACCAAAAAATAGAAACCGCACCGAGAACCAAATGAGTATTTAAAATTTTTAAATATAAATTACATACCTACAAATATTAATTATATATAATATTTAAATAATAAATATCCAGAAATATTATTTATAAACCAAATTAGGAAAACAAATAAATTACCCAAATATTTTCTATTCAAAATATTGAAGATATTCAAACTATCTGAAATTTAAATTGTAGGATATTTTACATTTAAAATTAAATAAAAACATATTATATGCATTGTTAGAATTTGTAAAATAAATAAACATCTATACTATTAAAATCTCCAACACATTTAGACCCATTTTATTTTTATATATACAATTAATCATTTAGTTCATGTATAAAAATGCAATATCAAATTTTAATAATTATTTGCATGTAATTAACTAAATCAAAGTTTTGCAGTTGAATATTAGACACCAAAGCTTTTTAACTTCCAATTTGTGTAAAGATATTAAATATATTAAAGTATATAGAGATTTATTGCTAGAGTAATTATATAGTAGATTATGGAAAGTAATAAATGAGTTCATTTAAATTATAAAGTATTTATATAGTTAGAGAAATAGTATTTATATAGTTAGATAAATATAAGGGAAGACCAAAAAATATTAGTCTAATTAAAGAGTCCAAACAACTTGTATAAGTAGATTTTTTAGGACTCCTTCTCTTTTAATAGTATTGATTCNGAGTAATTATATAGTAGATTATGGAAAGTAATAAATGAGTTCATTTAAATTATAAAGTATTTATATAGTTAGAGAAATAGTATTTATATAGTTAGATAAATATAAGGGAAGACCAAAAAATATTAGTCTAATTAAAGAGTCCAAACAACTTGTATAAGTAGATTTTTTAGGACTCCTTCTCTTTTAATAGTATTGATTCTGGCAGCTATTTCCCTCCTAAATAATAAACATAATATAATGTATATAAAATTTGTTTCAAAAAAAAATATATATATATATAATGTATATAAACCTTACTCAGGTTACATTACAAAAGAGATGGTCAAAACGAATTTACTTTGTTAGATATTATAGCTATATTCAACGGGAAAATAAAAACCTTATTTTTAATAGATTTTTCCTCCAACTTTTTTAGTAGATTTTCTTTAAAGAAAAGTTAATCCTTTTTGCTGCTTACTTGCTTAAGTTTCTCTAACAGTTTCGTTGAGATTCAGAATTTCAAAATTCTTTGGGTTCTCGTCTCCGCTTAAAATCCTTCTTCCTCGTTACCGAACCACACAGTCTCTTCTTCTTCTTCTTCTTCTCTCTATCCGCTCGCTCATCTAGGTACGCCGCAAATCTTTCTCAATTCTTGATAATTCGCGCTTTCCGGTGAAATCTTAGGGTTTGTTATCTGATCATACGCCCGCTTTGTTGTTAGGATGTAGCGAAGATTGCTACTAATTAGACTGCTTAACGTTCTTAGTTCTGCGATCTACTTGATTGATTACTAGATACTATTGAGAAATTATGATTCAACATTTATGCTTTTTGATGATGTTCAAAAGTTTTGTATCTCTTTAAAATTTAGAATCACAATGGTTTTTCAGGTTTTGAAGCAAACGTGATTACAATGTTTAGTTTGAAGAAGCCTCTGGAAAGACTCTCCAAGCACAAGCCTTCTTCTGCTTCTGCCTCAAAGTCTAATCCTTTCGATTCAGATGATGAGTTTGATGATAACAAACACACCTTAAAGCCATCCAACAAGATCTCCCCTCAACCTTGTGTACCTACTAAGAAGAATCACAGCTTCAACCCTTTCGATGATGATGAGGATAATGAGGTTGAGAAGAGATTGAAACCTTCTTTCAAGAATCATCTCCGTGACTCAGGAGGTGTGGAGAACCAGAGTGTTCAAGAGCTTGAGAGCTATGCTGTGTTCAAGTCTGAGGAGACTACTAAAACAGTGCAAGGGTGTTTGAAAGTAGCGGAAGGGATAAGGTGTGATGCTACAAGGACTTTGGTTATGTTGAATGAGCAAGGAGAGAAGATCACTAGGACGCATCAGAAGGCTGTTGACATCGATCATGATCTCACTCGGGTAACAAGAGATGAGAGAGATTGAGATTTTGTAAACTGTAGAGAAACTTATTGTATGTTTTGTTGTTTGGTTTCAGGGTGAGAAACTTCTTGGTAGCCTCGGAGGCATTTTTTCAAGGAGTTGGAAGCCAAAGAAAACTCGGTCCATAACTGGTCCTGTCATAACTAGAGGTGTTGCCTCTTCTTGAGAAATGAATCTCTTGTTTTCTTATGTTACTTCACCTAACTCTTTACTTGTTTGTTCTTCTTCTGAGTAGGTGAATCCCCTAAGAGAAGTGTTAACAACTTGGAGACTAGAGAAAAGCTGGGACTGAACCATCTACCTAAACCGCATTCAAGAACCCTTCAACCTCTCCCTGAATCCGCTGATGCTTATCAGAGAATAGAGGTTTGGATGCCACTTCCTTCTTCTCCATCTATGATCTTTACAGTTCTGTTTTTGCTTGCTAATAATATATGTAAGAATCATGCTCCCTGCTGTGTTGACAGATGGAGAAAGCAAAGCAGGACGATGGACTTGAAGACTTGAGTGATCTACTCGGTGAACTGAAGAACATGGCTGTTGATATGGGAACTGAAATCGAAAGGTTTTCTTTCATATCTATCAACTCTCTTTACACATACATTTTCTCTATGAGTGAGTATTCCTCGATAACACTGGTTTATATAAATGAAAACTGCAGACAAAACAGTGGCCTTGATCACCTACAAGACGATGTAGACGAGCTTAACTTCAGAGTGAAACAATCTAACCAAAGAGCTCGCCGTCTACTCCGCAAGTAAAACCAGCCAACAGGAACCTTGTCAGCTTCTCTATTCTCTTAATGAATGTGTTGATTTTAGTCATGAATCTAATTCTGATCTTAATAAAGTTTGAGACATTTGATTCCAAAAAACTTCATGAAGTTTATTTAGATATGAACTTAGTGAATTTCAGTTGTTGAATTGTCTAAAGAATCAAAAAGTTGCTTTGCTGGTGAAGTCAAGTCTTTTGTTTTGAGTCTTACACTGCGTAGACCGGTCAAAAGCACAACCAACAGTAAGGGGTAACTGTATAAAAGTTGCATTCTTTGTGACGAAACTAAACGGCATCGTTTCACAAACCAGGCTTTTGTTAGCCCGCCCAATGCGAATTAAAAACTTTTGGTATAAAAATACTAAACAGAATCTCTTAACCCTAATCTTCTCTCGCAAGTCTCGCTCAAACAGATCTTTCGCGAATCTCTCTCCCACATCAATCCCAATCGCTCGCGAATCTCTCTCCCACGTCAATCCCAATCGCTCGCGAATCTCTCTCACCATCCGAACAGATATGGCGGTAATCTCCCTCTCTCGATTTCAGGAAGAAGTTTCCGTAGATTAGGGATTTTACATCTCATATTGTGAGATAGATAATCTCGGAAGCCTCGCGAAAGATCGAGTGATCGATTTGATTTCTTTCATATTGGTATGTTCACATTCAACGGTTTCAATGTAGGCGAATCTGTACAGAGTTTCTCGTTTTATCTATGTTCACATTTCTCTTCCATTACAATCGTTTCGGCGAATCGTTTCCAGGGATTTGTTTTGATGATTTGCAATATTATATATTAGGGATTAGTATGGTTTAAGGAGTTTAGTTTCTCTTATTTTCAGGGATTTGTTTTGATGATTTGCAATATTATATATTAGGGATTAGTATGGTTTAAGGAGTTTAGTTTCTCTTATTTTCAGGGATTTGTTTTGATGATTTGCAATATTATAAATTAGGGATTATTATGGTTTAAGGAGTTTAGTTTCTCATATTTTCAGGGATTTGTTTTGATGATTTGCAATATTATATATTAGGGATTATTATGGTTTAAGGAGTTTAGTTTCTCTTATTTTTCAGGCGGCCTACAGATCATCGCTAGAAGATGAGGATCACTTCTGTGCAATGTTTGGATGTTACCTGGCTAGGGCACCAGGTGACTTCCACTGCTGTCCAGCTCATTTACACTTAGCTGCTCAAAGCTCTCACCGTCCTTTCAGATTCTATGGAGGGTTTTCTGATAACTCAGAGAGAGATGCCTGCTGCGCTTCACTTCTGGTCTTTAAGAGCAACCAGATTCCAACAGGAATTCCAGATCTTGATCACATTGGCGATTTATTCAGTAGACTTCCTTGGATTGCGGGAGACACGTTCGAGGTCCAAGACCATCATGATCGCTGTGCTTTCTTGTTTTTTAAAAAAGAACCTCAATCTTACGGAGTGATTTTAAAGGATGAAGACGATGAAATGAAATGGAAAGCCAACGGGGATAAGGAGGTTATAGAACACAACGGAGCTGATCTTACAATCGAGGGTGTATCTCTCTGCCTCAAGGGTCTCGTATCACAGGAGATAAAGAATACCTATCAGGGGTGGTGGATGCTTACACACTTCCTTTACGAAGGCCATTCACTTTACTGTATGTCTTTTTCAAGAGATCGTCCTCGTGATTTTAAAGATGAAGATAGAGGGAGTGACGGCGAATCTGATGGCAAACATGATGATGACAAGAAAAACGCAAAGGAATCAGAGAAGTATCCATGGATCTCCAATCCAAAGGGGGCAAGAACAACGATAACCCGGCCTAGAAATATGACTTCCTTTGTGGTATGTTTCTTAACGACTGTTTCGTTTTTTTTAACACTCCTCTAACATTTCCTTGTGTTTCAGGTTTTTGGTCGGAAGTTTAATTCCAATACTACAAGTCTACTTGCTTCCGGGACTGATGATGGAATCTCGTGGAGTAGAAAAGTTCAACAAGTATCATCATCATCTACCTCATACGATGGGACTACTGGTGAGAATCATAGTTTTGATTAGAATCTGTCAACTCTTAAGTCTGTTGTCATGTTCTTTTCATTATTCCTATTGATAATGTCTTGGTGAACTTAGCGGTGACATTTCTTATTTGGCAGGTGTGATTGCAATGGAGTGTAAATCTTCTGGGGCTGATGATGGTGAAATTTGCGTCTGGGGTTTACCTAAGTCTTCAGAGCCTTCTCATTTCCCACTTCTGAAGGTATACCATCACTTCTTACAACTTTAGTCTCTTGTTCAATCTTATAAGTTTGAATCCTGAAGCATCCTAATCTTTATGAGGGACTTATGCAGGGTATTGGTACTGCGACGCAAGGTGGAAACCCTTGGAATAGAAAATTTCAACAAGTATCATCATCTACCTCATACGATGGGACTACTGGTGAGAGTCAGAGTTTTCTCTACCTCTATCAACTCTGCTTCAACTAGTGTTAATGTCTTTGGTGAATGGTGATATTTATGATGCGGTAGGTGTGTTTGCAATGGAGTGGTGTTCAAGTAGCAGCTCGTATCTTCTTACCTGTGCTAAAGACAAACAAACTACTTTCTGGTACACAAATACATCAGTGGTAAGGAGAATGAACGGATTAAAAATTTGGTATTTTGTCTTCAGTATGAACCTGTGAAAATCCTTTTCATAGTTAATGAGAATTCGGGATTTGGATTTGTTGTTCCAACTGGAAATCGAAAGTTCCAGGGCTAAAATGTTATGCGTTTAGTATATTTTAGAAAAACCTTATCGGCAAGAGTTGTTGGACTCCCTTTTCAACACCCATACAAATCATGTGTTCAACACTTTTGGTGCAGGGTCTTTATGGCGTTGAAGAGAATCATTCTGGTACTGGTAATGTCATTAATCCATTGTGAACTATCTGTGTGCTGTTGGTTAGTATTAGAAACAACATCTTTTTTCTTATTCCATCCTCTTTTACGCAGCTCCTCTAAGAGCAGCAAAATGGTATAAGCACAATGTTGGGTTTGGAGGAAAGCTTGGTGCATCTGCAAAGGGTGCTTCGACCATTCAATCTGAGGTAAGTACTTAGGGATGGGAGTATTTTCTGTTTCACCCCTTTTTTTTGCTTCAATTCTTTTCTAAATAAACGTCATGTTCAGGTTTCTCCGCATAGCCTGCTCATTGAACAACGTTTGGTGAAGCAAACATCCTCAGCACCTGATGAGGCCATCCATGATAAAGTAGCAGAGGAAAAGGATCAGGCAGTGGTTTGGCTCTCTGTAGATCTGAGTGGCATTGGATTAGTGGATACTGCGGTACATGCAGCAGCGGAAACTCATGAAATTCTAGAAGAAGAGGAAGAAAGGTCTGGCCCAGCACTTGATGATGCCATCCAGCGTGCTTTGGTTGTTGGAGATCACAAGGAAGTAGTGGTGGATCAGTCTAAATCTGCTGCAAATAAGATGGCCGATGCTTTGGTTGGTGGCAGAGCAGTACTAGTAAGAAACATTTGAAGACGAGCAGCTAGCTTAAATGAAGAAGGTACATCTATCTTCCTTGTCAACTTACTTGATTATACGTGCGTACCATCTGCATCCATGTTTCTTGTCTGTTTTCAGGTGAACAAAGATCTCACAAGTCTTCTCTCTACAAGGTCACATAAGCTCGGGAAAAAAAATCTTGCTATCTTCTCTACTGTAAGTAATATCAGACAGTATTTGATGTAGTTGGTTGGTTTTTAGACAAAAATGATCACTCTGCTCTTCAATACTGAACATTTCAGCATTATACTCTAGAAAAAAAAAGAAGGATGACGTAGATTGTGACTTGAGTTTTGTTGCTGGGAAATAAGTCTAGTTTGTTATTGTACACATATATGGTTTCTTGTTGCCAAGCTTGTTGACTAGACAACATCCGTACAAGACTTGAGTGGTGTTTCTAAAAACATTCGTACACCTAAAAAACCATAATCTAAAATCTCAAAAACTAAAAACCAGAAACTCATAGCCTATATATTGCTAAGCAAATTTAATCTGGTTTTGCACCCTTAAATCAAACTAAAACCTGAATGAGAATCAACCAACCCAAAAATTGAACCGGTTTTGAACAATTAAGCAGTCAACCATCAGTTTAAGAAATTCAAAAAAAATTGAATCTTGGACTTGTTTTATGCTAAACCAGGTTTGAATACAGACTTCGCATATTGCAATTTTCTTCGTACTCTGCTTGTCGCTTATAAGACTGATTGGTATTTGGATTTTCTGTACAGAAAAAAGAGGTATTCAAAGTAAGGGAGCAACAAGAGAAGATACGGGATCTCAAGTTAGAACTGGAGCATGTTTTGAGAAGATAAGATCATACACGATAAAATCACACATTCATATTTTACTTTTAAGGTCATGATGGTTTATGCTAATGCGTATGATATATGTCTTAGTTTTCCTTTTACAGGACTGAACATAGGCTGAAGATGAATTTCTCGAAAGCGGTTTAGGAGATGCAGTTACAAGTGCAAACCTTATAAGGTTCGTCAGACAACAATGTGGTTTGTGTTTGGGTTTGATCACAGCCACTGACATTGACCGAACTCGAAAGCGATGGTTTGGTTTTTAACACTTGAGCTTTTTTTTTCGTTTTGACAATTGGCGCCAATCTAGCAAGACCGTATATTGACATGTAGTGTGGACTGAACTTTTAACGAAGCTCCCTTGGTGGTATTTATAGCAGTAAACCGGAAATTATAATTCTGTATTAAATATGTTTGGCAATTGGGCTCTCCGTCCCGTCCCGGACCGCAGCGGATTCGTCTTCTAGCGGTATGCAATGGGAGCCTGTCCTGCGTGGGATGCAGTCTTGAAAACAACAGCCCAATCCCGTACCACATTTTTTGTAGGCCTTCGCGGGCCATCCCGCAGGACATGTCATAATATGTGCAGCTGAACGATTCAGATCCCTCTGAAATGTTTTAGGCCATTTTAGGACATAGTTCAAGTCGTCGATTCAACTGAACATAATTCATCAATCATTGACTTGCTTATTTTTTTTATTCAAAACATTAATTGTAATTATTTGTATTACAGCCAAAACATATTAACAAACAAAGTAAAAAAAAATTGCAGAAAATATTTTTCATTATGTTATAAATCATAAGTTCATAAGCAATGTTTTAGTTTGGTGAATCCAAAAATTAAATAAAATGAAACACTGAATCAAAAATGCCAATCCCAAATTAAATAAAAAAGAAACCAAATCAAAACACTACTAAAGTTCGAATCGTCATCGCTAGAGCTGTAGTCGTCATCATCGAAGCTCGAATCATTATCCCCAAAGCTCAAATCATCATCATCGCCCGAGATCCTTATGTTTTCTCAAGGGAAGTCACATGAATCGTCTTCTTCTCACTCATTCTCTCGTTTTTTCCAGGTAAAACAAAAAATAAATAAAGAAATGCGGATCCTTGTAATCCCGCGGGACCCGTTTTGGCCCATCTCGCAAAAGACTCAGTCTCGCAAAGACCCATCCCGCAAGACCCGCAAATTTGTGAGCCTAAAAAATCTCGTCCTAATACCATTCCGCGATAGTTCTTTAGGGGCTAGACCCGCGGTCCAAATCCATAATTACCATCTATCTCTATGTTTGTGTTACAATACTATTTTTTGTTTGTTTGTGACAATTTTATTGTGTGAGTTATATATGAAGTTAATGAGTAAACGGAAAGAAAACGAAACCAAAACCCGAAAGACCCACCCTAGATCCATCCGCCAACACATTTGAAGAAAAAGAAAATTTGATTATATAGCCATAAAAAAGAGAAATTTGCAATCCTACCAAAGAATTATAGCATAATTAGCGATATACCAAAGCTCAAAGAATTATAGTCTAGATCCATCCGCCAACACATTTGAAGAAAAAGAAAATTTGATTATATAGCCATAAAAAAAAAAGAGAAATTTGCAATCCTACCAAAGAATTACTGCCTAATTACCGATATACCAAAGCTCAAAAAAAGGCAACTGTTGATGATGGCTTTTTACTCTACTACCCTTTTAACACCAACATCTCTCCTGACCGTAAACCGGAGAAATAGATCAGATCTTCCCAAGATACGCAAACCTAACATCATACTTAATCTATACTGAAAAAATCTTTCCTTTCACATATACCATATCTATATTGGGAAAATCTTTTCTTTCACACATATCACAAAGAACTGAAACATAATTCTCTCACTCAAGAACCATGAAGTTTTTTGAGTTCCAACAAAGTTTTTCGTAAGAAAATATCTTTTTTTTAGAGAAGCAATCTTGCTGACTTGTGATTTGGTCTTGTTGGGTTTGGATTGCGTACAAAGAAGAAACTTTGTTGGAACTCAAAGAGAACATTTGCTTGGATTGGAACATGTTTTTTTTTGGTAGAAAATTTGGTCACTGAGAAACTGAAGATTTTTTTTGGTCTCCAGATAATATGATTAAGTGGATTGTGAAAAAACAATGACAGATTTCTTGTTCCCTAATGGGGATTGATTTAATATTTTTGGACAGGAGAATCCTTAGTTGTTTCTTGAGTAATATGGAAGGTCAAAATACATGTGATTATACTATAATTAGGAGTTTCTTCCTTGTTCCAATATAACATACAAACATGGTTACTCAGTTAGCCTAAAGTTGAATTAGCCAGAAACATAATAAATGTAAATAGCGTAAAGTTAAATTAGCCAGAAACATAATTTATTAACTTATTATTTTTAAAATGTTTATATCAACAAAGTCTTAATAACTGGTTAATAAATATACTAGATGTGCAACATATGTTTGTTAGCCGGCTAAACTATTTTTTTATTTAAAGAACCATTTTCTGTGTTCACATAGGTGTTCAGAAAACTATTTTTTAATATGAATAAAAATAATTATCTAATTTGACAACATATTCGACAAAAAATATAGTCAAGTTAGCCGGAAACATAATTTCTTAACTTATTATTTTTGTAATGTTTACATTCACAAAGTTTTAGTATCTGGTTAATAAATCTAATAGATGTGTAACACATGTTTGTTAGCCGGCTAAACTATATTTTTATTTAAAATTCATATTTTTGTGTTCATGTAGGTGTTCGAAAACATCAAATACAAACTTTTCACCATTTCTGATTCCTAAAAACAATTACCCGGCTAAACAAAAAATTGTTTGTATACTTTTTTATATAACCATTAATAAATTTTGTTGACTTGTTAATTATCATATTATCATATCTGTATTGTGAGGGTTATGAGTCTGAATCTCTAACTTTAATCGAAATCGTTAGGTTATGCAGGTGGAATGAGAGGTGTTGTCTAGACACATTGTATTGATCGTCGAGTAACCTTAAAAATCTTCAGGATGTAAAAAGATGAAAAACAATGAAGTTCAAGAAATATAATGCTTTATGAACTCATGGAGAAATAACTAGATAAACTCATGAATTATTCATACTTCATGATCTTCTTCATTTTTGTTTAGATTTAATAAGAAAAAAAATATCAGAGAAAAAGATTGAAAGAAAAAGACAAATAAGTTTAGCAAATCTAACCCAAATTTTTTTATAATTTTTCCAAATCTACATAAATATTTTTGTCAGCTTAAAGATATATATCCTACCAAATCTATATGTTATCTTGCCAAATCTACCATGATCTTTTGTCAGAGAAAAGTTACAGGGGACATGATCCTGGAAAGCAAGTTGTAAGCCAGGCAGGGTAGTTTCGTCATTTTTACTCCTCATTCTGCTGCGCATAGATTACACTTTCCTAATTTTGATATTCTCCCAATTTCCAACTCTTTCTATGGTTTCTAGCTAAATTGCTCTAAAAAAAACCTAAAAACCTAAATCCATTATCTAACCAAAAACACATTTTTTCACCTCTTTTTCTCTTTCTATATCTCTAACTTCTTACTTAAAAATATAATTTTACTTTTTTTTATAGATACAGTATTCTACAAATAAGACCTTTGAAAAAAGGATAATTGGGTCCATATAACTCTCTTTTGTTTTCTTTTTGTATCTCAACTAATAATTAATTTAGTTTGAGAAAAGCTCTGCGTTCTCTATCTCTTACTTCCCAATCAATCGTCCTCCATCTTCTCAAAGCTTATTCGATCTCTCCCTTATTTCCTCTGGCATCGTAAGTTTTGTTTAATAATTAAAGTCTAAACATTTATTTGAATCTTATTGGAACCTGTGGCCTTTAATCGAAGTTGTTTTTTAGTGCGTAGGGTAGAAGAATAGTTATGAGGAGTTGTTGTAGTAGAGATCGAATCAGCGATTTGCCGGATGAGATTCTTGGCAAAATCCTGTCTTTAGTTCCGACAAAGGTAGCTGTTTCCACATCGGTTCTGTCCAAGAGATGGAGGATGAATAGTAATCTGCTGGCTCTCGTAGACACTCTTAGCTTTGATGAGTCAATGGTTGTGTATCCCAACGAAAAATTAGGAAGTGTTTCATCAGCTGGCTTCTTAGATTTCCTAGACAAGACATTAAGAAACTGTCCCTGTCCGAGCAAGATGCTCAAGAAATTCTCTCTCAGTCATCGAGGAGGCTCCAAGTGCCTTGCTGTCTACGCTTGGATCTTTAGCGCAATGGAGAGAGGTTTCTTGGAAGAATTACACTTGGAATGCACAAGTAACGAAGTTAATCTAGAGAGAAAGCTGTTAACGAGCAGCAACACATTGGTTAAGCTCACACTATCCCGTGAATATTGTCTTGAACTCGACCGTGTCTTTCTCCCTGCCCTCAAATCACTCTCTCTCTTAACAGTTGGAGGTCTTGATTTCAACAACTATCGCCGCCTCATCGAAGGCTGCCCTGTCCTTGAAGAATTGGTCATAACTGATATCCGTGCTGATTCTGCTGATCCTCATCCTCCATTTTGCACAACCTCTGTCGAAAGTGCTTCCATCAAGCGACTCCTGGTCTCTGTCGATATGCCCTGTAGTTCTCCTCATAAACACTCTTTTCAAGAGTTCCATGTTCGAAGCTGTGTTCGAGCGCCAAGCCTTGTCTACCTTGACTATTCCGGTCATGTCTTTATGGATTATCGGTTTCTTGATTTGGATTCGCTTCTCCATGTCAGACTCAATCTCAAGTTATGGAGGAGCCATCACAACAACAACCCAAACAAGACTATTTTTGGTGATGTTACGAACCTAGCTGCCGGTATAAGAAACATTACAACTCTTCACTTGTCTCCTGGTTCACTTGAGGTATATAAATATTTGTATGTATGGTCTCTCTCTCTCTCTCAGTTCAATCTACTCATGGTCTCTCTCACCTTGTTTGTTTGTATATTCATTTTATAGGCGTTTCATTTCTGCTGCAAATCTATGCCGGTGTTCAAAAACCTCCTTAACTTATCTATTGAGAGCAACAAGAAGAAAGGTTGGCAAGTCATGCCACTTTTGCTTAATAGTTGTCCAAATCTACACACTCTTGTCTTCAAGGTAATTTTTCTCAGCTTCTCTCTCTCTTCTTCTTCTTGTTGTTGTTTGTACATTGTCAAGATTGGTGGGGTGGTGTTTTTCCAGGGTCTTGTGCACAGAGTCACAGATAAATGCGGAGATGCATGTGCTTGCCCTCCTAACAACAAGAAGAAGAAGAAGAGTAAGGTTATATCTTCTTGTTTATGGACATGTCAAGTGAAAGTGCTAGAGGTTGTAGAGTATGGGGGTTCTTTTCAAGAGCTTAAACTAATGAGACATTTCTTGGGAAAGTTGGCATGTCTCGAAACCGTGAGAGTTGGTATCGACGCGGACAGGAGCAGGTTCTTGCGAGCTAATCTCTCAACTCTTCCCATACTTTCATCAAATTGCAACAACATCCACTTCATCTGATTCTTTTCTTTCTCAATATCTACTGCCTTAACAAAACCTTGTCAGCTTCTCTATTCTCTTAATGAATGTGTTGCTTTTAATCATGAATCTTATTCTGATCTTAATAAAGTTTGAGACATTTGATTCCAAAAAGCTTCATGAAGTTTATTTAGAGATGAAAGTTACAACTCTTATCACCAAGCATTAGATACAATTACCAGAAGAATTACATCTTTTTATGAAGCAAAGAGAGAACTTAAAGTCAAGAACAAGCAGAAGCATCAAAACTAGGCAACACAATGAAGGACATGGACAATGACGAGACACAAACCGGAGAGTTCACTCCACGGATAACCGGTTCAAGGCTCGGGATATCTCCGGTTTCCGTCGGTTTCAACGGTTTACCATTCAAGACCATTGTCTTGCTCCGTAACTCACCGTTTTCTGGTGTTAGATGATACTCTTCTCTGTTCAGATAACCATCCGAAGCTTTGTTTCCAATCCAAGAAAAAGGTTTCTTCAAAGTATCCAACAATGACTTCTTCTTCGGCTTTGACTCCACATTCAAAGCCACGTTCACACCATTGCTGACACTAACCGTGAAATCTGATTGGTTGCTTAGATTGATCAAAAGCAACGTTACACCAGCCTAAAACCAAGAACAAGAAAACAACAAAGCTTTTCTTCAAAGAAGTCTCTAACGAGAAATATGTATACATCAAGATGAGAGGAGTAACTCACTCTTCCTTTTGAACAATGAGCGTAAACTCGTAGCTGTGGTGGTCCATCTGTCTGAACCGTAAGAACTCCTCCCATTAACCGATGCCATAGAAGTGCACTGTGATACCCAACAGATAACTTAGTCAAAACTTCAAAGATCAATTGGTTACGAACTCTCTCTCTATTACCTATAGTAATCTGGATTTGGAACAAACGTTCCCTTTTCGAGCAGACCATAAAACCCTCCAACCAAAGTCTGTCTGCAGTAAACTTTAGTGTTGTGTTTCGACGACATTCCAAGCTGATCTAGATACCTTTTGTTCAAGACCAAAAAAAAGAGTTTTTATTAGATCAAGAAGCTGATTATTCAAAATATTTTTTGTTGGTGCTTAAGTTTTTACCAGAAGCTGTCTATGAATGTATCAGAAACATGACGTCCACCACTATTGTAAGCTCCACCAGACTCTCCAACCCAAGGAGAAGCCCAAGGTCCATGTTCTTGAATCGTCTTGTTCACGTTCTTGAATGTTTCTGATACTCTGCTTAAGTAACTCGGATCCAGTATCTTCTTCACTAGCTGAGGATCATTCCCTGCAACACTCAAACAGATAAGGCATTTAACTAATGAGAGAGTAAATGGTTTTGATTTGATTTACAAAACCAGACCTGAACCAAGATTGTATATATGATGAGTCACAACGTCAACAACATCTGGACCAGAGATCTCAAGAAGTTTGGTGTACCACTCTTGTTCATAGAATCCTCCAGGGGCAACAAGCAAGGGCTTGATTAACCGAGAGTCTTTATACATTTTGTCGATTATATCTCTTAGTACAATCAAGTCTTTTCCGTAAAGCTCTGCGCTCACACTCGCACCAACTCCGGTTCCACTCAACTCGTTTCCTTACACCAAGAAACAAGAAACGTAAGACCAAAAAAGAAGCTAGACTGTACCTAACCGGCAAATCGGACCTAAACAAAACAAACTTTTTAAAAATGTTACAAAATTGGTCTAGACGTTCAAAAAATGTGGTTAAAAAAGTCCGTCAATACGCCCGCCTAATCAATAATCTCATATAAAACGCCAAATTAACCAGTTCTTGAACTTTGGTAAAAACATGTGAGATATTATGGATAGTGTTACCAAATTCCCAAGAATCTATAGTGTATCCCTTTGAGACAGTGTAGTTGATGAAATCTTGAGTGTTAACATGATTCCAAGCCCCACCCCATGCATTCCCACGTAGCTTGTGTCTCCCATGCAAAGCGTTTAAACCAAAAGTCACTACAGCTCTGTGAAATAAAAAGAATAATAAGAATAAATAAATAACTCAAGATACTACTCTTAACAGGGAAATAATGTGAGAGTGAGGCTTACCCGGATTTGGTTAGGAAACTGTGGAGCTCGTCCCATCTTTTCATATGTAAGCATCCTTTAGAGAATCCAAACAAGCCGCTGCTCATTTTTCTAAATGGATGGCATGGAGTTTGGAGATTTCCTACGTCGTAGATCACTTGATCTTGCAGCGAACCTCCAATTCTTATCCTCAATGGCTTAAAGGCTTAAACAAATACAAAAAAAAAAATCTCTAAAAGAGTCAGAAATCAAGAACACAAGCAATGGCATAAACACTTTAATCTACAAGGTGCAAACCTTGAATAGCTTTAGCAAGAAGAGGACGAGATAAGTCCTGAAAAAACATTCAAATGTGATCAAGCATGTCACTTGTAATCGAGAACGTTAAGAAGAGATTAGTTTTTTTTTTTTGTTATTACCATATTGATAACAGAAGAGTAACCCCAAGGACAATTGTCATAGTTGCACTTGTCATGTGGCCACCAGTCCAATGTCGCACAGACAAAGTTCTCGTCTGTCTCAGCGATTCTACTATCTCCTTGGATAACGATCGATGCACTTTTCATGTCTCGAGCCATTGTTGTCTTTGGAACTAGAACAAGACAACCCAAGAGAAGGAGAAAGATGCAAACTCTGAAGCCCATTGTTCTTTTTTCTAAGCTTCACTATCCAAAGCTTTCAGCTTTTGCTGTTAAATCTAAAACATTAAACAAAATAGAGTGTTGACAACAACAACAACAAAAAAACAGAGAGCTAAAAACCTCTGCAAAATTGTCAGAACAAGCAAGTGATTACAGATAAAGAAAGAGAGAGAGGATTGCATGTGAGTTTAGAAAGGAATAAACTTTTTTCTTTTGGATTTTAGGTCTATTAACTAGGGAGTTAAGTGTAATTAACCCATTTAGAAGAATTTTTCTTTATAAATAAAAAAAACTTTACTTTTGCTGACAACATCAAGAAGAAAGAAAGGCTAATAACCTCTACAATTACCAGAACAAGAAAGTGATTTACAGATTTACAGAGACAAGAGTTGCGTGTGAAAAGGATTCTAAAGTGTAAAAAAACAAGTCGTACCTTCTTCAAATGCAATAACGGCAACCCCTTAATTATGTAAATTAATGTTTTTCAACGACACATGGTCATAATTAAGCATTAACATGAGTCTATGGTAATTAAATTAAGTAACCGTCTATCGAATTTTACGGATTATAATTGCTTTGAATTGTTTTTTTTTTTTTGACAAAGATTTGAATTGGTCACTGAAAAAAGGAAATTAAGAAACCAAAGAAAGAATAAACTAAAAATCGGAAAGGAGTCAAAAGAGTTTGCGGTCACTCGATGATGATAGCAGAAGACTCAAATTCTCAGGTAATTATAACTAAATCTCTTAAGAATTCTTAAAAAATATATAAACCAACCAAGAAAGACTTGTGAGAAAGATCTCAAAGCTCAGAAATGATATCCAAAATCATAATAGATAGAAAAAGAAGCAAGAACTGACCTTAGAATCCAGCTTCAATGGAGAAGAAACTGAGAGTCTGAACTCTGAAAGGGGAAAACGTCTGAGACTTCTGATATATAGTTGAATATGATGATTCTTTCTTGATGACACTTTTAGATCAAAATCTGGGGTGATGTAAAGAAGCGTTAGGTGATCTTTGCAAATTGTCGGCTTCTCTGTATTTTTCACTTGCTCGAGATTATGTTCCTTTTTTCTCTTTCTATTTTTGTATTTATTTGTTACCCTTTATAATTAATATATTCATAGAGTTGGTGGCACTTGATGAATTAAACCTACTTTTGAAACATGAGCTTTGTACCACTTTTTATTCGTTAATTACCTTATTATTATTGTTAATAATTGATTTGGTTTAACGGAAAACAGTTCAAAGCATCTCTTTGAAAACAAGTAAAACCGAAACTGGTGGAGAAAAATAATAATAATAATTCAAAGTTCTTCTTTAGCTGCTAGACATATATTCTTCTGGCTTCTAGCCTTGTCTTTCATTTTCTTACTACTCAAGCTTAGACTAATTACACAATGATTTTATTATTGCATTTATCAAAATGATCATAATATCACTCTTAAGCACAGCTAGATTTTGTACCCAAACTATTTTTTATTTATACAAATAAATTAAACAATCATCCAAAAAAGTCACTTTACAATATTCTTTCGATTTTTCTAATCACAAGCTGTACAAAAGAATAATATCTAGAGAATAATGCAAACATGTTAAGTACTCAAGTCTGAAAAAAAAAATCTCTTTCCTTCCGTTCAGCTGTTATGAACTTTAAGCAATCCAGAATATATAGTAAATATTTTCAAAAAGATTATATAATAAAGACATTAAAAAAATAACACCATTAAAAAGAGCAGGTGCAGTTTAAATAAAAATGAGAAATAAAGTGGTGTCAGAAATAACAATTACAAATGAAATGGTGAAAGTGGAAAGTGGTTCGAATCGGTCCATCTGCAACGCATCACAGACAGTATTGCCACGTGTCTTGCTTGAAATAGAAGCAAGTAGCTGAGACAGATCTATGATCTATCCCTTTCTTTTTTTCTCTTTCTAAACTCCTATCTTTGTCAACCCAATTCATACTTCTTTTTAACTCAAATAAAAGACATAAATTCCTTTTATTTAACATTAATCTTCTTAATACACTCTGTTCCATCTCTAGTAATAGTGTAAATTCATATTTATACCATAGTGATATGGTTTATTCTTTTGCATGAACCTCTAATGCTACTAGCTTTATCTTATTTTAAAAAATACTAAATATTTTTGTTTTGAACTAACTTATGCTTTACGAACCACGCAATGTTGAAAAGTCTATGTGAACAATTTGGTAAGCTACTTTATATTCGTGACACACGAATTATTCAAGGCTGTCACCTTTCTAGAATCAGCAAACAGAAATTGAAACTTTTGGGCCTCATATATAAAACAGGCCTAGCCTTTCACACAATTAGGGATTTTAGAAAACGTATTCTTCAAATGATTGTTGAAAGACTCTGATTGATTCGGCTGAAATTAGCTTAAGCATTTGTTTGTTTATAAATCATATCGGCTGAGGAATGCACTTAGTGCTATAGAGTGGACTGTTTACCACACCACCTAATCCGAGTTTAGAATATCTTCCAATTAATGTGAGAGAGTGAACCGATCATCTGTTACGATCCACCATATAAATCACTTGGGGCAAAATTCAAGCATAGACTGGTCCAGGGGCGAAGGCAGCTTGGTAAATATGGGGGCACGTGCACCCATAAGAATATTACTACATACAATTTTCTTGAGAAATTTGTTAAAACTTTGGTGTAAAAGATGGCAAAAGCCAAGCTGTGCACCCTCTAATATTTCAATGTCAAAGCTTAGTTATATATCTTTAACAATGGTGCACCCATTTTAAAAATATCCTAGCTTCGCCTCTGGACTGGTCAAATAATGATAATTTAGTTCTCAAAAAAAATTAAAATCATGATTGATCTGGGTACACACCAACCCCAAGAGATTATCACTAGACTACCACCACTTTGGTTTAATGTGTGTTATTCCCGATTTGGTTAGTAGTATACAACAATCAAACAGCATTGTTCATATTATTTCACAAACATATGTTTAGGAGTAGAATTTAGGTATATACTTCACTTGCAGCACATCATGTTTTTTCAGTATGATTATTATAGATTATATTGTATTGTTTGGCACGAATAATTAGGAAATTATTTAAAGCATCTCTGTGTTTTTGTTTGGAAGTCAGCATCTAGATCTTATCTTTTTGAATATATAATCAAAAGAAGCCAAAGTCGGTCCATCGCGGCAAGCATCATTCCTTTACAAAAAGACATTGTTTCATATCACCGATCTGTCATAGCCACATTACTTTAATTATCTTACTAGATTTTGACCCGCGCTTAGAAGCGCGGGTTTTTCTTTGATTGTAAATAAAATTTGTGAATTAATATTTTGAAATTGGTGGACATTATTATGTTATAAATTCATTATATCCAAGAAAAACACTTGTTTAAAATTATATAGTTTATAAATTAGCTTACATAAGGTTTGTATGTACATTGCTATATCCCGAAAATATAGTAGTGGTTTCGGTCCGGATCTAGGAAAAGATACGTATTTGATTTTTTTTCTTCAGACATGTGGTCTCTGTTCAATTCCAGGTTGTACCCGAGATTCATCCGGGTATCTAAAGTATTTGAAATGTTTTATGTGTATTAAGTATATCCGGGTATTTCTGATATATATACGGTATTTCCAATGTGTTTTTAATAATATGATTTTTTTTTAAGTTTTGGATCAAAGTTTCCGTTTTTACTTTCGAGTTTCGAGTAAAAATTCGTTTAAAAAACATTGGGTATTGAGGTGCATTTTATAGCATTTTATAAGAGCCATATTTATTGAACACTTGAAACTTCAAATTTTCTTGGTATGTTTTGGCTAACTTAATATTATAGATTTTTCAAATATATTAATATTTTTAACCTTATACTAAATTAAAAAAAATATTTAAATACTTTCATTTAAAAATATTTTAACCTAAAATATAATTTTGGTTTTACATATATTTTGCTAAAGTATTTGTATTAAATTTTTTTGTTTTAATATTTGGACCTATATATTATAGTTGTCTTTGAAAATAAGGTGGCTCAAGCAAATGATATAGTTTTGGTATAACGTTTTTCGTAACAAAAGTATTTTGTTTAATTTATAAAAATATTGACTAAGGTATTGTTAGAGAAATATAAAGTTAATTATATGGTAAAATGTTTTTGTTATTGATGTATAATAAGCAATAAGAATATAAGATAGACTAAAGCAAAATGTTGATATGTATTGCACATTACTTTTTACTGTTAGAGAAATATAAGATAAGACTAAAATATTGTTTAGAGTAGAATATTAGAAAGATTTGATTAGATGATATTTAAGTGGAATGAATAAGAAATGTTGTTGTATGACATNCTGTTAGAGAAATATAAGATAAGACTAAAATATTGTTTAGAGTAGAATATTAGAAAGATTTGATTAGATGATATTTAAGTGGAATGAATAAGAAATGTTGTTGTATGACATTTTCATACCACTATTACGTATTTTTCATATATTATATTAAATAGATAAATGGTGTTGTATGACTTTTATTAACGTTGATTAGTAATAAAGTTAACATATGTGTTGTCAAAAAAAAAACATATGTGTTTTGTCTTATTTACTTTGGTTCAATACTTATATTTGAGGGGAGCTGTAACTTAACTATTATGTGTCTTAGTTAAGTTAAGAATAATGAACGATTAAAATAAAAACTAATAGAATAGTAATTCATTTAATTTAGGTAAGGATCCCACAAATTGTATTGCTATAATATAGGGTGAATATATGGCATGAGTTTATAATATATAAAGAGGAGACAAAAAAAAAAAGGAAATAGTCCAAACAATTTTATAGGTAGATTTATTTAAACTCCTTCTCTTTTAATAGTATAGATGGTTAGATATTATTACATTATTAATACGGAGTATTAAACAATGTATTAATAGCATTAAACATCCCAAATCTAAGAAAAAATTAGGAAAATACAAAAAAAAATGTCAAAAGATTCTCTCCTTCCCTCTCTTTCTTGACCGTCCAATTTTTGTGTGTGTTTTTTCTTTCTTCCTAAAAAATCAAATCTATCTTCTCGTTTTTTATTGTTCCTCTGAACTTCTCAGATCATTCATCTTCCTCTGGGCAACTACTGATACTAATTCTCCAAAACTATATATATATTTTTTTTTCAGGTTTCATTAGTTTGAATCGTCTTGAGAGATCTAAAAGGTAACAACTTTCTACTTTGTATCTGTTACAGTTGACTTCGGTTTATTAGCTGACTTTGTTAGTGTCTTCTTCATATCATTACAGAACTTAAGATCGTAAACCAATGCGTTCTGTTTGATTAAAAAATAAATTCTTTTATCTTATGGAACCAAAAAGATTCAGTCTTGGTAGACTTTTAATCCTCAAAATATGTTTTTATTAGATTTGATCGGAACAACAGTTTAGCATCAAGACACACTGATCTTGATCTATCACATGCTTTAGTAAAATAAAATTGTTGATTTTGATGATCACTAGATCCTTCAGTAACGTTTTAGCATATATATATGCAGTTTTTGATAGATTGCAATGGCTGAAGAGAATGTTTCTCAAGTTAAAGAGATGATGATGATGATACCAAATGATGAGCATTGTTGTTTCGATGATTATGCGAAACCAACCTCTGTTGAAACAACAATGCCACCTCTTATGGTTGAAGAGATTCAAGGAGATGATGAAGAGGATGTTCTTCTTACTCCTCCTCCACCTCCAGCTGCAGTAGTATCTAGTGGTAGTGTGAATCCGAGACGGCACTCAACTGGAGCATTAGGTAAAGCTCAGGCTCAAACACGTTACCGTGGGAACCAAACTAGTTCAACTCATGATCTATGTAAACACGGGAAGAGGCGTGAGGAAGATGTGGTGATCAAACCGTGGAAGCTTGTTAAGAAAAAGGATGTTGAAAGTGGAGGAGGAGATTTGGTGAAAGGTGAGGGTGTGAGTGTGGTGAGGAAGTCGTTGCTGGTTGCAAAGAGAGATGCTGCTACTACTAGTGAGGTTGTTAAATCTTATGATGGTTTATTACGTGCTAAGAGAAGTGAAACCAAGACTCCGAGTGATTCACCTGCTGCTGGTGTAAGAATGGTCAAGAAGACAAATGCTGATGTTAAGAAGGTTTCAATGAGCAGTGAGAACAAAGAGGATGTTGTGAAGAGTCTGAAGAAGAAAGAGAAGAAGACTGAGACTGATGATGTGGTGGAGAAGAAGGCTACAAGGATCAGCGAGAGCAAGAGTTCTAAAGAGGATCTTGTGAAGACTCTGAAGAAGAAAGAGATTGATGAGGCGGTTAGATGTGATGATGTAGTGGAGAAGACTTTGTACGTTGTTGAATCCAGTATTGAGGAGAATAAGAAGATGATCACAAGTGTTAAGAGTGAGATTCAGAAATCTTCTGAGAAGAAGATCTTAAGAGGCAGCGGTAAGAATAGACCTACACTTATACCGTCTTTGTCACCATCCTCAGAGAAAGTTAAAGATCCACGAGTTACAAAATCAGATCCTAGGCCAATCAGAAAGACTACTTTAAGGTCCAAGACTGGTTTGTCTGAGAAGAATGAGAGTAGTTCTGCAACTCTTGTGACTAAGCCAAAGAGGATTGGTTTAAAGCTCACTCCTCCTCCTTCTGGTCTTCCAACTAGGCCGGGGAGTTTCAGGAAAGGGAAAGTTCATGAACCGAAACAAGAAGACTCTACTTCCACATCAATCAAGTTAAAGAAGAGAGTTGTTCAAGAACCAAAGCTCAGAAGCGATGGGAGCAAGAAGAAGAAGAACCTGAAAGATGTTGGGAAGGTGAGTAGTTATAACAGCGGTGAAGGTAAACGAGAGAAGGTTGTTTTGAGGCATAGAAAAGTTGAAGCAAAGAAGAAGTTGCAGACACTTTTCAATAATGTGATTGAAGAGACTGTGAATAAGCTTGAAGAAGTGAGGAAGAGCAAAGTTAAAGCATTAGTTGGTGCTTTTGAGACTGTGATCTCTCTTCAAGATAATGATGTAAACACTCATAAGAAGAAGAAGGTGCAAAGCAAATCCGCATCTTCACAGGTCGTTGAAGGCTAGTCCTTGGGATTAATGTGGAATGATTTGGTAAAGAAAGAGATAACACTTGTGAATGTGTGATACAGTGGGACAAATGGTTTTGTTTGTTTATGAATACTGTTATGTAAAATTTTCAATGATGTCATCTATCTGATTGCTTCTTTGAAGATATGCCAAAGCAAATGTATTTGCATTTCTCTATGACCAACTTCTCAGGCTTGCTTGGATTGAAAGCTTCTTTTTTTTTCTTGGGAGTTTCTTGACAGAGAAGCAAAGTGGTCCTTTATCTTCAACTTTGATAAGAGAATCCTCATTTTTACTAGTTTTAAAGATTTGGAAACGATATGTTTTGTTTTCCTTTCTAATACTCTCAGTTTCTCAGTTCACTTGAATGATTACTGGAAAAAATATTATTTTCTGCAAATATTAAATTCTCAAGAAATATTTTTTTCTGCAAATATTGACTTTAGAACTGAATGTAGGAATGGGCCTCATACCACAACATGGGCCATCTTTTAAGTTGACATGCGCGCGCACCTAAACAGAGTTAACTTTCTTTTTTTTGTCAACAAAACAGAGTTAACTATTTACTAGACTGCGATGACGTTTTATTAACAGCATTAACATTCTCAAAATACACATTTCTCATATATTAACGTGATAAACTTTTTTTTTAAACGTAGTTTAAGTTTTAATAGATATACACCATGAAACCAGCTTGTTGCATGAGATAATGTTTGGCTCCAGTCGTACAGAAATCAAGTTTCACGAGATAAAATTTCCCTCTTTCATTTTTTTATTTTTATTTTTGTTAAATCTGAGTTTGGTTTTCGTGAGGGGGCATGCATGTATATAGTTAGTTGTAGGATGCTATCATGATAAGATTCAGTGAAATAATTGCTGATGTTCCCTTGCCTTCAAGAATTACTCTTACATGGTGGAGGCCCATATCAGTCTTCAACTCCCAACTTTAATAATTTTGTTATGTATATAAATGCTTAAAATATTTACATATATATTATTATGTATGTATGTATACGAGACGTATTCAGCCATTTGTGACTAATTTATCATCAATAAAGGATATAGCAAGTGGAATGAACCGTGGTCAAGAAAATAAAATATCTTGTGTTTCGGTTTAAGTCAAGATTCAGTTAAATTAATTTTCTGGTTCTATTGGTTTTAAATTCAACCAATTGGACGAACGTTCCTCAATGTATTTAGACAAAACCTCTTAATTAGAAGCTGAAGTTTATAAACATATCAAAATGCGTACAATGTTCAGCCCTTTCAGCAACCAAAAAGAAAAAAAAATGAATGTGCAAAGATTCTTCTTAACTTGATGCGATCGGCACTACTCATGCATATATTCTCTCTCAAAACTACATGTGCAGCCCGTAGATTTTAGTTTTATTAATAGTTCAGGAAGTAGACTATGTCTGAACGCATGCTACCAATAATGTGCATAATCGTTAATAATCTTAACAATCTTTTATAAGACAGTCCATGTGATCAACTCTGAATAAAATAAACAGAAGAAGATTATTATCAGCGCGTTTCAATCAGAAGACAAAGCATTAAGTCATTTCAAGCGAAGACTAGAAGGCAAAAGAAACAAATGAATTTATGAAATTAAACTCGAGAGGTTGAATGTTAATTTTTAAAAAGTTATATAAATCCCCACAAGTGTTTTTTGATAAAAATATTTATATTTACTTAATAAAATAATCTAATACACTCATTAATTCAAGAGTAACATAATTAATTGACCACATCTTAGTATACTGTATATATATAATATATATATAGGTTGGTAATGTTTCCAACAAACCCTAAGTACAACTTTTAACAGCAAGGCTTACTTTGATTAAGAGGGACACAATAGCCATTATTGTGCGTCTCAAGACTGTTTTCACCTTTTATTCTTTTAACTTTGTAGGAAAGGGTTTACTTATCTTTTGTCTCACTTTTTCTTATTTTATAATTTTGTTATAAAATTTAATATTAGTTTCTAACTCGTACTTATTGTTTTGGATGTTTAAAAAAATTCACTTATATTAGTTTTAGGCTTATATACACGTATCTTTCTAATTTTTTTTTTTATGAACAAAACATTATATTGCAGTTTAGAGCTTTATATTTCAATCATAGTTCTGCCTATATATCTGTAAAATCAAATATCTTTCTGTATGGAAAATATATATTAAGCATGTTTTTGAAGGAAAAAAAGATTATAGAAGCATCTAGTGAGAAAATTGTATTAAAATTCGCCTGAAAGAATACAAGTACTCCAAAAATATTTACATATAATTTTTTAAATAATATCATATTCCTAAATTAATTCGGAAAACATTACTTTTGTGAAGGTTGAACACATGTATCTTCCTAAGATCGCCAGACTAGTTATAGTTATCATTTTTAGTACACATAAGAAATCAAATGCCGAAGCAATGATGTAGGATATATAAAATTGTTTCCTAAGGGAAATGATGATTTTTAAATTAAATTATAATCCTCTTTTGCTTTAAACAGGACAAAAATGCAACTAAAAAAATACACTTCTTTCTAAAGGATCTTGCTCAAATAAAGAGTCATGTCGTTGGTGGATCGGTCAGAGTTTACTATATATGTAAGTAAATGTGAAATAATTTCGTAACCAATAAAAAGTAGACAAACTAGAAAAAGACGTATCGAGTAGTAGTAGTGAGAAAGTCTTAGTTTAACCCCAAAGAAGAGAGTCATAATTTCAACTATAAAAACAACATCCCGCGAGAGACTACACAACGAAATCAAATAATAAAACTCATAGTAAATCCACCTTTTCTTCAAAACCTCCCAAGGAAAAAATTAGCAAGAATGGTTTCGGTCACATCATCAGAAGCATCAAGAAGCCGGTCAAAGAAGGTGTGTGTGATCGGAGCTGGACCGTCTGGGCTGGTCTCAGCGAGGGAGCTAAGAAAAGAAGGACACAAAGTGGTGGTGATGGAGCAAAACGATGACGTAGGAGGTCAATGGTTGTATCAACCAAACGTAGAAGAAGAAGATCCTTTAGGAAGAAGTAATGTTCCTATTGATGGTGCACTTAAGGTCCATAGCAGCATTTACTCTTCCTTGAGGCTAACCTCACCGAGAGAGATAATGGGTTATTCAGATTTTCCATTTTTGGCGAAGAAAGGGAGAGATATGAGGAGGTTTCCAGGGCACAAGGAGCTTTGGCTGTATCTAAAGGACTTTAGTGAAGCTTTTGGGATAAGAGAGATGATTAGGTTCAATGTTAGGGTTGAGTTTGTAGGTGAAGAAGAAAAAAAGGAAGATGTGAGGAGATGGATTGTGAGGAGTAGAGAGAAACTAAGCGGTAAGGTCATGGAAGAGATCTATGATGCTGTTGTTGTTGCTACTGGGCATTACTCTCACCCTAGACTTCCCTCTATAAAAGGTATTTATCATTTGTTTTTCTCGTTACTTCATTTAATAATTTTATTATCAATATATAGTAAACATAGTAGTTGACATCATGTTAATTATTTGAGTGGATTTTCTGTGCTAAAATTATATGTCACATCAATTGTAGGAATGGACTCATGGAAAAGGAAGCAAGTTCATAGCCATGTTTACCGAGTGCCTGATCCATTTCGTAATGAGGTGATTAAATCTCTCTATATGTAACTGAATTCATATTTAGTGAAGATAATGATGGTTACGATACTGACGATGGTAATGTAGGTAGTGGTGGTGGTTGGGAACTCAATGAGTGGACAAGACATATCAATGGAGCTTGTAGAAGTGGCAAAAGAAGTTCATTTAAGTTCCAAGTCACTTGAGATATCTTCTGGACTCTCCAAAGTCATTTCCAAACACCAAAACCTTATTCTTCACCCACAGGTTCTCTTTACTTAAATAAATGTTATTTTTAATCATATGTTTATAAATTTGGATTTAAAAGTTTCTATGTGTTTGATTTTTGTTTTGTAGATTGAATCTTTAGAAGATGATGGGAGAGTTATTTTTGTGGATGGAACTTGGGTCGTCGCTGATACAATATTATATTGCACCGGGTAAGATAGATTGGATAAAACAAAACATCTCATATTTATATATTGATTAATATGATTAGTAAACAAATATTCACACATATTAAAGTAGTCTAACTTGCTACTTTTTGTTTCCGTTAGATAAGACAAACATATGGTGATTAAGGCTTTACTAAGATAGCGCTTTAACCGTAATTCTTGAACGTTAAGTTCGGTTTAATTAACTACTATGACTTTGTGGGGTATGATCAAGGTCTTCATCGACATCATAAAATCATATTGCTTCAATTTAATATAAAAAATAAAAAGGAGGCAAAGTAACAATAAAGTATGGTTTGATCATTAGGATCTGCATGATATTGCGTAACTTATGTCTTAGTTCAACGAGAAAATCATATCGATTGAAATAATGTCGACCAAAGAGAGATATAAATTACTGAACCTAAAGCTATATGTTGTCTAGGCTACAAATCTTTTTTGCACCATTGGTCTTCTCAATAAATTTCACTACCCTAGTTCTTGGAGTAATAATTTTTTTTTGTCATCTCTTAGAGTAATAATTGTTTTAACTAATTATCGTATTAATTAATTATATGTGGGGGACCAAAAAAACAGGTACTCGTATAAGTTTCCATTTCTTGAGAGTAAAGGAAGAGTAGAAGTAGATGATGATAGAGTTGGCCCACTCTTCGAACATACTTTCCCTCCTTGTCTCTCCCCTTCTCTTTCCTTTGTCGGAATCCCCAGAAAGGTCTCTCTCTCTCTACTTACTTTTGGTTCAAGTAACTAAATTATTATTTGTTTTTTTATTAATTTCTCTAAAGTAAAATAATGGTTTTGTGCAGTTAATAGGATTCCCATTCTTTGAAGCACAAGCAAAGTGGATAGCACAAGTGTTGTCTGGAAAGTCATCTCTTCCTTCTTCCGACCAAATGTTGCAATCTGTCGCCGAGTTTTACCGGTCTAGAGATCTAGCTGGTGTCCCAAAACACAACACTCACGACATTGCCGATTTCACGGTACTAAAAAACAGGATTTTAAAATATTTATTTAATACAATTTAACGTAATATTGAACTTTTTTTTTTTTTTTTTTTTGCTTTAGTATTGTGACAAGTATGCGGATTATGTTGGGTTTCCGCATTTGGAAGAATGGAGAAAGCAACTTTGTTTGTCTGCTCTCACCAACTCACAGGAGAATCTTGAGACGTATCGTGATTCTTGGGATGATCATGAACTCCTACAAGAAGCTCTGCAAAGCTCTCATTTTACAAATTTTAATTGTTGAAAGTACTCGTCTCTTGTTATGTGTTTCTTTCTTTTGTTATGTTGAAGAAAGAATCTCTCTTTCTTTCTTTTTATTTAGTCTGGTCTGTTTATGTTTCTGGTTGATATTTATATGCTTAATATTCATACATTTATTCATGTGTTGCCTTTAGTGAAGATCTTTGAACAAAAGTGTGTCCATACAATTATTCATATGTTGACTTTAATGGAGTATCATACTCAAAATCAATGGAGATCTTTGCTAATCAATAAGATCCTCTACCAGCCAATATGAGATATTGGTGCTAGTCCACGCGTTGGGGGAGGTGGTGGCGGTGGGGCTTTATCAGCCGGTTTTAGCACTCTAGCAGAGTAAAGGGTATCTATTTCTGATACATCAAACTCTGGTGCACTAGCAGAAAAAATATATCATTAATTAGTTGCAAACCAATCTCAATAACTTAATAATATGTTGTTGGGTATAAATAAAAGTATGCAAAAGATGGAGTTAGTCTAAATACGTTTGTCCTTCCCCATCTATCTCTTGTATCTCTTCCCATATGCCTGGACACAAGGTCCTAACCCAATTAACAGGCGGAGGTCGAGACCTAAATGGAGGTGGTGGTGGTGGAGGTGGAGGTGGTGGTGGGGATCCTCTACGCATTGGAGGAGTTGGTGGTGGTGATGGGGATCTTCTACGCATGGGAGGAGGAGGTGGTGGTGGTGGAGGAGGTCCACCAGACCTAAATAGAGGTGGTGGTGGGGCTCCTCTACGCATAGGAGGAGGTGGTGGTGGTGGTATGGCTCCTCCACGCATCGGAGGTGGTTGAGGCAGTGGTGCTCTTTCAAGCATCAAGGGAGCTGTTGCGGTAACAGGCACCATGGCGTCAGCGTCAAAAAAGAGTACCTGATACATATATACGAGTATGCATTCAAACTTGACATCCTCATAAAAATGGATGATGAGAGAAAGTTTCACAATGGCGCCTTACCTCTGCAAACTAAGATGACGTAGCTCACAAGACAAAACAAGAAGCAGAGATTTTACGAAACCACAAGAACAACCTTTCTTCTTCGATTTATAACAATGAACCCTCAGCAAAATGATGAAGACAAAGTTGACTTTGCGCCAAGACTGCTTCTCTCGGAATTCGACCGTTTCTTTTACATAAATTAACAAACAGATATCGTTTACCAAATCAAAAAAAAATTAATAAACAAAGTAAAACATTCGATTCCGGCTGTGAATAAATTTTTTTTTGGCTGTCAATAACTGCCACCATATTTCTTGAAGATTTTCAATCACCAAAGACGCGGAATCACAAATCACTTTAATCACATGTTTTCTTTTAAAACAAAGATAATATATTTTGTGATTTAGCTTAATAATTGTTCTACAGTTCGTAAAATATTAAGGCAAGATATGCATCTTGATTCCTCTTTATCCTAAAAGAGCACAACGTTAGTACATGAGTATTATTTTTGATATATTTTCTCTTTTTGATAAATTAAAGATGAGATCTCTTTACTAAATCTTTTTTCTTACACCATGAAAGTTGAAAACCTCACGTAATACCGATTCATTATATAAATGTGAAATGTTTATATAGCTGCTTGTTCATACACGGAAATGTTTATATAATGACCTGTTCATATTGCTGAAAGTTTATACGATTGCTTGTTCATATTCCGGATGAATTATATAATGAATTTTAACGAATTTCAGTAACGTGTTTAGACAGATGGAGATCACAGATTGGACTTCTTTGTTTAATTTATTTTTGGTAAGAGGACTATATATATATATATTCGTTAAAAAAATTATATTTTATGATCAAGAAAAACGTGGTTGAAAAATTATACATTTCCACGTAGGATAACACAAAACACCTATACAAAGAAAGAGAACCGTCTGGTCGTGTCGTGCCGTGTTGTCAGGAGAGGACTCCGAACCGAGAGTCCACCACTACGTTTTTTTTTGTTTTTGGTCAACCACCACTACGTTTTAAACTTTTAATTAGGCCGGTAAGGTAAGTAATTCTCAAATACTTTAATTTTTGCTTTAATTAATACATTTTAAAGTTATGAATTAAATAATTTGATCAAAAAAAACTGCTGGAAGATTTCTAGCTTGATTCATCCTCTTTCTCCTCCTCCATCTTCTTTTTTCACCTCAAATTCTTCATCATCTTCTTCCCTCTTGTTTATTTTTTAACAACTACTATTTTGATTTAGCTTGGAAGATTCTTTGTGTTCTAGAGGTGTTTCAGTTATTGTACATATAGAAGATCAGTAATATACTTTATAGAAAAACAAGTTTTCTGGAATTAGGGTTTTAGGTAGCAGTAGAGAATGATCTGCTTTGTTGCTTGACTAATCTAACGGTTTGGATTCCATCAGAGGATCAGATGGCGATGCTCCGTCGCTTATTCTACAAAAAGCGACCCGATCACCTTCTCGAGATCTCTGAGCGTGTTTATGGTAACATCCCTTTTTTTTTGCTCCCTCCCCTGTTTTTTCCTCTGTTTCTTGGATCAGTTTTGTTACTGATAAAAAAAAAGGATTAATTTTGCTACAAGCTTCTGGATGGTGGAGGGTTTTTGGCACTTTGATTGCAGTTGAGAATTTTGCAATTGATGCTATTTGAGTTCAACCTTTTTTTTTTTTCTTTTTTTGTCAATTTGGTCACTTTGGGCCGAAATCCTCAAACTGAGGTAAGGAGGGGTCGAACCCCTAACGCCAGGGCCCAAGGCAGAGCTCAGTTGCCATTTGGCTACGAACGACCCGGCATGAGTTCAACCTTTTTATCTCTTAGGATTTGTGTAAAAAAAATAACTTTTAACTTTTAGAAGATCAATTTTACAGCCTACACTTGAAACTTTGGGTTTTTCTATTTGAGCCTGCTACATTGCAGTTCTAGAGTTTGACTATTTATTTGTAACTTGGTAAAGCAGTTTCCAGGTGTTTAAGAGTTGTTTCTTTAATGTTTCTTCTTTTGCAGTTTTTGACTGTTGTTTCTCTGCCAATGTCATGGGAGAGGATGACTACAAACTCTACTTAGGTGGCATCGTGGCTCAGCTACAGAAACTTTTCCCAGATGCATCTTTCATGGTGTTTAACTTCAAAGAAGGAGAAGAGCCTAGTCTAATATCAAATGTCTTGTCTCAGTACAACAACATGACGGTTATGGAATATCCTCGGCATTTTGAGAGTTGTCCTCTTTTACCTCTTGAAATGATCCATCACTTTTTGAGATCGAGCGAGAGCTGGTTGTCTTTGGAAGGTCAACAGAATTTTCTGTTGATGCATTGCGAAACAGGTGGTTGGCCTATTCTTGCGTTTATGTTAGCAGGGCTTTTGTTATACAGAAAGCAGTATCAGGGAGAGGAGAAGACTCTTGAGATGGTGCATAAACAGGCTCCCAAGGAGCTTCTTCAGATATTGTCTCCTTTAAACCCTCAGCCTTCTCAACTCAGATATCTTCAGTACATTTCTGGAAGAAGTTTAGGGGTTGATTGGCCTCCTTTAGATACGCCTCTTCTTTTGGATTGCTTGATTCTTAGAGATCTCCCACGTTTTGATGGCGGTAAAGTTTGCAGACCAGTTTTACGAGTTTATGGTCAGGATCCTAAAGCCAGAGCCGACAGGAGTTCTATAGTTCTCTTTTCCACACCAAAGACAAATACACACACTCGCCTCTACCAACAGGTTCTTTTCAAACTTTTTTATCTTTGTGACATATATGAATCTGATAATCAATTTGTCACACTGTGAACACGACATTGTTTAGCTAATGTATACTTTCCATTTGAACTTGGGACGGTGATGTAATGCCAGAGCTAAACGCTTCTCTAAATAGTAATGTTCATTATTTTGATGTTATCTGCAGGAAGAGTGTACCATGGTGAAATTTGATATTCAGTGCCGTGTCCAAGGGGATGTTGTTCTGGAATGTATACACTTGCATGATGATTTGGTGCATGAGGAGATGGTCTTTAGAATCATGTTCCACACAGCATTTGTAAGTGGTAATGTTTTAAAGGTCCAACGTGATGAGATGGATATACCTTGGGATGCCAAGGACCAGTTCCCAAAGGAATTCAAAGCAGAGGTAAGACCAATATAAAATTCTCTGATCATCCGTCGAATGAGGCTGTTAAGTTTGAATGCATGCTCATATATGTATCAGGTATGTTTTTCTGGTGCTGATCCCATGTTGCCTACTATCGTAACATCCTCAATGTCAGAAGATGAGAAGGACTCAGATATCATCACTTCACCTGAAAAATTCTATGAGGTGGAGGAGACTTTTAGCCATGTGATTGATGACCATAAGATTGACTCAGATAGTTTTGCAGTAGTTGATACTGCTTCGGATGATTCTGAGGGTAAAGAGGTGTGGAAGGGGGACGTGGAACCCAATGCGTTTCTAGATTGTGCATCTGATGATTCAAATCATAAACGTGATGTGCATGAGGAGGCTAGCACAGATCCAGTTAAAGATATAACTGTTGATGGTGTACAGTATGTGTCAGATGGGAAAGCAGATATTAGTATCGACTCAGTGAAGGATATAGGAATAGATGATGGTGATGAGCAGCGGAAGAGAAGGACTATGGAAGCAAATGAAAGTGATTCTATAACAGCTGAGAGTCCACACAAAGGTGGTGGAGATGGCAATGATTTAGAGTCTACATCTCAGGAAACGCAAGCTACACCAAGGAAACAGGCCGGAGAAAATGCAAAACTGGTTGGAGATTTACTCAAACCGAAGTTTCCTGTATACTTATCACCGGGTCAAACCAGCAGCCACTCTCAAACATCTCATATCCCACTGCCACCGCCTCCTCCACCACCACCTCCGTTTGCATCTGCCAGGCGAAACAGTGAAACCAAATTACCTCCTCCACCACCACCTCCACCACCGTGGAAGTCTATGGATACTTTGGGTTCTGAAACTCATGAGACATGCTCTACATCTTACAGTTCTCCACCACCTCCTCCACCACCACCTCCTCCTCCTTTTAGTAAAGCACATTCAGTCCCTCCACCTCCACCACCACTACCTCCTCCACTTAGTAAAGCACATTCAATCCCTCCTCCTCCTCCACCTCCACCTCCTCCTCCTTTTAGTAAAGCACATTCAGTCCCTCCGCCTCCACCACCTCCGCCTCCTTTTAGTAAAGCACATTCAATCCCTCCTCCTCCTTTTAGTAAAGCACATTCAGTCCCTCCGCCTCCACCACCAACTCCTCCTCTTAGTAAAGCACATTCAGTCCCTCCTCCTCCACCGCCTCCTCCGAGTTATGGACCTCCAATTCCTCCACCACCTCCTCCTCCGAGTTATGGACCTCCTCCTCCTCCACCACCGCCTCCTTTTAGTAAAACTTCACCTCCTCCTCCTCCACCACCACCTCCATTTAAGTCTGGTGGACCTCCGCCGCCACCACCACCTCCATTGAGGTCTGGTGGACCTCCCCCGCCACCTCCCATACCAATGGGTGCTCCACCTCCACCACCTCCTCCAATGCGTGGAGATGCCCCACGGCCACCACCTCCCCCGATTCGTGGAGGAGCCCCTCCTCTGCCTCCTGGACCAAGACCTCCAGGTGGTGGACCTCCTCCACCTCCTGGACCAAGACCTTTTGGTAGTGGACCTCCTGATCCTAAGGGTGCAGGAGGAGGGCGTATTCTACGTCCACCTCAAAAAAAGTCTTCTCTGAAGCCTTTATATTGGGTTAAACTAGCAAGGGCCTTGCAGGGAAGCTTATGGTACGAGTTCGAGAGACGTGGAGTAGGAAAAATGTATGTCTTTGCATTCCTCTATCTTTTATATTCCTCACTTGCAACTTTTTTTCTAAAAAAAAAAAAAAAATTCTAACTTACTGGTATTGGTTTGCAATTAATCATCATTTTTCTTGCTAGTGCACAAGAATTTGATGTATCAGAAATAGAGACGCTGTTCCCTGCTACAGTGCCAAAACCGGCTGATAAATCTGGAGGTCGAAGAAAACCGATAGTGCCAAAACTTGAAAAAATTCAACTGGTAATGTTATAATTCTAAAGACTCGGTTGTCGACAGATATAATAAATGCTCTTTCGACTTTGGTCATGGACTTATAGTCAAGTGACTGAAAACATGTTGTGATTAAGATATAAAAATGTCATTTTGATTGATTTATTGCTTCTTTTATGGTTTCCAGATTGACCTTAAGAGAGCCAATAACACGGAAATTATGCTTACGAAAGTAAAGATGCCACTGCCTGATATTACGGTAAGCTCTGAAACCTACTTTACTTCGAGTACAAGTCATTATTGCTTAATCTCTTTTATAATTTTTCACAATTTTCTTTGCATCATCCAGGCTGCTGTGCTGGCAATGGATGATACTGTATTAGATATTGATCAGATAGAGAATCTTGTAAAGTTTTGTCCAACCAAGGAAGAGATGGAAGTTCTTAAGGTTACTTCTTTTCTTTTGTGTACCATTGTTTACTTGTCTTTTTTTACTGACACGAGTCCTTAATCTTGGTTGTAATTGACTGTTTTACTACAGAACTACAAGGGTGACAAAACAATCTTGGGAAAGTGTGAGCAGGTCTGATCTAGATCATGAGATTACCAACCTTTGTTTCTCACTATATAATACATTTACAATTTTGCTTATCTATACGTTTTGGTCTCGCATCCATTTTTGTTACCACAGTACTTCCTAGAGCTAATGAAGGTGCCACGAGTAGAATCAAAGATGAGAGTATTTTTATTCAAGATTCAGTTCAGCACTCAGGTCCGGTTCACAGTGTCTTATATGACTCTGTACTACTATTGGTCTTACTGTTAATGATGATTACTATGCAGATTGCAGAATTCAAGAAAAGTTTAAACGCGGTAAATTCTGCCTGTGATGAGGTTAGATGCTTGCAGGAATTAAGATTTTTTCTGTTGTCAATATGCATTTCTCTTGCTTTAGACGTTTTCTCCGCATTGATTGTTAATCAGATCCGTACTTCAGAAAAGCTAAAAGAAATTATACAAAGGATTCTTTACTTGGGGAACATAATGAACCAGGGGACTGCGAGAGGTAAGTTTAATGTTTTTCTTATTCAACATTTTTCTACTCAAAACATTTATGTGTTCAAATGTGAGCTTTGATTCAAGAGTGGGGCCTTTGTTTCATTGCATCATATGCTTGTTTTGTCTGAAAGCAAATCCGTTGTTCTGCTTTCTGCAGGCGCTGCAGTAGCATTCAAGTTGGACAGTTTATTAAAATTAAACGATACACGTGCTGTTAACAGCAAGATGACTCTCATGCATTATCTCTGCAAGGTAAAGTACAATCTCCAAAAAAAAAAAAAAAGAGCCTCTAGATTATGTTTTAGAAGTGATACATAATCTTCAAACTCTCCTTCTCCAGGTCATTGCTACTAAGGCGTCAGATCTACTTGACTTCCATAAGGATCTTGAAAGTCTTGAGACAGCTTCAAAGGTTTTTGCGTTTGTGCTTTATATGTCCTCCACACCTTAGTTGTAATTGGCTCATCATTTTGACTGTCCCTCCTATGTTCAGATACAATTGAAGTCGCTGGCTGAGGAAAAGGAAGCTATTATCAAAGGGTTGGAAATACTGAAGCAGGAGCTCACTGCATCCGAAAGTGATGTTCCTGTTTCTGAAGTTTTCCGTAAAGTATGTTGTTGTTTTTTTCTTTATGCCGTATATCTAAACCATTATCATTACAGCTGGTTACAGATACTAAAACCTAGTTTTATGTTTTTTTTGGTAACAGACATTAAAGGAGTTCATTACCATTGCTGAGGCTGAAGCGGAAACTGTAAAGAGTCTTTACTCCGACGTGGTAATTTGTCAACCTGTACTAGATCCGAAGCTCTGACACTCAGACAATATGTTTGACTCTTTGAAATGTTGTTTTATAATGGACAGGGAAAGAATGCTGATTTACTCTCGGGCTATTTTGGAGAGAATCCCAAAAACTGTACATTTGAACAAGGTTTGGCGCAGAATATCTTTTCACATTAGAAAGTGGTTCGTTGTTATATTATATAGCTAATAACAATGTGTGGTGATTGAGTGTTGCAGTTACTGTAACACTCGTGACTTTTGTAAGGTTGTTTAAAAGTGCACACGAGGAGAATATGAAGCAAGTGGAATTGGATAAGAAGAAAGCAGCTAAGGAAGCGGAAGTGGAGAAGGCGAAAGGAGTTGCTCTCAAGAAAACAAAAAAAGCAGTTGATGATAGCTGACGCAGAAACATAAATCTTATTTTGCAAACTCCTCCTTAATCTCTCACAGCGAGAGGCGGTGCAGTGCTGTTCAAGTAACCTTTATGGAAAGTGGTACAGAGCGGTTTGTGTGGTGAAGACAGGATCAGGTACTAATGGGAGTGAGATTCTCCTGTGCGGGCTATCGAGGAACCACTGGAAGATAAGAGACAGGTCTTTCCTTCACTCACGTTACATGACTAAACTCCACATTGGTTAATTCTATTTCACTTGTAAATTACCTGTTTTATATATATTTTGTTTCCTGATTAGAGGAGTGTTTTGATAGATTGTAAGTGTTGTATAGGTTTGACGTAGAGGGAAAGAGAGCAGATGTAGAGTCTAAATGTGTAAATGTATCAAACCACATTATCAATTTTCTTTTCAGTAAGTAGACGAATGAAAACAATATATACAAAGTGTTTGTACATAAGAAAAAGCAGCGTCAAAATATTCTATCTCTGTAACATTCTTTTGGAAGTTATTCTTCTTAAATTTCAATCTCTCAAATTGAGAAAACTCGTAAGATTTCTCTGTGCTATATAACGGAAACAAAGAGAGACACAAAACTTAACAAGATTCTCTATCTGATCAATATCTAATACAGTATCATCCATTGCCAGCACTGCAGCCTGGATGATGCAAAGAAAACTGTGAACAGTTACTGTAAACTATAAAGATTAATAGTAATGAACTGTACTCAACTAGACGCTGGCTCTCTCGTACGGTCAATATGGCAGTAGGTAATGAACTAAGCAAACAAAGATATAAGATGGAGAGAATTTTAAGATGTTATTATGCCTAAACACACAAAATTAAGGAATTTATTTTTGGTTTATAAAACATCATTACATTTTGAAACATCAAACACTTCTTAAAAAATAATCAATTATAAAACAGAGGTAGCTAGTATATCTTTTAGAGATGTGCTATGCTGGTAGTACTCAAATTTCAGGTAAATCATAATATTTAAGTTTTTGGGTCAGTAGCTATTGTCAACCACTTTTCTTGTGAGACCGACTCCTTTCCCCTTTTTCTCCATGTCTGCTTTTGCTTGACATTCTCGTCGTGTGTCAGAGAAAAAGGCCTCTATTTCTGATACATCTACTTCTATTACACTATCAAACAGGAAAAAAAAAAGAGATAGATCATTAATAGCAAACCAATCGCAATAACCCAGAAGTTAATTTTATGGATAAATAAAAGGTATGCAAAGACAAAGTTCGTTCAATACATTCGTTCTTCCTCATGTCTCTTTAACCAGTCCCATAAGCTTCCTGGAGGGGCCTGATGAAATGGCTCCATAAAAGACGACAAAACTTGACGTAGAAAGCCACGCCCTCTTCCTTCTTGCATTGGTGGTGGTGGCGCTCTTACACGCATCAGAGAACCTAGCAGCAGTGGTTCTGTTCCACGCATGGGAGGAGCTGTTGCGATAGAAGGCACCACGGCGTCATCGTCAGCGTCAGAGAAGAGTAGCTAACACATATATAATATATGAGTACGCATTCAAACTTAACAAACTCATAAAAAAGGATTATCAGAGAAACTTACCTTTGCCTTAAATTCCTTTGGGAACTGGTCCTCGGCATCACAGAGTATATCCATCCGGAGCTTTTCTGTAGAAATATTTTCGGAAGAGCGACACTTGAATGAAAAAAAAAGATGACTTAGTTCACAAGACAAACAAGAAGAAGCAGATTTTTTTTATTAATTTGATTTAGGCTCTGACTACTGTCTACTGAAAACAACGAACTCTCAGCAAAAATGATGAGACAGAGAGACAAAGTTGACTTGGCGCCAAAGATTGCCAAAAACGTTTCTGTTATATCATAATTAACAATCAAATAATCGTTTACCAAATAAATTAATAAACAAAGAAAACATTCGATTCAGCTGTCAATTATCCTACCATGTTTCTTGCAGGATTCCCAATCACCCAAAACGCGGAACCTGAATCACATGTTTTTTTCCCTCAAAACAAACATATCATATTTATGATTAATCGTACTTGTTGTACAGTCTGCAAAATATTAATGCAAGCATCTTGATGCCCACTTTATGCGAAGAGCACAACGTCAGGTTTGCATGCATATTATTATCAAGCTTTTCTGATATATCTTTGATAAATTAAAGATAAGATCCCTATAATAAGACATCGTTTACACCATGAATATCACTATTACATATTAGCAGCCAATCCTAGGCCAAACCTGTTGAAACATTCGCCTTATACCTTCAAAAATTTTGAAAATATTTATATGTATATAAGTCCCAAAAAAAAATTAGACTTTCAAATTAGTTAGAAATTTTTTTTTACTAAAATTTTTTTAAAAAATTGCCTAACCCACCCAAAATTTCAGGGCGAACTCTGCATATCAGAGTATAGGTTTTTTGTAACTGAATTGTTTATATAGTTGCTTGTTCATGTACTGAAATGTTTATATAATTGCTTGTTCAATGTTCATATTGCGAAATGTTTATACAATGACATTACAATTTTTTTTTTGAATTTAATGGACATTACAAAATTTAAATATATAATAATGACTTATGTGAAGTCAATGACGTGCTTCGATTGATGGAAATCACAGATCGAACTTCTTTGTTTATTTTTTTGGTCCTAACTTTATTTTATTAATATGAACGAGAAAACGTGGTTGTAATTTTTATAAATCCTTTTATTTGCTTACTTACAATTCCACGTAAGACGACAACACCTAGAGAAAGAGAGAACAGTCTGGTCGTGCCGGGTCGTGTGACAGGACTCCGAACCGAGCCTCGCTCTTTCTATAAAGTCAATTACGTTTACTCGGTTCTATAAAATAAAATTTGATCGGGAAAACTGCTGGAAAAGATTTCGTCGGAAGCATTCTCTTTCTGCATTTATTTCACCTGAAATCCTTCATCATCTCACTGTTACTTCCCTCTTTTGTATTTTTAACAACTATTTGATCAGCTTCAAAAGTTAGTTGTTTCCACGTACATTTTCTGCATTGTATATACTTTGTGGAAAACAAGTATTCTGGAAGTAGGGTTTGGATAGGATGGCGCTGTTCCGTCGTTTATTCTACAAAAAGCCTCCTGATCACCTTCTAGAGATCTCGGAATGTGTTTACGGTACATCCCTTTTGCTCCTTCCCCTGTTTTTCTTCTCTGTTTCAAGCCTTCTAGGATCAGTTCTGCTACGAGCTTCTGGATGGTGGAGGGTTTTTTTTTGGCACTTTGATTGCATTTTACATTTGCAATTGATGCTACTTGAGATCATCTATTATCTCTTAGGCTTTGTAAAAGCTTTTTTTTTGAATTTGTAAGATACTTTAAGCATTAGACTGACGATGATTCTTTGAAAAAGGTTTCCTATTTAAGCTGTTACATTCGACTTCCAGAGCTTGACGACTTCTGGTTCCATTTCCTTATAACTCGTAAAGCAGTTCTAAGACTCATTTTCTAACAGCATCTTCAATGTATCTATATATTTGTATGTAATAACATTTAAGAAACAAAATTACTTTAATCTACTTGTACTTTTTTCATTTAAAATAGAAATTGTTAATTTTTCTTCTGTATACAGACGAAGAAATATTATTCTTCTATCTATCTTACTTTGTATTTAGAATTACTATTTTACAGAAATATATTGGAGTAAATCCACAACTCTAACAATACATAAGAGATGGTCTAATGTTGTTTTCTTGTTTTTTCTTCTTCCTTGCAGTTTTTGACTGCTGTTTCTCGAGCAATGTCATGGGAGAGGATGACTACAAACTGTACTTGGGTGGCATCGTTGCGCAGCTACAAGACCATTACCATAATTTCTCTTTCATTGTTTTTAACTTTCGAGAAGGAGAAGGGAGGAGTCAATTATCAGAAGTCTTGACTCAGTACAACAACATAACGGTTCTAGATTATCCTCGGCACTATGAGAGTTGTCCTCTTCTACCTCTTGGAATGATCCATCACTTTTTAAAATCGAGCGAAAGCTGGTTATCAATGGAAGGTCAACAGAACGTTCTGTTGATGCATTGCGAAACAGGTGGTTGGCCTGTTCTTGCCTTTATGTTAGCAGGGCTATTATTGTACATAAAGCAGTATCAGGGAGAGCAGAAGACTCTTGAGATGGTACAGAAACAGGCTCCCAAGGAGCTTCTTCATCTATTGTCTCCTGTAAACCCTCAGCCTTCTCAACTCAGATATCTTCACTACATTTCTAGAAGAAATTTGGGCCCTACATGGCCTCCTTCAGACACGCCTCTTCTTTTGCATTGCTTGATTCTTAGACATCTCCCACATTTTGAGGTCACAAATGGTTGCAGACCAATTTTACGAGTCTATGGTGAGGACCCAGAAGACAGAGGCAACAGCAGTTCCATACTTCTCTTTCCCACACCAAATACAAATAGACACACTCGCCTCTACCTACAGGTACTTTATTTTTTTGCAACGCACCTACTGGTACTTTATAAACCATTGTTTTTTTGGGGTGAAAATGTTAAAATTCATTGTTTATTTGTGACATTTATGAATATGGTCATCACACTGGTTTATGCACAAGACACTACTTATCCTTTCCATGTGAAATTGGGATGGTAGGGTAGTTTCCACATCTATTATATATGCTAGTTAGAAAACATTTATTACATGAAGGACTAGAGTATGCGAGTTATTTTGGTGATTTATTATAACATCAAAATAATGTTCATTATTTTGAACTTATCTGCAGGAAGAGGGTATCCAGGTGGAATTAGATATTCAGTGCTGTGTTCATGGGGACGTTGTTTTGGAATGTATACACTTGCATGATGATTTGGTGCGTGAGGAGTTGATTTTTAGAATCATGTTCCACACAGCATTTGTACGTGGTAATTCTTTCATGCTCAAACGCGATGAGATGGATATACGTTGGGATGCCAAGGACCAGTTCTCAAAGGAATTCAAGGCAGAGGTAAGTAAACACCATTGTGAAAATTTCTTTCATCATCCGTTAAATGAGGCTGTTAAATTTCTCTCATCATCAGGTATGTTTTTCTGGTGCTGATGCCGAGGTGCCTACTATGGTAACAGCCCAAACATCAGAAGATGTAGAGGATTTAGATAACACTTCACCTGAAGAATTTTATGAGGTGGAGGAGACTTTTGGCAACTCAGATGATAAACATGATGTGCATGGGGAGGCTCCAGTCAAAGATATCACTGTTGATGATGTACAGGATAAGTCACATGGGAAGCCAGATAGCAATATCGACCCAGTGAAGGATATAGAAATAGACGATAGTGATGAGCAGCTGGAGAGAAGGACCATGGAAGCAAATGAAAATGATTCTATAACAGCTGGGACTCAACACAAAGTTGGTGGAGATGGCATTAATGATTCCCCAAATACATCTGAGAGACCAAACAGTGGGACCATGTTGTCACCATCTTCACCTTCAAAGTCTGTGTATGCTTCACCTTTGGCAACTCCTACTACATGTTCTACTTCTCAACCTCCTCCGCATGTATACTCACCACTGGGCCAAACCAGAAGCCACTCTCGAACCTCTCATCTCCCATCGCCACCACCTCCTCCACCACTACCACCTCCGTTTGCATCTGCCAGGGGAAACAGTGAAAATCTGTTGCCTCCTCCACTACCTCCTCCGTTTGAGAAAGCAAACGGTAAAGTTCTGTTGCCACCACCACCTCCACCTCCTCCTCCTCCTTTTGCATTTAAGAAACCAAATATCGGAACCGTGTTGCCTCCACCTCCACCTTCTACGTCAGTGTATGCCTCTGCTTTGGCAACTCGTACTAGATGTTCTACTTCTAGACGTCCTTCGCATGTATGCCACTCTCAAAGATCTCATCGCCCATCGCCACCGCCTCCTCCACCACCAACTCCTCCATTTACGTCTGGTAGACCTCCACCTCCGACACCAATGGGTGCTCCAACACCACCAACTCCCCCAGTGCATGGAGGAGCCCCTCCTCCTCCTCCGCCTCCTGGTGGTGGTAGAGGTCCTGGTCCACCTCCGCCTCCTCCTGGGCCAAGACTTCCTTGTGGAGGTCCTCCTCCACCTCCGGGACCAAAACCTCCTGGTGGGGGAACTCGTGATATTACAGGAACAGGTTTTGATTTGGGGTCGTCACCTCAAATAGAGCCTCTAAAGCTCTTACGTTGGGTTAAAGTAACGAAGGTCGTGCAGGGAAGCTTATGGTTCGAGTTGAAGGGACATGGAGTAGAACAAATGTATTGAACTTACTTTATATATCTCTTACAACTTTGTTTTTCCCAAAAAGAAAAAAAAAAACTGACTTGATGGTATTGGGGGTGCAATTAATCATATCATTTTTTATGCTAGTGAACAAGAATTTGATGTATCAGAAATAGAGACGCTTTTCCCTGCTACAGTGACAATTGTGACACCACCTAGACCGGGAGGAATAGAACCGATAGTGGCAAACCCTCTGGTAATGTTAATATTTCTAAAGATTTGGTTATCGTCATATATTATAACGTGCTCTTTCCACTTTGGTCTTGTACTTATAATCAAGTGACAGAAAACTGATTACTACCTGCATTAGATATAAATATGTCATTTTGATTAATTTATTACTTTACTTATGGTTTCCAGATTGATAGTAAGAAAGCCCTTAACTTGGAAATTATGCTTGCCAAAGTGAAGATGTCACTGCCTGATATGACGGTAATTAAGCTCCAAAACCTACGTTAGTTGAGTACAAGTCATTACTTCTTAATCTCTCTTATAAATTGTTCACAATTTTCTCTGCATCATACAGACTGCAATTCTGAAAATGGATGATTCTGCATTAGATATTTATGTGATAGATAATCTTATAAAGTTTTATCCAACCGATGAAGAGCTGGAACTTTTTAAGGTTTACTTCTTTTCTATTATTTACTTGTCTCTTTATTTTGGTTGTTTTTTGTGAAATATGTTATATCATTTGTGGTTACCATTACTCACTTGTTACTGACACAAGTCCTTGATCTTGGTTGATTTACTGCAAGAACTACACTGGTGACAAGACAACCTTGAGAAAGTGTGAGCAGGTCTGTTTAGATCATGAGATTATCAAATCCTTTATTTCTTACTATCAAATAGTTACTTTAACAATTTATGTTACTGCAGTTATTCCTAGAACTAATGAAGGTGCCACGAGCAGGATCGAAGCTGAGAGTATTTTCCTTCAAGATTCAATTTGACACTCAGGTCCGGTGCTATTACTTCTATTTCTGTCTATATCGGAATCTTTGGAGGAAAAAGTTTAGGGTTTGTCAGTGTCTATATAACTCTATACAATTAGTCTTATTATTCAATGATGATTACTATGCAGATTGCAGAATTCAAGAAAAAACTAGATGCTGTAAATTCTGCATGTCAGGAGGTTAGATGCTTTGCAAAAATTAACTCTAGTTTTTATTTCTGTAGTCCATATGCATTTCTCTTTCTTAGACGTCTTCCTCTTCATTGCTTGTTGTTTATCAGGTCCGTACTTCACCAAAGCTAAAAGAAATTATGAAAAGGATTCTTTGCTTGGGGAACATATTGAATAGAGGAACTCCGAGTGGTAAGTTTTATGTTATTCTTTTTTCAAAATTTTTTTTGCTCAGAACATTTGTTTACGTTTCTCTGTTCAATGTTTTATCTGAACGCAAATCCGTTGTGGCTGCAGGCTATGCAGAAGGATTCAAGTTGGACAGTTTATTAAAATTAAGCGATATACGTGCTGTTAACGGCAAGATGACTCTCATGCATTATCTCTGCAAGGTAAACTACAATCTCAAGAAACAAAAAAAAAAGAGCCTCTAGATTATGTTTTAGAAGGGATACATAATCTTGAAACCCTAATCTTTCTTTCTTTCTCTAGGTCATTGCTAATAAGGCGCCAGAGCTACTGGACTTCCATAAGGAACTTGAAAGTCTTGAAACAGCTTCAAAGGTTTTTTGCGTTTGTGCTTTATCTTGTCTTCCAAACCCCTTACTTGTAATTAGCTCATCATTTGATTGTCTCTCGTCTATTCAGATACAGTTGAAGTCGCTGGGTGAAGAAATGCAACCTATATCCAGAGGGATGAAAATGCTGGACCAGGAGCTCACTGCATCGGAACGTGATGGTCCTGTTTTTGAAGTTTTCCATAAAGTATGTTGTTGTTTTTCTTTCTTTCTTTTGCATATTTGATCAATCATGAATTTGAGATGTTTAGTCTTAGAGTTAACTACTTAAAGATCCTAAAACCTAGTTTTATGTTTTTTGATAACAGACACTAGAGGACTTCGTTCCCTTTGCTAAAGCTGAAGTGAAAACTGTAGAGAGTCTTCACTCCGGTTTGGTAATTTTTCAACCTCTACTAGATTTTAAGCTCTTACATTCGACAATATGTTTGACCCTGAAATGGTGTGTTTTTTTTTTTCTAATGGACAGGCAAATAATGTTGATGGACTTCCACGCTATTTTGGCGAAGTTCCCAAACTCTGTCCATTTGAAAAAGGTTTGGCGCGGAATATAAACTTCATCCTCTTTTTCTGCACTATATATTAGAAAGTGGTTCATTGTTATTATATTAGCTAATAACAACACTTGGATTATTGATTGCTGTAGTTACTGCAACCCTTTTGGAGTTTATAAATTTATTCAAGAGGGCACACGAGGAGAATGTCAAACAAGCGGAAGAGGAGAAGAAGAAAATTGCTCAGGAAGCGAAAAGAGAGAAGACGAAAGGAGTTAGCATCACATAAAAAAAAGCAGTTGATGATAGCTAACACAGAAACTATAAATCTTACTTTGCACTTAATCTCTCAAAGCGAACCAATGTGGTTTTTATACCAGTGGAGGCGGTGCAGTGCTGTTCAAGTAACCTTTCCGCAAAGTGGCACAGAGCGGTTTGTAAACAGCGCCTGGTCCTAATGGGAACGTGGAGGAACCATTCGAAGAGAGGCATTTAACTTGTAATTAGGATTATTTTGCTAGATTGTAAGTGTTGTATAGTTTTCAGATAGGCGGGAAACAGAGACAAATGTAGAGTCCACAATATTAATGTTCTTTTCATTATGTAAACGAATGAAAACAAAAGATCAAAATTGTTCATGATTTTCCACAAGGATATGGTCTCATTTTATCACTATTAAAACTCTTTAGCTTTTACTGATTCTTGTCTTTCTTGTTTATATTCTTTTGAAAGTTATTCTCTCTATCTGTAAAAATTCTTACATTTCAATATCTCAGGCTGAGAAAACACGTAAGATTTCTCTGTGCTAACCAAAAGCTACAAGTTCAAGAGTTACTCCATGAACAAAATTGATATGTTCCATCCTTTGTTCAATTTTAACAAAAGAATCTACTTTAACGAAATTGATATGTTCCATCCTTTGTTCACATATAACGGAAACAGAACAAAACTGAGCTTTGAAACAATTGAGAGCTATAATTAAATCATATTTAGCATTTTCTTCAGCTAAGGAACTGATTACACTCTACCAAAGACTGCTAGCTCCGACCTTCAACCTTGAGTGGTGCTGTTCTCCGAATATCAAACCTGTTTACAAACTTCAACGGAGATATTGTCTCATTCCTAATCCTCTTAATCTTAGGACTTAACAATCCCCTATGACCAAACCCATAAAGCTTCAACACTTGATTATCCGCAAAGTTATAAGCTCTCTCCATACTCTTCAAACACCTTTCCACCGCGTAATCCGCATAACTCCCACACGGTTTACATCCCACAAAATGAGTCACAAAGGGCCACCTCTCATCTCCCAAACCCGGATGATACTTATCCACCATCTCCTCATACCTATCCACCAACCCTTCCCAAAACCCATGAAGATAATACTGATTCTCCACAAACACTTTCCCCATCCACTTCTCTTTCTCCGAAAGCAAAAGATAAATCAACGCAGACTGATCATCAGCTTCGAAAGCCGGTCTTCCTTTAAGAAATGCCGTTAGTACCTTCCCAGCTTCTTCCCTAATCGGTCCTTTAGGTCCCATAGGAGCCCAAGCATCCAACAAATCCAAAGACCATTGACAGTTTCTAAACAAGAAGCTACCAGTATTCAAAGCAATCCAAGACTTCTGCTCGAACAGCAAATCCGGATACCCGTGGATAACCAAGTTATGATCCTCGTATTTAGACAAAGGTATCTCGAACACCATGTCTGTAAACAAAGCATCACTGTCCATCCACCAAATCCATTCAATCTCAGGGTGTGACAACATCAACCTCCTGAGCATAGGCAACTTAGCCCAGTAACCAGCAAGCTCCTTATCCAAATGAGCCATGTTGTAAACTATCTCTATCCCGTGGATCCGACAGTAATCAATCTTGTTCTTCACCGACTTCAAGAGGTAATGATCACCGATAGGGTTGTCACAAGGCTTCGGTGGAGATCCCGTGAGGAGCAAGACTCTAGGTTTACCGGCTACGGAGCTAGGGAAGTTAGGGTTTTGAGTTAGCCACGTTTCTCGTTGTTGGTCCCATGAAGTGATCTTGGGACCGAGAGTGTACGTCATGTTGAGGTCGAGATCCGAGTCAGGGGGCTCGTTCGGGTCGGTTGGATCCGTGTCGGATCGGATCTCGGCTAGGAGACGGTTGGTTTCTTCGATTAGGTTTTGGTTAACGGTGTCGGATGTTCTGAAGTTGACGCCGATCGTGCCACGTAGGACGAGGATTGTGACGAGGCCGCAGAGGAGGGTCATTTTCAGGTTGTTGAACGTTTTCTTGATCTGTTTGCCACGTGGCGGTTTTCTTGTTACGTTGGTCGTCGGGAGAACGCCGGAGGAAGCGGTTGAGAAGCGCTTCTGAGTCTTGTATCCGTCTTTCTTCCCCATCGAGAGAGAGAGAGAGTGTGAATGTGAAGAGACGGGAAACACTGTTGATCTAAGGAGACATTGTTGTTGTCTTACTTGTCTTGTGTGTCAAGTAAGCGTTAGCGAGAGATTGAGATCGATTTAGACCATATAGATCCATGCATTAACTGATATTCGGACACGTACAATTAATTGCACCAAGTCACTATACAATAGTACTAAAAACATGTTTATATTCAATAATATATCATAGGATTTTTTAAAAAAATTAAAATAGTTTTATCAAATATTAGAATTTAATTTTTATGTTTAGAGTTTATATATTAGATTTTAAAGTCTAAAATTTGTGATTTAGAGTCTAAGAGTTAAGATTTATGATTTAAATTTTAAATTAAATAGTTATATTATTTTTAATAAATATATATGAACCTTTTAAAAATATTTATTCATAATGACTATTTAATTTATGTAAAGACTATTTAATTTTTATATGGTAGTATTTTATATTAATAAGAACGAAATAGAAATATCCCCACATCCTCTTTGTAATATTTTCCAAGATACACAAGAGAGGGAGATTTGAGTTAATTTGTTCTAGACCGCCTTCGTTAAGAATTCGAACGTTTCTGTTTTATCATAATTAACAAACAAATCCGGACGAGTTAGCTCAACTGGTAACACCTCAAGTAATTGCTTGAGAGGTCACAAGTTCGAGTCTCGGACGGGGAGGAGTGTCCAGGACCGTAAAAGGTACAGACGCAGGTTGGCTCCGGGCCTGGGGGGATTAAGGCCGAAGGCCCGAACCCATCCCGGTTAAACAAAGAAAAAAATAATAATAATAATAATTAACAAACAAATACGTTTACGAAAGAATGAAAAAAAAAATGCAATTCCGTCTTATCATTAATCGCACCGTGTTTCTTGCAAAATTCAATAACCCAAAACGGGAAATCACACCAATCACTTACTTTTTTTCAGTTGAGTTGAATTTCCGTATAACTATTTGAATTGAATTTCTGTAAAAATGTTCCATTCCCACATCAATGAATTCCAGTAACCTGTTATGTATAAGATGTGGCACACATACCGTTGATGATGATTCAACCGAACTCAAAATGTAAATACTCAAATTTCTACTGAGAGTCATAGTCATCAAAACATCGTCCATCACATGCTTGATAGAAGAAAAAGAAACATAAGAGTATATACTATGGATGCATCTTAGGATAAAGTAAAGACCATTGTCAACATCAAGGATGTCACACTTGCTGACTTGATCAGAGGAAGGATTCGAGCAATGATGACAACTTTGATCGCCTCTAACCACCCACTAACCGCGTTTTTTTGTATAACCACCACAGTTTGTTTTTTGTTTCGAAATGATTTTACACTGACATTACGAAATTCTAAATATATATTTTTAGTGACCTACGTAAAAGTCAATAAACTTGTCACGAGAGATGGAAACACAAATTAATTACATAATTTTATAAATCCTTTTTATTCTTTTTTACATTTCCACGTATAGGATGAGTCAAAAACACCTAGAGAAAGCAAGAGAATGGTCTGTCGTGTAGTGTGACAGGACACTGAACATTTCCACGTAGGATGAGACGGAGAAGAGAATGGTCTGGTCGTGTAGTGTTACAGGACTCTGAACATTTCCACGTAGGATGAGACGAAACATTTCCTCGTTCTTTCTCTAAAGTCCACCCACCACTATACGTTTAATTAGGTCCGTAAGTAATTCATCTCAAATGAATTATTATTATTACTTTTTCGTGTAAAGTTGCTGGAATCAACACTGTAATGATTTAGAGAAAGCGTGTGATGTATTGATTGATTCACATAGAGAAGTATATATACAAGCTAAAGAAGCAAAGCTAAACATGAAAAGGAAACAAGTAGATAACTACATATAACTTCTAGTCATTCTCCTAAGTAGATAAGTAGATTTCCTCCTCCTCCTCCTGCTGGTGGTGGACTTCCTCCTCCTCCCGGTGGTGGAACTTCTCGGCTTACTGGTGGACTTCCTCCTCAAACTCAAAAAAAGTCTACTATGAAGTCTTTACATTGGGTAAAAGTAAGAGCCGTGCTGGGAAGCTTATGGTGCGAGTAGAAGAGTCAAGGAGTAGGACAAATGTATTGAACTAAGTCTTTGCATTCCTGTATCTTTTTTATTCCTCTATTAATCGTATGGTTTGCAATTAATCATCATTTTTTTTTTATGCTAGTGAAAAAGAATTTGATCGATCAGAAATAAAGACACTTTTCTCTGCTGCTGCTGCTGCTACAGTGCCAACATCGAATGTTACACGTGCAGGTCAAAGAAAACCTCAAACAGTTCAACTGGTAATGTTAAACATTTCTAAAAGATTCGGTTGTAGTTACATTTTATAACGTGTCTGTACTTATTATCAAGTGACAGAAAACATGTTGTGATTTGCCTGGAATCTCATTACCACCTATATTTCATGTACAGGATATAAATACTTCGTTCTGATTGATTTACTGTTTTGTAATGGTTTCCAGATTAGTCACTACCACCTATATTTCTTATGGTTTTTTTTATATTTTCTTATTGCTTATGTTATGTTTTCCAGATTGACCTTAGGAGAGCCAATAACACGTTAATTATGCTTACGAAAGTAAAGATGCCACTGCCTGATATGATGGTAAGCTCCAAAGTCCAAAACCTACTTTAGTGGAGTACAAATCATTTACTGCTTAATCTCTCTTATGTTGTTTACAATTTTCTTTGCATCATTCAGGCTGCAGTGCTGGCAATGGATGAAACTGTATTAGATATTGATCAGATAGAGAATCTTGTAAGGTTTTGTCCAACCAAGGAAGAGATGGAGCTACTTGAGGTTACGTCCTTTCTTTTTAGTACCTTTATTTACTTGTCTCTTTGTTTTGGATTTTTGTGTCATATATCTTTCGCCATGGTTACCATTATTCACTTTTAATTGGCTTCTTTTACTTCAGAACTATACTGGTGACAAGGAAACTTTGGGAAAGTGTGAGAAGGTCTCTTTAGACCATGAGATATATCAACCTTTGTTTCTTATTATAAAATAGCTTAACGATTTGCTTGTCTTAATGCGTTTTGGTCTCGCTATCCATTATGTTACCACAGTTCTTCCTAGAGCTCATGAAGGTGCCACGAGTAAAATCAAAGCTTAAAGTATTTTCCTACAAGATTCACTTCAACACTCAGGTCTATTACTGTTATTTTATGTCTATATCGGAATCTTAGGAGGAAAAACTTTAGGGTTCATGTCTATACAACTCTATACTATTAGTCATATTGTTAATGATGATTTTTTTTTACAGGTAAAAGAATTAAAGGAAAGTTTAGAAGTGGTAAAGTCTGCGTGTAAGGAGGTTAGATGCTTGCAAGAACGAAATTTAATCTTTGTGTAGTCCATATGCATTTCTCCTGATTGCTTGTTAATCAGGTAAAAGGTTCTGAAAAGCTAAAAGAAATTATGAAAAGGATTCTTTACCTGGGGAACATATTGAATGAGGGAACTGAGAAGGGTAAGTTTTATTTTATTCTTATGCAGCATATTTCTGCTCTAAAACATCTATCTGTTCAATGTGAGCTTGCTTCAAGAGTAGAGCCTCTGTTTTATTGCATCATATACTTATTTTGTCTGAACGCAAATCCGTTGTGGCTGATAAGACCCTTGCTATGCTTTTTGCAGGCAAAGCACAAGGATTCAACTTGGAAAGTTTATTAAAATTAAGCGATACACGTGCTGTTAACGGCAAGATTACTCTCATGCATTATCTCTGCAAGGTAAAGTAAAAAAAAAAAAAAAACTGCTTCTAGATTCTGTCAAGGGTTGTCTTAGAAGGGACACACATGCATAATCTTGAAACCCTCATCTTTCTTTCTCCAGGTCATTGCTGATAAGAAGGTAGATCTATTGGACTTCCATAAGGAGCTTGGAAGTCTTGAATTAGCTTCAAAGGTTTGCGTTTGTGCTTTATCTTGTCTTCCACGCCTTTAGTTGTAATTGGCACATCATTTGACTATCACTGCTATTCATAAAAGCCCTGCAAACCATATGTGTATGTTGTGCAAAGCTCTTAACAAAACTGTTTCTCTGTTTTTATTAGTCTTTCTTAACTTTCTTAATTGATCATCTTACATTTTGATCTCCTTAGGTAATAGAAATCTTAACTTCTTCTATTACATAATTATCTTAGGAACTTATCTTAATTGTATACCTATTAGTATTTAGTTATCATTCTTTCCTTTTTGGGTAACTTGTTGTCTAAGCTATGAAGCTTATCCAACAATTCAGATACAATTTAACTTGCTGGATGGGGAAATGAAAGAAGGGTTGGAAAAAGCAAATCTGGAGCTCACTGCATCCAAAACTGATGGTCCTGTTTCTGAAGTTTTCCATGAAGTATGTTATTTTTTTTTTTTGCTTTCTATCTTTTGCATATTTGATAAATCATGAATTAGATATTTGTTTCTATGAATGTGCCACATAACTAAATCATTTTCAGCTGGTTAGTTTCTAAGAGTTAACTACTTGCATATCCTAAAAGTAGTTAGTATTATGTTTTTGATAACAGAAACTGAACGAATTCATTACCACTGCTGGGGATGAATTAAAAACTGTAAAGAGATTTTACTCCGACGTGGTAATTTGCTAACCTCTTCTAGATCAGAATCGCTTAGACAATATGTCTTACCCTGAAATGTTTTTTTTTTTTTCTCAATGGACAGAAAAAGGATGTTGATTTACTTGCGCGCTATTTTGGTGAGGACCCCACAAGCTGTCCATTTGAACAAGGTTTGGCGCGGAATATAAACTTCATCCTCTTTTCTACAGTATATATTAAAAACGTTTCATTGTTATTATATATTAACAAATAAAAAAAACTCGTGTGATTGGTTGCTGCAGTTACTGCAACCCTCTTGGATTTTATAAGGTTGTTTAAGAAAGCACACGACGAGAATGTTAAACAAGCAGACTTGGAGAAGAAGAAACACGATAACGAAGCAAAAATGGAGAAGGGAAAAAGGAGGCAGCTAGGGAGAAGCCACTCAATGAGTTAAGGGATGCATGTGCACCCACAAAAATATGAATATTACAAAAAGATTGTAGGCAAAAAAATTTTTTTAAAAAAATCTATTAGATAAAATGGTTAAAACCATGCACCCACAGGGCCGGCCCTGAAAATAAGGGGGCCTAAGGCCAATTTTTAACAATTTCACCTAAAAAAAAATTTCTTATAAATTTGGGGGCCTAACAAAAATTTTTTGGGGCCTATATGCATGAAACTTTTTTTCAAAAAATTTGGGGGCCCAAAGCCAATGTTTCATTAGGCTTGGCCCAAGACCGGCCCTGCCCACAACAGTAAAATTCTTACATCTTAATCTCTCAAAATGAGAAAAGGATGTAAACGTTCTCTGTTCTAACCAAAAGCTACAGGTCAAGAGTTACTCCATTTGTTTTACAAAAAAACAAAAAGAGTTACTCCATGAACAAATGTGCCGTGATGTTCAAGTAACCTTTTCGCAAAGTGGCATAGAAATGGGAACGAGACTCGTTTTTCTTCCACTCTCACGTTACATGACTAACTCCACCATTGATTATTACTGGCTAACTTATAAATAAGGATACTTTCCTGTTTATATTTCCTTTTCGTGATTTAAGTTACAGGTTTCAGGTGGAGGGAAAGAGAGATATTTAAAAGTCTATTTAGTTTGTAAATATCTATCTTACTACCATATCAAATGTTCTTTTCACTATTTGCACAAATGAAAACAAATGATTGTTAGTCGTTTACTCGAGAAGAAACTATACAACAAACTTGGATTGCATTTATTTCAGACTTTTTCTGGTGATAAACGATTATGTCTTGTGATTTACGAGTGTATAACTAGTCTTTTTGCAACGAGACGGACTCCAGCTTTCTGCTGATAATCATACGGTTCCAGAGACAGGAATGCATCCACAACACTTCTCGGGTTCAGCAACGATTCAAGCTCCTCTGCACTAGGGTTGCTAAAGATCAGCTTCTGAGTATCTCCAGAGGACTCTCTCTGGTGTACCTCTATTGCATACCGAGCTGCATCTCCACTTATCTCAGTCGGTATACTGCAAAAAAAAACAAAAACTAATCAGTGAGAAACTAAAGCAAGAAAACCAGAAAGGGAGAGGTAACTTACTGTATCCTTGCGTTAGGGTAGTTTACAAACCCTTTCATTGGACTAACCATCATGTTCCAGTCAGAAGAAGAACCTGAATCAGCAGATACTCTCTGAGCATTGCTGTCACATGCTTCAAGTATACTGCACAGCCTTGGGTTCAGATCAACAACAAAGTTTAATCTCCTTCTCCCAGAGTTGTCTACAAACTTCCCGTTGATTCCAAACCTTATATTAAGACAAGAACAGTAGAGCTGCAGAGGAGAATCTCCGTGGAGGAGCTTTAGTCTCATTAGCTGGCTTCCGTGATAAAACGGGACAAGAACCGCTCTGATGTTTTGAAGAGATATTGCATCAGGGGACAAGAATCCCTCATGGTTAACACTTGTATTCTCTGAGAGAACAACAGTATCAGATGGTTGAGTCTCTTCTTCTTCCATGAGAGTGTCTAACTGAACGTTGTTGTTGGAAACCATTTCATTCCTCAAGGGAGTCATGTTAAAAGGATCTGGCTGAGCTACACTGTTCTCACCAATGGAAGGTAAGGTAAAAGAGCTTATCAGAGTATTATTATCCTCGCTGGAAGAAGATGCTCTGAGATGTCTCCTTAAACTAGTAGTTTCTGGAGATACTGATTTGTCTACAAGTACATCTGGGAGACTGGACTCCTGAGAAATATATTAGCATTGCCTCTGATTAAATCAAATTATCAAACAAAAAAATTGCTTGCAAGGAGACAGTACTAAAGAGAACATACCAAAAACAAGACAGTGGCACAATATTTGACAACCTCAAGATTCATTCTAACATCGTCAAGGCTCCTGAAAAAAAAAAAGATACAAAGAATCAGAGCTCAATAGCTTTTGATAGTTTATGGTAAAGAACTAAATCCCAAAAGTTGCACCAAAAAAAAAAAAAAATAGATCCCAAATGCTTTTGACTGTAATCTTCAAAAAATTGTTAGACAACATTAAGGTGTTTACTATGAGATTATTAATTAAGCGGGCGCTTAAACCTATTTTTTGAGTGCCTATCGGTTTAAATAAATCGTTTTGTTTAGGTCTGATTTGCCGCCTAAACCGATTTTTAGAACACTATGACATACCTATGAGTTTGCTTGCCAAGTCCGAAATAAGTAGCCAAAGTTGCCATCTACAGAAACAAAAACACACATAATAATAAGACTCTCAAACCATCACCCTTAAAAACTCAAAAAACCAAAGACTTCAAAAATCCATCATACAACATTACACCTTCATATCACCAGCTCTTCTACCAAACCTCTGAGTAAGCAACCCCAACGAGTCAATGGCACCTTTAGGCTCAGGAGGTTGACGACCAATCTCAGCAAAAGCTTCTCTAATCCTAGCACAATCAAACCTCAATATATTGTGCCCTGCCCATATCCTCCCTACAAACACAACAATATACAAAGATTCAATCTTTTGACATTTGATTCCATAAAGGTGAGAACTTTATTTATCTAAAGAAGAAGTTTTTTTTAAACCGTGGAGAATGTCGTAGACTGTATCAGCAATATCAGAGAACAGAGGAGCTAAAACGACGTCGCTGCGACTTATACCGTTGCACCTAACGGACAGTGAAGATATGAGACTTAAGTCTTTAGGTTGGACCAGAGTTGTGTAGCTTCTTAGCTCTGTGAGCTTCTTTGGACATACTAGGATTGAACCGAACTCAAGAATCGCGAAACGCTCGCCGCGTTTAGGAACAGTTGTTTCCACGTCGAAGAAGGCTATCTCGGATCTATCTTGTGGATCCATCAAAGAGTTGTTTATTTTTTATTAATGGGTCGGGTTGAAATGAGCGGTTAATATTAAAAGCTTTAAACTTTTGTTGTGAATAGGAATCATTAATGGGATGGGAATTATATGAAGGTGAGGTTACTTTGACCAGTTCGTTACGCAAAGTGAAAATAAATTTACTTTTAGGGTTTTATCTGTTGTTTTACAAAGAGTGCTTTGTACACATTCCTTGCCTCTTTTACATGTTTTTGTAAGCTGCAAGTAACCTTGTTCCGAGGTTTGTCCAAGCTTCTCTGCAAGAATCTTCAGAAGATTAGAGACAGGAAACATACTAATTAAGGTTTTAATTTTGAGATTGATCATAGACAAACATGAGGAGAGCTAACTTTACTTTAAACCTACCTTTTGAGATCAGACAGTCACTGTTTATGGTCTCTTGCTAGTTTTGATTCCTTTTATAGCTGCAAGTATTTAGAAACGATCAGACAACAATGTCACAAAATCATGTATACTTCACAGGCAGGAGCCAATATATATACCTTCAGCGTAGTCTTTGGCTCCAAAGACAGCTGATCCAGCCACTAAAGCATTTGCTCCAGCCTCAATAACCTTTTTAAAAACAAACCATATAACAAAAGATTCATGATTCGGTATTTTTTTTTAAAGGCACACTGTTTCAAGATTCTTCTTCACCTTGTAAGCATTTTTGGGAGTGACTCCACCGTCGACTTCAATCCATGGGTTTACTCCCTGCAGTAAACACCACAAGTCAATGGTTTCAGCAGAGAAGAAAGCTTCTGGTTAGGTTGAAATGAAGCTAAGTAGATAGATGTATACCAGCTCCACACACATTCTTCTCAAGTCTGCTATTTTCTTTACTTGGCTTTCGATAAAGCTCTGCCCACCAAACCCAGGGTTCACAGACATTATCAAGATAAGATCAACCGCTGATTACCAGAACCAAAAGATAAAAAAAAAAAAAATCAGAACAACTTCATTGATAGCTAAAGTGCATATTGTTCAGGATGTGGAGAAACCTCACAGTCTAAGACATATTCAATTGCACTCAACGGAGTGCCAGGGTTAAGGACAACTCCAGCTTTAGCTCCCAAGCTTTTAATCTACATGCAAATCAACAGCACTTTCTCCGATTAATTGAGTGTCTACAAGAAGCATTGAAACAGGTTAAAATAATCTTACTTGATTGATTGTCCGATGCAAATGGATGGTAGAGGACTGCTCACAGTGTACACTAACTATATCCGCACCAGCTTTGATGAAATCTGGCACTCTCTGTTCAGGTTCCACTATCATCTGAAATAAGAGGCATCTAAAATTAACTGGTGAACTTAGGAAACAAAAGAATCAGTAAAGCAAAGGAAGCATTTAAGCTTACAAGATGAACATCTAATGGAAGATCAGTCACAGGACGCAGAGCGTCAACCACTAGAGGCCCAATTGTAATGTTGGGAACAAAACGACCATCCATTACATCAACATGAATCCAATCACAACCTGCTAACTCAACTGCTTTTACCTAACAAAAAAAAAACAAAAACAGGAATATAAAACAGAAAAAACTAGAGAAGTGATTACTCAAGGAGAGAGAAACCAAACCTGCTCGCCCAATTTGGAGAAATTTGCAGATAGAATAGATGGAGAAACAATGATATCACTTTTGGAGAACTTATCAACCCTAGCTGAGGCCTTAACAACACAGTGACTCCTCCTTCTAATAAAAAATCACAATAACAAACATCTTGGTTAAAGCATTTCATGAGACGCATTAATATACTCTAACAGAAACTACACTATAAGTACAAAAGAGACAACTTTATCTCTCTATGGGTATTGAACTCCAACAATTAAGATCAAGATTCTAACTTTCTAGCAAACCATCATCATAACAACACCGTGACTCCTTCTAATACACGTGACATTAACAAACATATTGGTTCAAGCATTTCCACAAACACATACTCACTAACAAGTATAAAGGATACAACTTTATCTATCTCTAGGTTTTGAACTCCAACAATTCATATCAAGATTCTAACTTTCGAGTAACCCATCATCATAACATGTTACCTCAACGAAGGAAACGAAATGGGCTGGTAAAGAAGCGACCTTTCGGGTCTCAGGCCAACGCCAGTGACCAACGAAGCAGCTAAGCGTGACATGTCCACTCAATTAGCTAATCGCTCACTATAGATTTGGTGGGTTTGAAGGAAAAGCCAAACCTTCGATGTGTCCGATCTTCTTCTTCTTCCTTAGTCTCTCTTGACTCTCAAACAAGAGAAACAAAAAAACAATAAAAATCTCGACTTTTTTTCGGACAGGGGATGTCTGAAGATCCAAGGAGACGCCACGTGTGACGTAGGGCTCGTGGGAGGTGTAAGGAGGTTATCTCCAATGCTTGGCTCTCCATTGCTGACTTGTGCCTCTCAGTGGCTCTCAAGGGACTCATAGATTTCGGTTCAGATTGTTTTAGCTTTAGGGTTACTTTGGTAATTAAATCTATTCTCGGTCTACCAATTAGCAATCATGGTATCCTCAAACCGGGTTTGGTGTAGGATAGCAATTTGTTTTCAGATATTGTATGGTTTATTTTATTTTTGGCTCCAAGTTGACTAATATGAATCATATGATTGTTGAACGTTCCCATTCATATTTGGCATTAGGGCTCCATCATGCATGGCTTCAAGATTGTATTTGCAGAGAAGCATTATAAGCATTATCAGGCTATAGAAATATCACCACATGCGATCATGACCGATTTTGAGATTTAGAAGATCTAGAGCAATTTTAACTAAATTTTTATATTATAATTTTTTGAAGTCTAAAATTGTTTTTGTGAGCTTATGTACATATAATTTTTTTCAAAAAAAAATTGAGTATCCAAAATCTATTCATTCGGTTTGGCTCAGGATTAGTTCTACATGCGAAAATTGGATCAAGATTGTTTCCTTTTGCTTTGTAAAGAACATTTTTGTCAGAGAAAAATAAATTGATTTGATTATGTTTATATGCAATTGCATTATTAAAAATTATATCTTGAAAAAATGTAAGAAATCATTAAAAAAAATTTTACAAATGTTGCTCCCTTGTTCCAATAATTCATTTGGCTGCTCCGTATTTATCAGCCATTCACCATTACAAAACAAAACAAATATGACAGATAACTGATGTGTCAAGTCTCTCTGGAAGGAGGTTAGGTAAGGTAGCCAGAATCTTTGCACAGTACACGTTTTTGGGCTCATTCTTCTGTCTTCCAATGAAGGTGGCAGCTTTATCGCACTCTCCCACATTTCGCTTTCTATCTTGCTTTGTTGTTCAAATGCTATCTGATCAAAAACGATTGCACATGATTTCTCTTTGTTTCAAATTTATGATGTCCCACAAGGAAGTCCACAGTCCATTCTTTATATATACTCTCTTCTTCAGATGTTATCTAATTTACAATATTATGGCTTTGACTGTATAGTCATGTTAGCCTAATAAATTGGAGGAAAAAATATTTCCAGCCGAATTAGATTAACACCAATCATGATGAAATATTTACGCTTGATGAAAAGTAAATATTTTTGTCTTCTTGTGAATTTGTAAAGTAAAACATCTCTCTTCTTTTTTTGTAGAATAAAAGTTTTACGCTGCGTTAATCTTTCTTTCTTATTTTTTTTTCTCTGGTTACCTTCACTTATATTTACTCTCAGTTACGCTATGTTAACCAATCACACTCTATGACTATTTAGATTATTTTTAATGTAAAACTCAATTTCCCTTTCAAAATAAAATAATTTCATAATATAGTTGAGTTTAGGTTAATCATGTTCTATTTTAAGAATGAAAATTGAGTAATGAACAAAAATTAAAAACATTACTCTATTTATGATGTAAGCCTATTTATTACTTTATTATGAAATAAAAATTAAAGTTGTTTGATCATTTCTTATTTCATATTTTATTTTGGAGTGAAGTCAAGAGCAGAGTTAGAAATGCTCTTAAACTTGTTATGTTTTCTTAAATATCTAAAATAACGACTTATTGACTATATATTGACAAAAATCTACACAAGTTGTGGTGCAAGGAGTCAGGCTAGTGGTTTAACATGGAGAGTTGGTTCCTTTTTATCTTAAGTTCGTTTCCTAATGGAAGTGGGATTACTGATCTGGTGCCTAGAAAAAGATTAGGGAACATCCCGAACAGTGGCGGGATATATGTTGTCCAAGAAAGAGGCAAGTGCCACCATGAATATTCAAAAATTGTTTAATATACCTAAATTTTAATTATTTTCTCCTACTAAATATCATTTTCTGCTATTATTTTAAGTTTGTGTATGATTTGTCCCATCAGAAAAATAATTCTATATCTGCCATGATCTGAATCCCTCCTCTGATTAATTTACAAAAGAAATAGCTGTGACACAATACTTAATTTATGGCACGTACAAAACGAATCCATCGCTGAAAATATGTTTATTGATAATACTAAAGAAATCAAGCTTGGAGTTTGAATCACAAATCTGAAAGTAAAAACATTAGTCATTTGTTGACAAAAAAAGTTAGTCCTTTCTATCAGCAAACCACTGGAATCGAGCGTTCAGCTATTTTTATTTTATCTTTTAGGATATTCGATAAATTTACCACACATGGTTTGAGGCTTGGACCATATATTGTTCAGAATGTGATAGCTCCACTTTCTAATCATTTCTTTCGTCACATTGAACTTTATGTGAAAATCGTGACAATAGAAAAAGAACTTTATGTCAACTTACAGGATTTTGTGGTGTGGTATATTGTACGGCTGTAAGTTAATTCCTTTATTTTATTCTTCTTCTTCGCATGTGTTTTACTAATTATGAGACTATGATATTGGGTCTTGAATGCCGGGTGAGTGTGCCTATATAGAGCTGGAATCTTAGCTATATGCAATTAAATACAGAAGAGTTTAAAATATATTGTACCTATTATAAACCAAAGAAAATACTGTCGAGTTTGAAAATGTTGTCTTGACCATATATGTCTAAAATGGTGACCAAGCCACTGAAAATATGGGTACTGTATATCTTGAGTTTTTGTTTATAAAAATTATTTGTCTTTAATCCGTAAGTTTGTTTATCTTCAGAACTAACCGTTCATAACATTACACGTTTACGATGTTAAACACACTTTTCAAGTAGAATTAGATTAGCTGCATGAGTATTTACATTCGAAGTTACTAAATCACCATCTATTAAGAACATTTCGGTCCACATATATATTTTTCTTATAAAATAGAATAGATTCCTTGAGTGTGAATTAGTTATGAAACCACTTTTTAGTTATGTTTGTTACAATATTTAAAAGTTGCCCAAAAAAAAAAAGTTACAATATTTGAATCGACCTTTAGGAATCAGGGGTCGCTAGAGACGATAGCAAAGTATTACGAAAGAGAAAGAGAGGACTCGAGTTGTCGTCGAGCAGCCACATATGATGATATCATTGAATGTTTATTAAATTGGCTTTGTTTTCACACTAAATTTGTCGGGTCACCAAACCAAATCATTTATGTTTGCTCCCTTATTTCTCTTTATCTTTTGAGTATGATAAATTTTGCTAACTTGATGTTCATACCAATATAAAATTTGCTAACCTCCAAATTGTGTTGAAAATAAAAAGATGGTGCGGTCTGCCCCACGATCGATTACGAAAGATCACAATACTTTTCCTTTTAAAATCACAATACTTGATATGTAAATTAAGAAAAAAATCTTTAGCAAATATTAGCTTTTGGGCTTCCGAGAAGTTGTATATATGGTCGGTAGATTTATTTAAATAAATAAAATTTTGCAATAGTCACTAAAGTCCTACATCATGTTAATCACATTTAGTGTAAATTTTAATTAACATTTCCCTAACTTTTTCTTAACATAATTTGCTGTCAAATTAAACGATCTCTCCGCAAATTCGTCTAGGAGACAGATAAATGATAGTCATTTGTATTCTTCTCCACTAGTTTAGTAAATAGTTTTAGTTACTTATAAGTCTATCTCGCATGTTTGATGGCTACCACTACCAGTCAGGCAGTCACTTACTAATATAGAGTTAATTCTATTTTTAATTATTTAACCCCAAAAAAAACTCATCTTGAAATAAAATTTCATCGACTAATTCATAGTGCAATTAATTAAGAAAATGCAAAAAGATAGAAATAAACACAGTGTCTCCCACAAATCAAATGCTAATTGATCCACGCGATGGTTCTCTAACTAAGAGAAACCCTTATTAATTATATATAGTAACCATATAGACTATGGTTTTGAGCTTGCTACCGATCAACTCCAGTCCGGTAAGCAACCAACGGTTCATATGAAGTTTATATCGTCGTAATCTTGGTTCGTATCATAATAAACACCGGGATCGTCAACAAGATAGTTGGACCAACCAGTTATGTTTTGCATCATATTGTCTTCATCAACACTAGTTGATGAAACATCAGCCAAAAGGAGATCTTGATTATAGCCTCCAATATCCTCGGCTTCAATGTTACTAAATTTCTCAAGAAACTGCGAGAAATCATATTCAGAATTGTTGAGATCGAAGTCCATGCCGATATCCTCCTTCGTATGATCAGTTATGTGTTGCTCAGGTGAGTGAGAGAAAGGTGCAAACTCGTCCATCTGAAATTGACTAGTTTCGGAGAAGCTATCATTGAGACATGGAGAGAGTGTTGTTGAGCGGATTAAGGATCCTTCCATGGAAGCTGACAACATATTGCCAATGGAAGCCGCCCTAGTTGCAAATTTGTTTAGCAGTTTTGATGTAGAACTTGATTTCTTGAAACGACAGTTCTTGGGACTCACGGAACCCTTGTTTCTCGGTGTCTCGTCGCTGTTGTTTATCTCCTGTAGATTGCATGAGCTTGATGAAAAGGGAAGAGACTTTGGAGACATCGAACCAGATTGTGATTGCTCATCCAGGTTACTCGGATTTGAGTCATCTTGGCCTTCAGAAGTCATGGGAGTGGCTGGATTAGGGTTTAGGGCAAATGGCTTGTGGGTCAAGGGATCGATGCCCTGATCGATCAGGCGTTTTTTAAGTTGTGTATTCCAATAGTTCTTGACCTCGTTGTCTGTCCTTTTTGGCAAATGTCTCGCTATCATCGACCACCTTGTGCGGAAAATGAAAAGAAGAATATATCAAAATAGTTGACCATTTTAACACCAATTAAGAAAAAATTAAAATAAATTGGTCACTCTTTTTTCCTATAAATATAAGCTGGTGTGGTGATTAGCATTTTGTTCTTTAATAATTTTGATCAAGTTTGATATAAGGTTAACTTAGATATGTTACGTCTAATTATAAATGGAACTTCAAAATGCCGTCTATGAAAACAGGAAAAAATAAGGCTGTTAATGGAAATTGGAAATGCTGTTTTAACGGTAGGAAGAAATAATGTTAAAACATTGTATATCTACTTGTTGCCACGGGAAGCGTGAAGCATGATGATAATCTGCTCCTCCTCGTAGCTAAACTCTCCTCTCTTGATATCGGGTTTCAAATAGTTAGCCCATCGCAATCTACAACTTTTTCCACATCGTTTGAGTCCTAAGCATCATTGCCATAGAAACATCCATTAGACCATAACGTCATTCATGTGTATATAACTATAAACTATATAGTATGCATTTTGTTAAACTATATTTACTATGGATGCATGTGTCTAAGATACCAGCCTTTTGGGGAATGTCACGCCACCCTCCTTCGCCATGTTCATGAATGTAAGAGATGAGTTTCTTGTCTTCTTCGGTGGTCCATGCTCCTTTCTTCAGACCTTCTCCCACACAACATGGCTTTCTTGACATTTTTTTCTTCGATATGAATATAATGTATATGGGTTTACATACAACTTAGAAGAAGAGAAGGGGGGAAAAACCAGAAATGTCGTCTACTTAAGGCAAGAGAGAAATAGATCTGTTGATGAGAACTCTGATGCATTTGAATATGAAACTAACTGAGAAACTATGGTAGATCGTTAACTGATTATTTACTTTCATTTCCAGGAACATTTGAACAAGATAATTAAAAAAGGATGAGATATACCAAAGATCTAAGACATTTCCAGCTACTTCTCTATACTTAATAAATTATGTAATATGACATATATATAAGCCCCGTAATGCATAACAAAAAGTTTTTTTTTTAAACCAAAAACACTTTTTTTTTTAACAACAAAACAAAAAACACTATCATTTGAGAAAAAAATATTAACAAAAAGTTAATGCACTCGTGTCGATATACTTTCAAGTTTCAACACACGTAAATAAATAATAAGTTCAAATGATAATAACAATATTAGCTCATTAAAGTTTAGTGGCCGTATCTTTTTTTTTGGGAGGTTCTGGAACTGTTCAAATGATTTGACAGAGACTTATGGAATAATGCTCTGCGAGTTGAAAATAATACAGTACTGCCAAAAAAGAATGACAGATATAGCTTATGGCTATCATATCTTTCCGGTATGGTTAGTCTGGTAAATAACAATAGAACGTTGTGTTAAAATGACAATGTTATTTCAGTCAAAAAAAATTGACAATGTTATAAGCTGTTATTTCCAAATGACAAAATAGTGCTAGCAACATTTAGTAGCAAAAAATATCTCGTAACTTTGTGAAGTATACATTTTAAAATATATTCACAGTTTGATGTAAATGAATGTAATTACAAATACGATAAAGGATAGTTTGGACTTCAAATAATAAATAATTGATTTATATGAGCCAATTACAAATGTAGTTGATCAATTATGTATTTAAATTACATTATTCTGAAAGAATAATACATCTTGAAACAGTTAGCCAAACCATCCACCACTTTAAATATAGGGTTCAAATATTTACAAATCTACAACTTCACAGTTAATAATAACAAAAATTTCTACAGAAACTATATATCTATATGTTTTTGTTATTATTATATTATACAACGGTTGTTTTACATTGTCATTCAGACACATAGATTTATGTTACGACACAATTTTGATAAATTATTATACCTAAACACACTTTGATGATGTTTTAAGGTATTTTATAGTTGTCACAAACTTTTAATACTATTCAGGTTGTTTTGCTACCAACCAAAATATGTCACTAATTAGGAGAAAGATTGCGAGAAAGAGAAACAGATAGTTACATAGAAAATGATTTAGGCCATTTGTTTAATTAAATAGTACGAGATCATGTGATTTGGGTGGAATGCATCTGATTCCATTCTTTTCTCGCTTCTCCAGTTATATTTTCGAGATAATTGGCTAAAGTATCATATTTGGTACCTATAATTAGAGAATTGCTCATGATGTGATAATCACTTTTCTTTGGATCATTTTGCTCTTCTCTACACTCTCTCTCCTCTCTTTTATATCTTCCTTTTTTTTTTCTCTTCAGTCTCTAATTATTTTATAAATCTCTATCATTCTATATACAATTAAATTTTAAATTTCATTATTTTTTCATAAGTGGCTTTGAATCCTCAATTTTGACCTTTTTATTTCTCTCTAATCCCTAATTATTTTACAAATCTCTATCATTCTATATACAATTAAATTTTAAATTTCATTATTTTTTCATAAGTGGCTTTGAATCCTCAATTTTGATCTTTTTATTTCTCTCCAATCCCTAATTATTTTACAAATCTCTATCATTCTATATTCAATTAAATTTTAAATTTCATTATTTTTTTCATAAGTGGCTTTGAATCCTCAATTTTTTGATGATATCAATTTTCTGGGTTTTAGATTCGACGTTGTGTTAGCGGTTAAAAAATATTGTAGACGTTAACAGAAGTGTTAGTTGTTAACAATTATTTTTACGCTTCGCGTTAATAAATGTGTTCGCTGTTAACAAATATTGTAGACGTTAACAGAAGTGTTAACTGTTAACAATTATTTTTACGATTCGCGGTAATAAATATGTTGGCTGTTAACAAATATTGTAGATGTTAACATAAGTGTTATATGTTAACAAATGTTTTTACGCTTCGTGTTAATGAGAGGAAAGAGAAAGGGCATTCTCGGCATTTCCTTGCCAAATGGTTAGTGTCCTTCATGTCCAATTAATGGTATTTTGCTAATTTGAAATTCAAATATGGGTAGTTCACTAAATCACTCTATATTTTCCCTTGTTTATTTTGGTTTTTCATTTTACATTGTTGAGTAATATATACAATATAATACCTGTTTTGTTGTTTTGAACTATACTGCATGTCTTTTTGTGGAGTAAAGTATAACTGTCTTCTATCTATATTCGATACCTGTGTTATTATTTTATGTATGTGGATTAAACTCGATAAATAAGTCTGTGCAGCAATACAAAATCTGGATATACATGTAAATTATACACGTATTTAAGGAAATTAAAAATACTCAAGAGACACGAATGTGTTCTTTACTTTTTTGGACATTGCCTATTAAACTGTGTTCATAATCCTTAGACTGCGTTAGTTTACCATCACGCCCGTTTAGAATACATTTGTTTGCCACTTTTGATGTGGTAAATCCTTAATCATACATTTTCAATAAAAATATATAACGTAACTACGTAAGTAATATGTAATAGAAATAGATTTAATAAAAGATTGTGTACAAATGTAATTTATAATAGAGCTAATCATCACGTGTTCAATTTCAGCATCAGTCATGTTTGTTTGCCACTTTTGATGCAGACTTGGGCTGTATTCAAAGTCTAATAAAAGTCATTTTGCTTAATTATTAATGTTCGTTTCTTCTCATCTCACTTGGCCTTCTCTATAGTTTCTTTCATTTATAAAAATCTATTAGTTACGCCTCTTCAGAAGTTGCGGAGTTAACTCAAAATAGTAACACCACATAAACATTCGCAAAAGGAGCTATGACTGTATGCTATTAGAATAATAATGCATATTTCTTGATCCTGATAAAGAAAATAATAGGATCGACTAGATGCAATTATGCAACCCCTATTCGAAACATTTGTTAGATTCTAATTGGACATTTGGAATGAATGGACTACATATATAAAAATTACGAAACTTAACTCATTTCTAGTAATATTGAGTAACATGAACCCATTTACCCAAAAATAAATGTATTACTGATAAAGCTGACTGGTAAACCTTTTTCGAAAACACTTTTCATATAAATTTAAAATTAGTAAAAGAAAAAAGATCCACACAACCATCCGTAATTGGTCGATAAAAGTAAATGAAATACACTATATATATATGTATATATTATTAATTATATTTGGCGTGTTTGTTGCTTTGGTTGTCACTTTCATGATAATAAGTGCAACTTGAATATAGCTTTTTTTATAAACTAACTTGAATATACTTTGTTTAGGTTAACTAGAATGCAAGTCAATACAGATAAAACATGAAAGCAATGGAGATGGAGATCTTTGCATTCTTATATCGTTATATGTGAATTAACTTATTAAAACTATGTATAGTATAAGATTAACATGGTTGTAAACTGATGCAGTACGTATGAATCTAAATTAGTAGAAGAAAAAACTAGAGTTAGCATCCATGAGCATTAGTTGGATTTTTTTTATGTATTTTTCAAGTAATTAGTTTAATTCGCAGATGGTTTGTCTATGCACAAAGAATAAGTGACAAGGTGTTAGCATGGCGTTAAATTAGCATCGCGTTCTTTTACGTATGGAACTACAAGAGGCATGTTCACCTGAACTTTTCTCGGGTGTTGTTTATTATGATACTCAGACGAATAAACAACAATGGAATTTTAAAGTACGGACACAAACATTGTAAAACTACTCTAACGAATGTGTCATTTTACGACTTAAATGTCACAAGGTTGTAAACAAGAGAATGTTTGCAGGAGATTTGTGATTAATAGATTCCGAGACAAGTGGAAACGAATATGTTGACGCTGATCCATCTTACTTGTTATCATAACGGACCTTCGCGACTTTGTAAGGTTAAAACCTTTATTTTTTTCTTTGGAAACTTAAGGTTTTTTGGGGGATTGAATTATCATAAAGCATGTACTTGTTCAATAACATTCTGCTTTAACAGCATACTCTGAAAGTGCAATTGAGTTTGTAAGGATCTCTCAAAATTCAATTTCACAGTGAAAACATATTTAGTCCATTATCATTTCAGAATGAATGTTTTTTCTTATTAAAAAGAAGACTCAATACCGTATGAACAAGAACAACAAGCATGTTATGAAATGGTCCAAAGTAGGGGTGAGCATCAAGCGGATATCCAAATTATAAAGATCTGTGATATGTTCGGTTCCACACGGGTAATCTATTTTTTTATTCGATTTGATATGTTATCTTCTGGATATTTGTTGTTATGGATATGTAAAAAAACAAGTATTTTTTTACCAGATAGGCGATTCGATCTGGTAAAAAAATATAAAATATTGTTTTTGAAAATATTAAAAGAAAAAGAAAAAAAATAATATAAATAATAATATTTCATTACAAATTATTTTTGAAAACTACAAAATTTTAAAAATATTATAACCAAATAATTAATTAGTTAATAAAAATGAAAATACTTATATATACAGAAAATTAAAATATAATTTTATATCTCTGTGTGTATATATATATATATATCTATTATGGATCAGATTCCATTTTTTAATTTGTGTACTTGTGATTTGCTCTGTTTTTTACCAATATTGATTTTTAGTATTTGTTTTGATTCGTAAAGTTATAAATATCTAAATTTTTGAGATGAATTGTAAACGGTAAATTAAATTTTACGGATATTTTGTTCACTTCTAGTCCAGAGATCTTAACTTTTTTTTTGAATTAACTAAGGAGCTAAGAGATTGATGTGGACCTAGATAATAGACATTGAGACCCATAGACAAAAGCCGTAGCAGCACTAGGGATCCTACAAGAATCAAAAGAATAATTTAAATAGAAATAACAACTTTTAACTAAAAACAAAGTGAAGAAATGATGGAACGTGGAGCCAATTACAGGGACAACTATGACATGCCCATTGACGCCCTGGTCATATGCAAGGTTCATGTGGTTTTCCGACCCTCCTATTTTCTAATTTAAATTTTGATCCTCCTCTTTTAGTAAATATTATATTTTTTAGTTTTGTAAAAAAAAATTTGATAAAATTAGCATTGTAAAGTTTAGTAATTATTTACAAGGACAGTTCCCCAAAAAATGATTGATCACGCGAAAATGCAAACCACATGACTAATAATGGTTGAAATCCTAACTGTGAAGTGAAGAACGTTACATATCTGCAGTCTGCAGAACAACATAACTAATTTGTATCGGAGCACCATGTGACGTGAACACATATCTTGTATCTAGACTCAACTCTTTGCATAACATAATCTACCATTTGATAGGAAAAGGAAAAAAAACACTCTTAAAATGGTAACCGAAATATAGATATTAATATATTAATTGAAGTTCACCTACTTTCTCTTTAGACTATGGCTTCGCCTCTTCTGTAGCCATAACTTGTTATCCTGATTCCTTATCTTTTTCTCTTCATTACCAACACGTTCCAATAATTTGATTGTACATCCACCGATTGATTACACGGTTTCATTTTCTAGAACAACGACCAACAGAAAATGATTTAATAAAAATAGCGTAAACGATATGATTCCCCCTTGTGGGGACCCGTTGTTTCTTTTTCTTTTTAGGTTCTGGCTGTTAATATTCGTCAAAAATAGTAGGTCGGCGTTGTTGATATACAGGTGGTTCTAATCAACATAAATGAAATAATCCAGTGCGATGTAACATTTACATAAAAAAATGGTTGAAAATGCTTAAACAGTTATAGTGACCTAAAATGAAAGAAGAAATCACACAAAAAAAATCAATTCATTTGACACATTAAAAACTCTAAATGAAAGAAAAAACACAGGGACCAAAATTTATGTTAAGGTTTTTTTCATAATTGGAGTTGGGTATCCTAACTTGATTCTCGAATGTCAATTTTAAATTGCAACATTCACTCTTATTGTAATATTCATTCTCTCTTTTCTATCAACTGTAATATTCATCCTCAGATGTCATTCACTCTTTCTCCTTTTTTTTAATTATGTAAAGGTAAAGATTTATTGAAAGTGCCACCAGGATAACATTTTGTACGTATATAATAAGGTAAAGGTTGGTTCATCAAAAAAGTAGCTGAACCATCGGGACCATCTATAGGCCAAATTTCAACCTTGTGTTCAGTCTTCTGATTAAGTAGGTTAACCGCAATTGACTTGTTGCAACGATAAGCCCAAACTATAACAAAAGAAATAGCCCAGATAAATAGGTCCACTTGGAAATCTATTGGAGGCCTTATAAGCAATAGGATAAAGAGAAACATAGGAGTTGTTGACGAATGACGAGCATATAATAATCGCCTATTTTAAGTTTTTAACTTTTAAAAACAGAAAAAAAAAACGAGGGGAAAATAAACATTGAATACGACACGAGAGTATACGTATACAAGTTAAATCCGTAATTAACTGAAGGGTGAGATTTCAAATTCGTATCTGAAGTATAATACAATTCCGAAATTAGAAAAATACAAAACTCAGTTCGAGTGTTTTAGGGGTTTGAGAATCTGGTTGTCAAAGGTAACTAATGTAAAATCAAGTTTTTTTCTTCTTATTATCCAAAATGGGTTTTTTTTAAAATATATTACAAATTGACTAACTGATTATTTTAGATGTTAGTAAGAGGCTACCGACGAGACGAAAGCATGTTACAGACAAAAAAAATTATCCAGCAAAACAATGATGTTGCAGAGTTTTTTTCTTCTAATGAATAGTTTTGAAGTGTTTTTAATACCAGAACGTAATCTGTATGATCCTGCTACAAAAAGGCTATTTTGAATTCCACACAACATATTCCTTAACAATATTTTACTTCTTCTACCCTTTCTATTAAAAAAAAAGTATAATAGGGAGCTTTTAATTGATTCTGGTTAGTGGTTACTTAAAACATGTTTACCACAGATGATCTTTTAGCGTAATATAAGATACAGTTTTTTAGTTTTTAACTAGAAAAGCTAAAAAAACATCTCTTAAAACATTCCCATTGGGGGATTATAAGGGAGATTTACACATTTTTCGAGGTAAAAAGTGGTGAATCCGCGTCGCATGAGCTCGCCGTGATGATACCGGATCGTCATTGGTTCACCACGTGCCGGACCATGATTCGTCAGTTTTTTTTTTGAAAAAGTCAAATGAAAAAAATAAAAATAAAATAAAAATAAAATAAAAAGCAATCTAGGAATTTGTACCCAACCAAATTGCTGATCGACATGCTCTTATATCTCTTATTTAACAGATATGATTTTTTAGCTTTTCTAGTTAAAATTTAAGAGAACGTATTTTATATCATACTAAAAAATCTAACGTAAAGACATGCAATAAACATGTTCTAAAACCTGCAATAAACAAAGTTAGAGGTTTTTGTACATGTTTATTGCAGGTATGATATCAATATACGTGTATATATACGCATTTCATGCATCATGCGTAACAACTTTATAACGGAATAGATTCTTCACGAGAAAAAGGAAATGATAATCGATAAGCAACGAAACTACTTAGATTCCTTTACTTCAAAAACTGATGGAATCATGGAATAAAAGGTGTTCTTCATGTGTTAGCATCTTAAGAACTTTGATTTGGTTCATTAAAATAGTAGTTACATATATTAAACCAGTCGCTTGTCTTTATCAAATCACAAGTGCGTGAATTTTGATCGTGCTTCATGTTCATGTATACTGTGTTATACTATATTTATAAATTATAATCTTCATTAAACAAAAGCATATGATATATTCCCACAATGACATGAAATCATCGATTTTGTATGTGGATATCTACTTATGGTGTTTGAGTCTATGGGTCTGCTTTTGTTTGGTAAGTTTACGTCGACTCGACAGTATATAAATTCCTCAAACGACTGTGCCTGATGCGATTGAGTTAATATGAAAAAAGACTTCACGTAAACAATATATAAGTTCAGTCGTTCAGATATATGGAGCATATATACTAAGCTAGATTTCACAACGTTACCGCCTACGTCTACTATGTTTTTTTTTTAATAAGCGATTTAAATGCGATAATTAGGGTGTGTGTACATCTAGTCCTTGTATCATACATACGCAGTCTAGAAATTGTTTTCATCTGAGGCATATACGAACAACTAACATAGTATAATATGCATGCATGTTGTATACATGCCCGAGTATACGATTTTTTTGATATTAACACAGTGGTCCCAATGTATAATGATTCTTCGTCATACAATCCTCAAAAGCTTGAGATGACAAGTGAATAATTTCATTAGGAAAAAGGTTTCCTACAAATCGATTCTTTTGAGTGTATATATTCGGACGAAACCAAAAACCATATACCCTGAACCTGAAGCATGAGGCCCTGAAACTGTCTTTTAATGAAAGTTGAAATAATTCAAATGCAACGATCAAGTATTGAACCGCACCGCACAGTCGTTGATTTTGATGATATAACATGACATAATGCATGTAATCAATCTTTGAATAATAAAAAAAGTTGACAAATATTTTGATGCTTCTCCTCTCTATCCAATCTCTAGTAGTAAGTTTCAGACGTTGGGTATAATAATAGAAAACATTAGGAATCTATACAAATTTTGCACACCAGCTATAAGTTTTGTATTTTCAGTAACTCCAGAAAGATTCAAGATCAACCGGACCAGCAGAGGAAGATGGAACTTCAAACTCCGATGTAACATCGGTATTAGAAACCCGTGTCTCCTGCGAGATGCTCAGCGTTTTGAAGCTTTGGCTTCTGTTATTGTCAAACATCGCTTGAGAAACTGATTGTTCTTGAGCAAGAACATGATTGGAACTCTGTAGATGCTCGGAAACGTGGAGAGGTTGAGGTTGGTAGAGTGGAATCGAGCTTAGGGCAGGGTTGCTGAAGTAACTGAGTATTGTTCCTGTGGTTTCAGTTTTGTTGGAGAAGCAGGGCACGTAAACCGGTTCGGTCTTGGTTATATCATTGTAACGTGAATAATCGGTTAAAGGTGGTAAACTGGACCCTCCATACGAACCAATTTGGATTAAAGTCGAAAGTGAGATCTTCTTGCCTCCAGCAGTTTTGTGAAACACTCTGCATATCACCCATTCATTCTGCCAAAATGGAATCAAATTTGGAGCAAGAGCAGAGTTTAAGGCAGAGTTAAAAAAAAAAAGACAAAGCAAGAAACAGAGCTAAGTTCTAGTTTGTTTATGTTTTTTTTTTTTTGAGAATAAGTTCTTTTTTTTTTGTTAAAAATATATATAATTCTATTAATCAACCCGAAAATCGGGAATTCAATATCGATTACAGACTTGATTCGAACAAAAGCCTATACTCATGTTTATATTTACCTTAGCGGTTTTGGGCAAGTTGTGGGCAGAGAGTTTCCCATCAAGCCTAAACTCATGCATCACCCAATTTGTTTTATGCCCTTTTGGAGCTCTTCCTCTGTAGAAAACAAGTGTTTTCTTCATACCAACAAGTGATTTCCCTCTGAAAATCTCCTTATCCTTCCCGGTTGCCTTCCAGTAACCGGCTTGAGTTGCCCGGTTAGTCCTCAGACCGGTCGGATACTTTCTATCCCTCTCACAGAAGAAGTACCATTCCTTCTCACCCATTTTTGCTTTATCTATTAACCAAAAACAAGACCGAACACATTAGATTTCAAGAAAGAATTGTTATCTGGTTTCAGACCAGAGATGTTTAAAAGATTTGGTTTGTTTTAACCTACACGGCAACTCCCATGGCTCAGCTTTGTTCAAATCCACCTCGCCCATAGCTTTAGCCGAGAAATCAATGTTGAGAACCTTCTTGTGTAGATATTGGGATATGAGTTCTTCGTCTGTTGGATGAAACCTAAACCCAGGAGGCAAATCCATCTGCTCATGATCTTCCTTATGAACCCCACCAATAGTCTCCATCTTTTTTTTGTCCCCCAAGAAACCTTAAACCCTAAAAATGAAAGCAAATATATGATCCTGGAACAAATATCAAATAATCGAGAACATGGGTTTCTCAAATGCTTTTTTTATTTATTTGATCAAGAAAGATTTGGTCGATCTTGAGTGTTTTCAAGAGATGAGTTCAGAGAATATATATAGACATGTATAGAGAGATGGAGGGAGAGTAATGGTAAAAAGAGAAGTTAGGGAGAGAGATTAAGGAGACGGAGAGGAACTAAATGGAACTAGAGAAGTATATAATTTTCTGAAGAAAATCATTGATTTTCAATATACACATTTTATCTATGTATTTTAAACATACATATCTTGTTTATGTATAATATAAAATAATTATATGTCCTTTCCTTATTCTGTGAGAGGAGAAAGATGTAACGCATCTTGGCTGGTTGTTTAGCATATTTCCTTTTAAAAAGAAAAATATTGTTCTCTTTTGAAACGTAAGTGTAATTCAAGCAAAATTAAAAAAAGCTAGATTCAATCTGAGAAATCTAGTGCATTAGTGTGGGTTCTTTGAATCTGACGCAGTGCAATATTAATTATTAACGTAATAATAAAAAATTCAGAGAATAACAAAGAAATCGTTTGTTATGCAATGAATAATGGCAGACTGTCACCGAGTAAAATTTAAATTCTCATGTTATTTTTCTATGATTCAAGAGTTATTGATTATTACCGTCTTAATCAATTCACTAAATTATAAATTTATAATCTGAACTTTAAATGTTTATAATAAAATCTAATGTATAAACTTAATATATTTAATTTCTGTATTTTAGTGTAGTTAAAAACTATATAATTATATACTTTATATTTATTTAAATATAAAATTATACTAAGATAACATTTTCAATTATTTAAATCTGTTTCGATATGGGACATAATAAAATATCTATAATTTATTTTAATTTTGTGTGATATATCTTTTTATTACATTTTAAATTATAAAACTTATTTGATGTTTAATTTGTAAGTTTTCAAGTTTAAATGAAGGTAATTATTTATTTAAATAAAATAATCTATCAATTTAATTATTTTCACATTAAATGAAATTATCGAGTCTGTAAAAATAGTTATATTTATTTTGTATTTTTTTCATAAAATATTTCAATGTTTTAATTAATTGTTTGACTTATCATATAATTATAAAGAAAGTTAGAAGAATATTATAATATGAGAGCTAATATGTTATATTGTTTGTACACAAGATTAACATTATTTTATTTGAAAACATCTTTAGTAATATAGAGTTATTTTCTATAGTTAAATAGAATAGAAAATCTTAAATTTATTTTTTTTAAATTAATAGTTGCAACGGTGGATGTCATTACATGTAATTAATTGTTGAATTCCTGATGACTCGACACCAATATATTTATTAAATTATCTAAAATATTAATTATTTTAAAATACAATTTGCTAGCAATGCCTGAATATATATTAGGGAAATTCTCTAAAATAGCCCTCTTTTAAATTTTTATCACAAAATTAGACCTCAAAAATTAAAATGACCAAAATAGCACTTTTTATTTTGAAAATTTTAAGTTTTTTTTTTTTTTTTAAATTCGAAACCCTATCCTCAAAACCCTACTCCTCAACTCTAAACAATAAAATCTAAGATCAGTTAACCCAAAGGGTATAAATATATATTTAATAAAACATTTAAGTGTTATTTTAGTCATTTTAATTGTTAAGATCTATAATTGTGATAAAAACTTTTTATGTCTATTTTAGTCATTTTCTCTATATATTACTCTCTTTTTGTGCACGAATATATTACTCTTATTGGCTCTTTAATCATATCAATAATAATCATGTTTCCTTATTTGTCAAATACTACTATTTACTATTGACAAGCGGTGCCTAACGAGGTAAAAAGTCAATATTGAAAATATAAGTACATATTAGGTTACTAAACCCATTTTAAACATCGTACTTTGTCATGGACTTTAACGTCTGTTTATTACTTTCAACATCCTCTTTTCTGGTATCGACGACCATGTGGGATGGTATTTAAACGAAATTAAGCCAATCTCATAGTTTGGTAAACTCAACTATGCAAAGGATAATACAATGACATTATGGTATTTTTTTTGAGTAATAACCTCTCATGCCTAAAAAACGAAAGGTAGTAGTATTAGTAATTTAGTAACAGTACTCATCAATTTAAAGGTTTGTTGATTTATATAAGCAAAATTGGTTTTTAACTATTCATCTAGTCGATTAACGTAATTAAATACTTAAAGTCAATTTCTTATGCCATCAATAGTTGGGGTGACCAATGAGAATGCAGTTTTGACGAAATAACAAATACGTATCCAACTTAGTATATCTAGACGTAGTAAATAACAAAATGTACGTTTAGATTGAACTTTCACAGCCATTTTTATAAAATATACTTTACCCCGTTTAAGTAAGTACCAATTGTAATAGCCTTCCTCTTTTCCAAAAATGTGATATTCCCTATGATCTCATGAAGAAATCTTTAGATAATCTTCTTCTAATTTCAAAGCATTCAGTAGTGACAGACTTGTTTGTCAAAATAGTGGATATATTCTAATGAATACTGTATATATAAAATAAATCGTGGGGTGAAGAAAGAACGGATCCAATAAGATTTGGTCGTCTAATAAATTAAACTTCTATTTATAGAATATGTTGCAGATTAGGTTGGTACGGAAAGCAACTAATATTTCTATTTAAGGAAATAAATCTAATAAGACAAGGCCACGTGTCTGACTGTTTCTCCAGTAATCCCAAAGAGTCATTACCAAAGTCAACTTGTCCACATATGGAGCGTCATGCGGATTTTAATCACATAAACAATTTTAGGTGCCAGCTACGTGCCAATTGCAAATCGACACACGTCGTAAGTGAAAGCTAATCAAGCATATTATCTATGCAGCGATAGTTGACCTTGTTAGTACAATACGTGAGAGAATGAAATGTAAACGATATGGAAAAAGAAATTATAAGCAACGATGCAAGATTAGACCAAGTCATCTACGTGCATGCTGTATATATAAAGAGACTGTAGTTTAAAAGGAAAGATGAGTTTCAACTAAAGTAAATATCATTAGTTAAGAGTTATGTGGAGAACCTAAACACCAGTTTAAGAACACAAACGAAACGAGCTATGATATCAACTCAGATCAGAAATAATGTTTCTGTGTGTAAGTATATGTACGTAGGTTAAGAAGCAGAAAAGAACAATGTTAGTGTGTGTGTGTGTGTGAATTATTATTATTTTTGTTTGTAGATTTCAAAGCATTTAACCAAAAAAAAGTAGCAAACCAACTTCTGTTCAAGATATAGAACTTGGGCTTGCCATCTATATAGATCTCTGAATATGATTTGACCTCTTGCGTATCGATCGATGTCTTTCATCAAACAATAGAAGACAAGGAAAATAGTAAGGGAACTTTTTTTCTTAAAAAGGGAATTCGTAAATTGTAACCTATTATTACAACATATAAAGAAGAAAGAGAACAATGTTGTCTGGCTTGGAAAAAAGCCGACCCATGTGATTCTCTTGGTAGAAAATGAAAAAGAAGGATACATGTATATTTGGATGAACCTAAACCACTTAAGAAAACCTAATTCAAGCTGTAGCACTTTTATATTGTTTACTGGCCTAATTAAGCTATATTGCATATTTGCATTTGCATATATAACTGAACCTCACATGTACACTTTTTCTCATTCAGGTACTTAATAAATATCCAAAATTTTATTTCTGATCTTTTATCTTTTACTCGAAATATTTACGCATGCTTAGTCATTTTATATTTAATACAATCTAGTATTTAGGGAATTAATATGGTACATCCATTTAGTGATATGCAATAAGCTTAACAATTGGGGATGTAGCTCAGATGGTAGAGCGCTCGCTTAGCATGCGAGAGGTACGGGGATCGATACCCCGCATCTCCATTTTTTTCACCATTCTCTCCCTTTTGTGTAAATATTCCACTAGCACGAATATTCCTTTAACTTCCTCCATATAACATTGACCAGGTTTGATAAAAAAACTCTCTTCTTTATTTAAGCGCACCAATATAAACCAAATAACAACTCTTTTCTAATGGAAAGTAAGGTAAACACGAGTCATGAATCTCTGATTATAAACTGCTACAACTTTGTTCAACGAGAAGAAACAGAGAAAAGAGAATCTAATAAAGTTTCAAAAACTACTGTAGTGAACTAACTAGTTTCAGCTTTCGTAATACAACAACAACAACTATTACTAACTTTCATGTTTTCTTGAAAAACTTTGCGCCTTTCCCACCAATACCAGCACCTATAAGGCTTGAAAAGAGATGAGATCTAGTGTCTGGTCTCCACTGCAACTCTACCAAGTCCGAGAACAAAGCTGACAGCAACGGAGAGACTTCAGAATCTTTCACGTTTTTGCAAGAAACCACTTTCAGATGTTCCAGCTCGTGCCACTGTAGAATCACTGACTCTAGACCTGATGTTGTTAGCAACGAGCATCCTTCTACATACAAAACCTTCACTCTCCTGTAGAAAAAAAACAACAAACACAATTAACATAAAGATCACATTGTTGCTAGAGATTAAAGTCTTTTAGTACCTGAAAGACATAGCTAAGCTGAAGATATCATCATCCAATCCCCAACAGTCTTTGAAAACAACCTCTCTCGCAGCTTCACAGATCTGAAACAAAGCCTTGACACTATTCTTATCTCTTACCTGACACTTCTCTAACTGCAACCGCTCTAACGCAGGACAAGAGCAACAACTCAAGCACTCACCAAGACCAATCTCAACATCTATATTCTTACAAGACACGAGTTTAAGCGTCTTGAGATTCTCACAATACCCAACACCTCCAAGCCAACCCGCCTCCATCTTATGATCACAAACAGTAAGCTCCTCAAGCATTTGACAACACTCACCAATCTCCTTAACCCCATTAAACCCTCCTCGGCACCCAACGAGCTCAAGCTTCACCAGCCTCTTACACCCTTGAGCCAGAATCATAAGACCAATATCCGAAACCAAAGATTCGTTACCATACAAACCATCCACACTCCCTACCAATCTCAAGACCTGCAGATTCTCAAACCCACCAACTCCAAGCAGAACAGTGTCAGAACACTTATGCAGTTCAAGCTCCTGCAACCTCGTACAAGCTTCAGCTACACTCAACAAACCTAACTCACTAGCGTTAACCACCACAAGCTTCCGGAGACTAGAACACCCCTCCGCAAGTACTCTCAGCCCTCTATCAACCGTTTCAACAGACAAAAGTCTCTCCTCAAAGAAACTCAAACTCTTGTAAGAAGAAACTACTAAAACACCTGAAGAACTCGAAACCAAACACCCACTAACTAAATCAACGGTTTCAAGATTAGGAAACCTAGAAACGACCCGACCAGAAGTTAAGAACTCCCAATCAGACACCTTAACAGACCGTACAAGACCACCGTGGAGTCTCAGCCATCTTTTGCAGACCAAAGAGAGAGACTTTCGATGAGGTGAAGGGACTTTGGTGATGATAGTGAGGAGAGTGAGGTCAGGTAAGAGAAGGGTGAGATCGGGGAGTGATAATAGGGTTTTGGATTTGGTGATTGGTGGGGTTAAAGATTGAAACTTTGAAGTGAAACCGAGTGAGTGAGAGTGGTGGTGGTTGACCCAAAGCTCAGACCAGCTAGCTCGTCGCTTCTTTAATGGAGAAATTGGACTGTTCTCTTCCTTCTCCTTCTTCTTCTCCGTTAACGACATCACATTGTTCTCTGAAGCCAAAGGATTGATTTTTGCTGAGGAAAGTTTCAATTTTTTTTTCTTTCTTTTCGGGGAAATGTTTTTAACGGATTTGTGACATTAAAAATGGAAACTTTGAAGGTTTGTGGAACTTGCAATCACAGAGAAAGATTTATTTTTGGGTTTATTTAATAATTATTTTTGTCTCTCTCTATCTATGTAGAGGAAAGATTCGGTTTTTTCTTTTCTTTCTTTCGTTAGCTTTCTTTTGAAAAAAAGTTTAGATTTTCTGGAATAAATGTACTAACGGTCTCAAATGCACAGTGAAAAAAACTGTCACTCTCACTCTGTTTAATTCTAGATATCGATCTAACAAAAAGGAAACTTTCTATAAATAGGATTAAAAACAAAAAATTTAAACCACATGTTTCTTGGTTGATGTCAGTCGACATGATCGTGATTCCTGAAACGGTATGATTCTATTGATGAACACTCTCTCACGCCGGTATCTACCGGAGAAATACAGTACAAGGTTTCAGTTAGTATGTTATAGGAGTATATAGTATGCAGAAACCTATAGATAGCTCGATGTTACTTTTAACAGAACCGAGATAAAGACTATATAAAAATCTGTTTCCTGGAATGGAGGACTTACATGAGAATGGCTGAGAGACAAAAGCGGAGGAAACCGATGGTGAAATGGAGAGGAAATGTTGCCCAGAAGTTGTTATGGTCGAGAATGGTTTTCTCTGAGATGATAGTGTTTATGCCAGAGAGTATGAGAATTTGCCAACCTTGAAGGAAGACACTTTCTGAACGAGAATGATGGAGAAGAAGCACCGCCCTGTAGAGTATTGTGGAGTTGAACAAACAACAAGAACAACAAAAAGAATGTTTAACATGATGGGTAGTTTAACTTTAAGCCAAGCATACCTGGAAGTAATCTTGGCTGAAATGTCCTGAATAGATAATCCTTCTAATCATATCTTTGTTTTTTAATAAAAGAACATTCAAGAAGACAAAACAAGATAACTTGTAGTTTGATAATCTATATAAGGGTGAAGGATACTCAAGGAATTCGCCAAGATTAAGTCTATTGCTCCTGCAGATCTTATCAGCAGAATGTTTAGTATGATGTAAATTAGTGAAAATACAAGCAACATGTCGTTTGATCGCTTCAGTTGATCCTCTGTTCCAACTGCATGAAAAATGCTTCGGAGGTTCCTGCCAAAATATAATTTACAAAGTAACCAATAGTGAAGAAGCTCGATTTGTAGCAAACCACAACGTCAATAAGCATTTGGTGGATCTAGATATGATCACTAACCATTCATGGCCAGGACTTTAGTGCAAATGAAACCTCTCCATCGCTACATTTTTCACCATACAACAATCTGATGAGATTGTATGTATAACTTGGACCAAATGCCATAAATATAAGTCCTAAAAATTCCCAGGAAGTTAAAAGTGTTATACACTTTGTGAGACAATAACAATTGGGAATTTGAATGTGAAGTTGAAACGCTGATGCCTAGTATTATGGACTGGTAATGGGATTTCTTAACTGTAATACGCAGGAATATACTTACCTATTAGCACTACAAGTTTCAAGGCCTCGGTCAAGCAAGTTCAAAGTTTCTTCTTCTTTTGGTGGTAATCATCATCACCTGCCAAGAAAGAGGGGAACATAAACCATCTATTTTAATGAGCTGAAAGAAGCTTAGGATATAAATATCTGAACCAACATCGTGAAATATTACAAGTTTTGTTCCATACTAAACTCTGGAGAGGAATAAAACTGATGCGAACCTGGTAAATGTAGTGTATGAACTTTCTTCAAAAAGGAGAAACACCATGCGTACTACTAAACTTCCTGGAAGTTAGAAATTGTGTAAGATATATTTATGAATGAGTTGAGTGGAACATATATTAACAGTTACGAATGCTTGCGAAGAGATCAAATTATAAAGAGCTCCTACCTGAAAGGAAGGAGATTCAAGCTTTTGAAAACACCACGCATGAGAAAAAAAGAAAAGCTTATTAGACGAAAAATAATGTCAGAAGTGGGATTTGAACCCACGCCCTCTTTCGAAGACCAGAACTTGAGTCTGGCGCCTTAGACCACTCGGCCATCCTGACCATTTGATGTTTAACTATCTATCAAATTCATAGTCTTTTAAACTATAGAAATGAAATGATTTGTCTATTTATCTAAATAAACCAATAAAACATCTGTATATAAAATTCAATTTCGAAAATATGACCTGATCAATATATCTATGCTATGTGGTTAATAACATAGAAAATATATATTAAGGTCCCAAAAGAAAATTGTATAAGAGTAACTTTTAAAAGAAAACAAGCTACTCGAGTTTTTTTTTTTGATTTTCTTTACAATTTTAAATTTGTTACAAGTGATTTGTGTCATATGAAGGCCATCCGTCCACTGATCTATACTACGGCAGTAGTGTGTTTTTAAATCTTTCTACTTGGATCATGAGCCACTTATATATATAGATCACATTGGGACCATCAAAATGAAACTGCCGACCCACGTATCAAATATTAAGTGCCGTCCTCAGTCTTCAATCGTTTTTTTTTGGGCCCATGCTCTTAATATCAGTGTTGTATTTGACAATATCACTGGCTTTGTTTTCACCAAAAAATATCACTAACTGTGGTACTGATTGTTAGTAGTACTAATATTTAGTTCCGGTTATCATACATGATTTATTTACTACTAATAAACAGATTTCTTATCATGAGCTCAAGTCAACAAATCTTTTAAAAGGTGCAACTCCTAGTTCTAAAGACTATCAGACTATGTCATTGGCGGTGAACAATTTAAAACAATGACGTGGGCTTCTTATAGAACCATGGCCATGTTTGACGTTTGATAGTGGGGACCTAAACATATACTAGGTGACTAGGAGCCGCTAAATAAAGTGCAGTTCATGATTTGATGTCAACAGTCTAATAAAAGGAATTTAGAGACAAGCTTACAACTAACAAAAGATTAGTCGTAATGTAGATTGACGAATCTCAACAAATTTTTATTTTCACTCTTTACGCTAACACAATCATACCGGCTCACAAACTACATGTATATATCGGTGGGTTTTACGCAACATAAATAATAATTAACAAATACAGTATAAAACAAAATCTATGTTGAATCAGCCATGTGAATCCGAATAGAATTCCACCCCAGAAACCATATACTGAATACCATACACTGACCAGTTACTTAGCCCATGCGAATCTTCATAGTAGAGTAGTACAATATTTTCTCAGTAGCATAGTATTTGTAGGTATACATACATAAATTTGGAATCATTACTAATAATGAACTTGCCGGACAAAACTCCCAATCAAAAGATCTGAGATGTAGCCAACGCACTTCAACCACCATCACTAGTCAAACCCAACATTTATCATCACCACTTTCAATGTTTTTGTTTTTTAACTTTCTTGATATGATGAGAATTAATTACCATGGTCGCTACTATTTATCTAGGAAGAAGTCAAAGAAACTAACGTGCTACTTGGGACATCATTTTTAAAAGGAAAATAACATTTACTAGTATAGTTTGTCAATATACATCTTAACTTTCACTGGACACTCTGTGTGTCACTGTGTCTGTGTGTTTTAATAGAATAAATTATCAGGATAGTTAGGTTAGACAACCATGAGAAATCTTTCAGATGAAGAAACACATGATACTACTGTATTTGCATATATTCAATAATATATATACCCTTGAAAGCCAAAGAAACTATAAAAGTCAACAGTATTGATACAAAAGATACTATTCTAGATCTGTCCTCTGAACTTAAATATCAACTTCATCTCTCTCCCCCCCCCATCACTATCATCCTCTCTTTCTCATTTGTGAACAATAAAACTCCACAGTGCCAGACTTTCCGTTTCCTTTTGATACAGTTTCCATTTCCTTTTCCCATAAATATTTCCTGTAATAAATTCCAAATTCTAAATCATACACTTGTCATTTATTAACGCAATACCCATTTTCCCTAAACTCTCTCATATCATAAACACAAAATATATATTCACAAATTTATTTTCAAGAAATCTAGAGAAGAAGAGATGGAGATGATAAGAAACCACTTCTTAACATTGTTACTAGGAGTCTCTATATCAGCATTCGTCATCCTACTCTTCTTCATCTTCTGCACAAGAAGAAAACGTTCATCTACTGAATCTGATGAACACGACATAGAGTCCAGTGGATTCTCCTCAGAGACAGAGGAGCTCGTGACGTTTCACGGTGGTGAAGATCTCACCATCTGCGATATCCTCGATGCTCCAGGAGAAGTCATCGGGAAATCAAGCTACGGAACTCTCTACAAGGCTTCATTGCAACGTAGCGGTAAAGTTAGGGTTCTTAGGTTTCTCCGACCGGTTTGTACAGTGAGATGTGATGATAAGGAGTTTAATGACGTCATCGAGACGCTTGGGTTTGTTCGACATGAGAACTTGGTTCCTCTGTTGGGTTTCTATGGTGGAAACAGAGGAGAGAAGCTTATGGTTCATCCTTTCTTCTCTTCCGGGAATCTTTCCGACTTCATCAGAAGTAAGCACTCTGTTTTTTTTTTTGTAAAGTAAAAAGCTTTTTTATTTTTTTTTTCCGACAGAAAGTGGAGAACTTTAACTTTTTCGGGATACAAACAGAAACATGTTCTACTCTGCCGGTAAAATGGTTAGGAACCTTTGCCGTTACCATGATGTTGATATCACTTTCACATTTGTGCCTCATACATGTAGATACATATGCATACAAGAATGTGTGTTATACTAAAAAAAGATAAACACATAGCTGGAAATACACATTAGCTGGATCATTTAATTCAGTTTTCCATTATTTATTTAAGCTATTTTAAAGTATAGTAACTCATACAGCTTTTGTGTTTTGTCGGTACTGTTTTTGTTTTAGTTTCTCTTTCACTTTCCACTTCATTAGGACAAAACATGAAACATGTTGATCTAAAGAACATTACATTATTTTTTATTTTGTAGGTGGAGATGATGAATCAGTAAAATGGATGAACATTTTACGTATCACTATTGGAATAACCGAAGCTCTTGATTATCTTCACAATAAGATGCATAAACCAATAGTCCACGGCAATCTGAAATCCAAGAACGTTCTTCTGACCTCGAATTTCGAGCCTCGAGTCTCTGATTACGGTTTACATCTCCTCTTAAACCTAACGACAGGACAAGACATTCTTGATGTTTCTGCATCTGAGGGATACAAAGCTCCTGAGTTGATAAAGATGAAGGAAGTGAGTAAAGAGAGTGATGTGTATTCTCTCGGTGTGATTATGCTTGAGCTAGTCTCTGGTAAAGAACCGATTAATAAGAATGCAACAGGAGATGATGAGTTGTATCTTACTGATTTCATGAGGAATGGTGTTATTGAGCATAAGTTGTCTGATCTGTATCGTCCTGAGATTCTCAGGAGTAGTGGTGATGTGAGTGAAGAATGTGTCCTCAAGTATTTTGAGGTTGCGATGTCTTGTTGCTCTCCTTCGCTTTCTCTTAGACCAAACATCAAGCAAGTCTTGAGGAAACTTGAAGACATCAGGAAATATTAGAAGAGCGAAAGAAAGAACCGATACAACTCTTCTCCAAGGTCCTTTGGTAGAGGAATAAACGGTAAAGATCAGAGTCTGAGGAAAAAGACTTATTATATGATGAGTGGCTTGAGGAGATGCAGAACATTGATGTGGATGTGGCAAGTCTCAAGCTGTCAATGAAGATAAAAACGAACAAGTTAATCAGAAGATCAGTAACAAAATTGTAAAGAGGAGAGGATTGTACTTAGAAGTTTACACATCTTGTGAGAGGTGTGTGAGGGATAGTCTTCTGACTATAGGATAGATTAGGACTATTTGTCAAACCTTAGTTCTTGATTGTAATCTATACTCTTTGAGTTTCATTAACTTTTTGTCTTTTCAAAGTTTGTGTTCATGTTCTGTTTTGTTCTGTTGTTTTCCCGGGTAAAAAAAACAATCCAAACAGAATTTACCGAACAATCTTTCTCTTAAAACATCTCTAACCCCACTTTATTTTTTACTCTAAAATAGAGTTTTAGAGTAAAAATATTGTATATCTCACTCTATAATAGAGTGAAAATAGATTTAATCCAAATATAGAGTAATTTGTTTTTTTTTTAATGTTTATCACTTCTATTTTTTCACTCTAAAATAGAGTATCAATGGAATAAACTCCAATTCTATAATAGTGTGACTAGTAAAAAATAGTATAAACCATTGGAGTGGCTTATAAAATAAACGGCACCGTGTTTGCGAATAAGGATATTATTGTCATTTATTAACAAATGAGTAAAGAAGGGCCAAAAATGGGCCTGAAATCCATACCCGGAACCACCCAATAAGAACCCGACCCGAAACGCCTCGTAATCTCACTATTCTCGTTTCAATTTTGAAACTCGGGCGTCAGTATCCATGTCTCTCCGAGCTTAGTTTTTCCCCCAAAATCATCGGCATTGACTCCACTCCTCTGAGAATCCACCGCCCAATCTCTCCGCATCTTCCCGATGGAGTTCACAGAGGCTTACAAGCAGACAGGTCCTTGCTCCTTCTCCCCAAACTCTCGCTACGTCGCCGTCGCCAATGACTATCGTCTCGTGATCCGCGACACATTCTCCTTTCAGGTTAAAAAAAAAAACAATAGTTAGATTCGCTACCTTATCGCCTAAACCCTAGGTTTCACCGATGAATCGAATGAAAATTTTGGATCTTACCGTGTTCAAATGCAAGTAGATCTTGAACTTTAGATTAGATAATATTCGGCTATTTGGAGTTATTCGTGATCCTATGCATTTCATCCGAATATTCGATTGATCAGTAGCCATCCTAACATTTTGTGTTTCAGATATTCAGAAATTTACCGGATATCCGATTTGATTCGTACAAATAAAATAATAATTAAAAATAATAATAATAATAATATTTTGTTACGAAAGATTTAAAATTCTAGCAACTAATTTAATAAGTTTAATAAATAAAATATTGTAGAACTTACACAAAATGTAAGATTTATATAGCCTATATATATATAATTTTTTAATATATGTAAATATGCATATAACATATCGGATATCCAATCCATTCTTAATATTTGTGATTTGTTTCGTCTCTTATGGATATTACACTTGAGTATTTGCTTTACTTTACGGATATCCAGAATTTTTGGTTCAAATCGAAATGGATAACGAATTGAATCAAAATTTACTGATATTTTGCAGAGCCCTAGGTTTCTACTTGATGATATCATTGAAGTTTTTTTGTATCTGGATTTTATGAACATGTTAATGAATTGTAAAGTGTTAATGTAAATTCCACAGGTTATTCAATTGTTTTCTTGCTTAGATAAAATAAGCTACATAGAATGGGCGCTTGATTCCGAATACATTCTCTGTGGACTCTACAAGAAACCAATGATTCAAGCCTGGTCACTCTCACAACCAGAGTGGACTTGCAAGATTGATGAAGGTCCCGCTGGTGTTTCTTACGCTAGGTGGAGCCCAGACAGCCGTCACATACTCACAACCTCCGAGTTTCAGCTGCGTTTAACGGTTTGGTCACTTCTGAACACGGCGTGTGTTCATGTTCAGTGGCCAAAGCATGGCTCCAAGGGAGTTTCGTTTAATAAAGATGGGAAATTTGCTGCGATCTGTACAAGGAGGGATTGTAAAGACTATGTTAACCTTTTGTCTTGTCAGTCGTGGGAGATTATGGGGAGCTTCGCTGTTGATACTTTGGACTTGGCTGATCTTGAGTGGTCTCCTGATGATAGTTCTATTGTAGTGTGGGATTCGCCTCTTGAGTATAAGGTGTGTGTCGTTTTGGTTGGTCGTGGGGTGATATTCTTGAATCTTTGAGAAACGGATAGTTATCTCTAAAGTTTTGTATTACCTTTGGGCAGGTTTTAATTTATTCGCCAGATGGTAGGTGTCTGTTTAAGTATCAGGCGTATGAATGTGGGCTTGGTGTGAAGACTGTTTCCTGGTCTCCCTGTGGTCAGTTTCTTGCTATTGGTAGCTATGACCAGATGCTACGTGTCCTGAATCACCTTACTTGGAAAACGTTCGCTGAGTTCTTACACCTATCAACTGTTCGTGCGCCCTGTTGTGCTGCTATTTTCAAGGTAAAGGTCTTTCCATTCTTTGACTAAAATTTTTCCATCAGCTGGAGATAGGCTGGTTGCGAATGCAGGCGCGTATTCACCTATTGGTTATTGTTTTTTTTTTTCTTCAATAGGAAATCGATGAACCCTTGCAGCTTGATATGTCTGAGTTATCGTTGGATGACAACTTTATGCCAAGCAATTATGGTAATTACGGTTCCAAACCTGTTCTTTTTCTTCTGTCTGGGACATCTTTCAGAACACTCTTTTTGTGTGTAGCCATTATAATATCTTCAACCAATTCATGTTTTCATGTTCAGATGCTTCGGAAGGCTTTATAAGTGTTAGATATGAAGTCATGGAATTACCAGTAACTTTTCCTTTCCAGAAACCTCCAGCGGACAAGCCTAACCCAAAACAAGGAGTGGGTAAGCTTTTTCTTCTGCAACCAAACACAATCTAGGAAACTGCAATCAGATGTTGAAAATTTCCTAAATCTTAACTCTTTCAAACTGTTCTCAGGGCTTCTATCTTGGAGCAAAGACAGCCAGTACATATGCACACGAAACGACAGCATGCCCACTGCCCTATGGATATGGGACATGCAACGTCTCGAAGTTGCAGCAATCCTGGTCCAGAAGGAACCTATCCGAGCCGCTGTCTGGGATCCAACCTGCACTCGCCTTCTCCTATGCACTGGAAGCTCTCATCTCTACATGTGGACTCCCTCAGGTGCGTTCTGTGTATGCAATCCTCTCCCGGGATTCTCCATAACTGACCTCAAATGGAACATTGATGGAAGCTGTCTCCTTCTGAAAGACAAAGATGCGTTCTGCTGTGCCACTGTCCCGCCTCTTCCTGAGTCCAGCGACTACAGCTCTGATGACTGAGGACTCCTTATGTATTTCTTTGTAAAAGTTGCAGCCTTGTGTGTCTCTCAATTTTAGGAGTGTTTTTTCCCCTTGACTTTTACTAGTGATTGTTAACTATTTTCATTGTATAAAAAGGTTTTCTTAAGTAACAAAGGTACCGTTTAAGTCCTTGATACAACAAAAAAAAGTTTTCATTTCAGGGATTAGGCTCCTGCTTGATGTTGGTCTATGGTCGACTCAACAGATATAAGGTATTTCACCAAAACTCTTTTCTATCTGTGAAATAGGTTTCTGAATATGTTTATGAACATTCAGTATAGGGTTGTGATTACTTTGGCTTTTTAATCATAGTGCTATACTCTGGAATATTTTCAAAATCTCATTGTTAATGTCAACAAGGAGAATAGATATTGAAGATAAATATCTCATCTCTGTTTAATATCCATATGCAAGTTGTGCATCTCTCTTTCAACTCTGTACTCTGTAGCTTGTGGTCCATCATATACTTTATCGATGAGTGCTGACTTTTACCTAACCTATGAGACAAAACATTTGCTGCTAGATTTCTAAATCTGGTCCCTCATGCAACTTGTTCATCTTGATTCACTCCCCCTTCACCTCTTGTATTGAACATTAGGTACACTCACTTATTCAAGCTGTTACTGTGAAGTTTTTATGTTAGGAGATTGAAACCTTGATTGTGTGTTTGCGTTTGCGTTTTCTTGTGAAACGGTTGGTTAGCCTCAGTCTGTGTTTGACGTGTGCGTTTGCAATGAATAATAATTTCTTTTTATTGTTATTATTATTCAGAATAATTCTGTTGATTTCTTAGTTTTAGCTACTAAAAGTTATTTTATTACTTTGCTTGTCTTGGTTCTAATAACCAGTTGAGTTGTTTAGAGATGGAGACTCAATCCCTGGAGAGAACTTTCTTTGGAAACAATAACTTAAAGAAACAGAACATTCATACAAATTTGTTGCAAGAGTTCTTAGCACACTAACCTATACTTCACTTCCTCTGTACAATTTAACTTAAACAATGAAACTGCTCACACTTTTAAATGTTAATTGCCATCATTCATTCACAGGTTGTTTCTCCATCACTAGAAGATGCTGTGGAATTGCTCTGAGTTCTTTGGAGCTCCTCTTGCGCATCACATCTCTTCCTTTTCCGTCCTGAGTTCACAGGAGCTTCATATTTGCCAGCGTCTAGAGGAAAGTTGAGCACAGCTTTTCTTCCCCGGAGCTTGAAAGCTGCACAGTCATAGGCTCTTGCAGCATCAACGTTACTTTCAAATGTTCCTAGCCAAATCCGAGATCCTTTCTTTGCAGGATCACGAATCTCTGCTGCAAATTTCCCCCACGGCCTTCTTCTCACTCCTCGGTAATGCCTAGGTTCTTCCTCTTCTTCAAACCTCTTTGCTTCTTTCCTGGTCGAGACACTCTCATGTGATGATGAATTCAAATCTGAAACTCCAGTTGATGTAGATGATTCAGCTTCCAGCTGTAAAAACTCTTTGACGAATGAATCCGGATCAAGAACAGGTGAATCAGGTTCTTGTTTAGGAACTTGATTCATCACAGGTTCTATACACCAGAGTCCTGAGACAAAAGAAGCATTAAAGTCAAAATCTCCCATGAAACCATCAGCAACCAAAAAGTCTTCCAAGAGATGCTCCTGTATAGCATCCAAATCAGAGCTTTCCTCAAACGCAGCCATATTTTTTTCCTAGACAAGACAGATGAGAGAGAAAAGAGAGAGAGTTTGCAAGTGATGTCTGAACAAAAGCTTTGAGAATTTGCTTTCTATATATAAAAGGTAAAGAAGAGGAGACAAGGAGGTTAATCACAAAGTTTCAGCAGCCATGGATGGGTGTAGGGACACAAACTCTTATGGTTTTGTCGCTCTCTTAGTGGTTTTACAGATGAGTCATAATTCTTATCAATTATTACAATATATTAAGACAACGTAGAACTTTTTGTAAGGACGTTCATCAACTTGTTACGTGACGTGACATGACACTTCACATGAAAAAAAAAACTGTAAAGCTTTATACTTTTTACATTCTGGTTCGAAGGATGAGATAAATCTTCTCATTTCTCTTCAACTTGTCTTCTACCTCTCTGATGGTGACTACTAAAAAACCATTTGATTCTCAACGGCACTGCATTATTATTGTTATAATTATTATTTTTGTTTCTTGTTTGTTAACATCACATTATCTTATTTGTTTCTATCAGAAATTTAGAATTAACGTGTACTATGTGTAATGACGAAATATCTCTATGATGTCATATAATTTTTATAAGTCATCCTGACACTGTTTGTAAATAATGACAATAATAGATAAACAAACCAATTTTCTCTGTAAAGGAAACATGCAAAATCTATATTTTATTGCAACTAAGCCTTTAAATCTTTATTTTCTTTGAACTAAATATTTCCTTAGGTTAATTTTCATTTTATATGATTCTACAGTTTGGCCGATTGACATCATAAGAATTAAATCTACTAATCTATCTTCAAACTCTGTTAGTGACTAGGACAATGCATCAGAAAGTTTTTTCTTACATCAAATAACTTTTCAATATACGTAAATTAGTTTTCTGTAAACGAGACTCGAATCACACACAAAATTACTATAAACTTTTTCCTGAAACATTAAGTTCTAAAAATACAAATATTATAGCAATCATGGAGTTGTGATTGCACTATTACCTGGAAATGAACCTAACATATAGAAGAAAAAAAAAAGTAGATTCTTATAAGCTTCATACATGTCAAAGAGGAAAGACAACTCAATCAAGTTGTTTTCCCGGTAGGCCTCTCCTGGTGGGGAATGATTTGAAGCAACTTGATTTTTAGATATTTTTATTAATTTCGGAGGCTCCACAGATTAAAAACCTAACCCATCCTCTTTTGCTTATTAAATATAAAGAACATATTAGATTACTGGATGCCCTGTGTGCGTATTTGATACTTTATATATAATGGCGCCACCATCCATTATTGGTGATTATTGATAAGTTTTTGTTTGGTTGTCATTGGCATGTTAATCAATTGTATCTTCATAATTGAATATGGTTATCGCGTTCCTAATAACGTTTTAAATGGTTTTGTTTGGTGGTTCCTACCATAGTGAATTCTTTAATCTTTATACCACAATCAGTAAGCTAGTTAGTAATTCTAATATATAACATGGAAATAATACAAAATACTAGTTTATTTCTCTGTTAAAATACAAACTAACGATTACAAGGTCGATTATTTCTGTGGCAGCACTATTTAATTTTGTCCATTAAATTAATTTTTCACTTTAATTTGAGGAACACTAGGATCCATCCACAATCTATGTCCAATCAATTAGTTAATAGGGCATTGTTACGGTGTTTATGAAGTTTACAGCCAACTAGAAGGGATGGCTCTAATTCTAGTCATCGAAGTTCTAACTATAACAAAAATCATTCAACTTAATATTAAACTATGAATTGGTATATTTATTGTATAAGCAGTTAAAGAAAACTAGGAGAAGGCCAAATAAACATGATCATAACACACAAACAGATAAAACTAAAAATAGATGTGGCGTGTGTAACGTGTCTCCAATATTAGTACTCACTTCATGAATACGACCGTGGATCATATAGTTTGAAAATGGTGTTTAAAGAAATATGATTAAGCCAGAATTGAAGACTGCTTGAGCTAGAGAGAGTGGAGAGGTTGTTAGAGAAGAAACAGTTGACTGAAGAATTCTAGTTGGGCTGTCCACGACCGTCACGGCCTTCATTACTAAAGCCCATATTGGCCTAATCTCCTCATAAATTTGATGTTAGCATATCTGATTATATAACCGATTCATAACCTGACTAAATCAATATCAAACTAAATGCTACGAAACTACCAAAGACCACCACATTCTCATTAAGGAGTGTCAAGTGTGTACATACATTGGTACCCTATCAACGAATGTAACAGACTAATAGTTGATAGAACAGCTTCCATGTTTCCCGCTATATTAGTTTCTGAACGTAAATATATATTTTTCTAATGTTTTAGTATTTGGGACAGCATGGTTAAATACTATAATTATAACTTGCAAAATTCATGGATATTTCGGGACCTATATCAACTAGAAGACTATTGAAACATTATACCACTATATGTATATAAATTAGTACATTAATTTATTGTATTACTTTTCATTTTAATTAGAGATACAAAAGGGCCAAATAAACATGATGACACAAACATATTAAAACAAACTTGACGTGACATAACGTAGATGTCCCTTTAGTACTGTCTTCGTTTTTTGCATGGAAGCATGAATGTGTACCGTACCGTGCACGTAAACTTCTTCATAAAGTCCCCCTCTCTCTCCACTAACAACCCCCAGTCACAAATTCTCAGCTATTGAGACTTTTTAACATTTCCATCAAAAAAATGTTCTTTCAGATTATTCAGGGGGTTTTCACCGGCGTGACGGCATTAGCTCTATTGGCACTCGCTGGTATAACCCTTGGCGGCTCAGCCGTGGGATTAGCCGTAAGCACGCCGTTTTTTGTCCTATTCAGTCCGATTCTCGTGCCAGCAACTATAGCCACCACTTTGTTAACTACGGGTTTAACGAGCGCCAGCGGCTTCGGTTTAATGGCTATCCGCATAATCTGGATGCTCTACAAGTAATTAAATTAAACAAAACCGTTAATTGAAAGCCACTCGAAAAATAAGGTCTATTTATAATGATTGAGGCATTATTATGCATATGAATCTATATGGAAACATGTAAATTGAATACATATGCGTGGCTTTAAATATAATATTTTACATCAACGAAGATTCAGGTACATAGTTTCGTAGCTACAATATAATAAACCATTTTCCGGTTTTCCAAGTAACTAACAAACCTATGTTGAGCAAACACTTAAGATTAACTATTTTAAAACACATTAGATGATTGTCGAATAATGTTCAGGCGGCTGATTTCGCTAGATTAGTTTCTAAACATGAAATATTTTAGTTTAATTTTAAATATATAATCGTGTGTGCAGGCGTCTTAAGAAGAAAGGAAAGTCAAAAGTTCCGGGAGTGTCCCCGGAGGCTCCAGAGTCTGAGCCAACGTCTGGGGGATAAACGGAAGAGGCCTTTTGTAGTATGAGATGATATTAATGAGAATTATTAGGGTTCCTTAAATAAAACCTAAAATCATCCACCCTTTCTTTAATAAAATACTGATTACGCGCGGATTGAAATATATACATGTACTCCATTCTGTTGTATTTTTAAAAGAATTAAGTGATCACTGAGATTACCTTAGATGATTATATTCAAGTTACATTATTGATTCATTGAATCATTCGAAACTAACGTTGTTTCCACCTTTATGTTTTAAAAGATTAAATTAAGTTCTTAAATTGCAACGATCGATTTCTGTTTTTTTTTTTTTTTTTTTTTTTTGCATGCTATATAATCTGACGATAATTGTAACAATATAAATTTGGGTTCTATATAATGTAAAATAAAAGCTCCATTTAATGTAAAAAAAGAAGATTCTTGTGAGTGTTTATCTTTATTTAGAATCAAACTAATATATCATAATGAAAAAGTACTAAATATAAAAAGTATATATGGATAAAATATTTGAAAAAACATTTCCATCATGAGATTCTCTAAACTTGATAGTATGTTATTATTATTTTTTTTCTGTTTTTGGCTTCGAAATTAACTTTTGGCATGTATTTGCCTCTTGTTATCTAGCTCCATCACATTTTAGCAGTTATGTTAAAAAAAATCATCGGAGATGAGACGCGTTTTACACCTTACTGGTTACGTAGTGACAAGAATAATGATTTCATCGGCAGATCAGCTCCATCCACAACCAGTCCAACATTGTTAACCTTTCTATCTAGTAAAAAGAAATACAAATTAATTAGAATCAAGGAAAAACTTAATCATGTGGCCTGGTATACTACAAGAAAACATTGATTTTGAAACTATAATTTGCAACCACAGCAGTAGTTACGTAAATGCACGTGGCTAATGAGTCATGAGAAAACCTTCCTTCTCTTTTCATTATTTCATAAAGCAATGAAACTAGTGAAAGCATCTGTATGTTCTTTTGTTCAACTTTTATGTTCTTTTGTTTTTTTTTTTTGGGGGGGGGTCAAACTTATGTTCTTTTGTTAAAGGGGTAATTCTATTGCCAAATCCGACTTTAGATAACAGTGTTTTTGACTTTTTTTAATCTAGAACAAAAAAATATGCAAGAACTAATTAAAGAGAAGTTTTAAGAAAAAATGATATGTAACATGTAAGGTTTATGAACAATGAAGTTGATTCAAAGTCCTTACGCCAAATGGTTGAAGTGATACTTTGTAGCGGAGGCAGCATGCGACATAATAAAAAGCCTTTCTCGCATAATCTCGCGAACGATGACAAATTGACAATTGTGAATTGTTAATTATGCCGCTTGAGTTCTTAAAACATATCGAACTCTTACAAGAAAGATAAAATACCAAGACTTTTTACAAAAGAAAAAAAAAGATAGAATACCAAGATACATGACAACCCACACAAAATATGACGAAACAAATGTGGCGTGACGAAACGTAAATCTCTGTTTACTCACAGAACTTTGCATGTAAGCATGAATGTGTACGTGTACACAAACATCTCGCAGGTTCTTCATAAAGACCTTCTTCAAAAACACAACCATTCAAACAAAAAGTTGGAGCCAAGTACTGCTTCAAAACTTTTAACAAAACAAAAAAAGTTGTACCCATTCAAACCAAATTTTAAGCCGTTGAAGTCTAAATCTATATCCAAAAATGCTTTCTTTTCTCATCCCAGTTTTTCAGGTTTTCCAGATTGTTAGTGCTGGAGCCATGTTAGTTTTGGCGGGTCTAATCATCGCCGGCTCAGTAGTGGCATTAATTGTAACCACACCTCTTTTCCTGATATTCAGTCCGGTTCTCGTACCAGCAACTATAGCTACCACTCTCTTTGCCGCCAGTCTCTCGACCGTTGCCCTATTTGGAGTGACGGCGGCTGCTCTCGTAGTTTGGCTCCTTAAGTAAAATCTTAACAAACACTTTTCTTTCTCCTTTTTTGATATGCTCCATAATCATACATCAACATATCTTTTACTCTATCATACATCAGCACATCTAGGTTTATGATTGACTCGATATCCGTTTATTATAGTACAAGTTATTTTTTGCTTATATATATATCTTTTTAGAAGAAGAATTATTTGATCCTACTCGTTATCAATGGGATCATGAATTAAACAAAAAATTAGCTGTAATATAAATGAAAAACCAAGAACCTAAACTCATATCCTATGTAAAGTTTTAAATTTCAGTCAATCAATATGAAGTTTTTTACCCAGCGTCCTTTAAAAACCATGAATGTAGTTAACTAAAAGTGATACAAAAAAAAAATTGTAAATTAGTATGTATACACTTGTGTGGTGTTATGCAGGCATAAAATGGGAGTACACCCGAAGGATAATCCCCCTCCGAAAGGAGCTCCACCCACCGGAGGAGCAGCTACAGATAAACCAGCTGAAGGAGCAACCGATAAGGCAGGAGCAGAACCGGCTGGAGCAGCAGCCGATAAACCAGAAGCTAATCCGGCTGGAGGAGCAGCCGATAAACCAGAAGCTAAACCGGCTGCTCCAGCCGATAAACCAGCTGCTCCAGCCGATAAACCAGCAGAAAAACCGGCTGAAGGAGCAGCCGATAAACCAGAAGCTAAACCGGCTGCTCCAGCCGATAAACCAGCAGAAAAACCGGCTGGAGGAGCAGCCCCTAAACCAGGAGATAAACCGGCTGGAGGAGCAGCAGATAAGCCAGGAGGTAAACCAGCTGGAGCACCAGCTGGAGCACCAGCAGATAAACCAAAAGATAAACCGGCCGGAGGGGCAGCAAATAAACCGGCTGGAAAACCGAAAAAATAAACTGGCTGGGGCAGCAACATACCAGCTGGGGAGAATAAACCGCCGGCGTAGGTCTCCTGGTATAGCTGAATGGAGTAGTTTGAAACTAAATTATTGGGTTCCATTAATTATTCCTAATTTATCCCTAAACTACATGTTTCATAATCATTTCTATTAATGTACGCCATGTTGCAAAGAAATGATAAATAGTGTACGAAATTTTCTTTGTAAATTTATTAAAACTAGGTGTTGTGCCCGCATATGCGGGCATAATTTTCTTACGAATATTTATTATTTTTTGTTCTATAAATTCTAAAATAGTATTATAAGTTATTTTCTATAGTTTTAAAAAACCTAAATCAAACATTAAAATATTTTTATATGATTTTTCATCAAAATCTATATGCTTATTATAGTGTTGAAAAAAAAATCCACATAATAAAATAGTTTTGAAAATATATTTATATTTTCTCTTAATATTTAATTTTAAATTGTTTAATAACTTACATTTTTATTTTTCACAATAAAAAATATTATTTTCAGATAACTATATAATATTCTATAAGATATCTTATGTTTAAATATGCATGAATGTAGATAATTATCCTATTAATTTATAATAAATTAACTAATATAATAACATATAAATTTATATCACTAACATAAAATTTTGCTTTAACTAATTTATATATAAATATATAAATTTCATTAAAGGTATCATTAACTTGAACCGTTCCAATTTTTAATACCTAATATTTAATTATATAATTAAAATATCTTTATACAAATGTTTTTGTTTGATTAATATTTAATTAAAATCGATTTTATATTTTAATTTTTAAATTTTATAATATAATGATATTATTTTTAAAAGCCAAAAGCAATTTGATATAAAATTAATATCTATAAGCATTATAATGTTGTTACAATATTATATTCAGATAATAATAACATATATAAGAATTATCTTATTTTGTTTTTTTATAAACTTATTATATTAATTATTCTTTATTATCTAAGATAATAACATACTGTACTTATCTAGTTTTATTTTTTAAATTTCGTTTTTAATTATAAAATTAGTTATATATAAAAAATTTCATTAAGGGTAAAATAGATATTAACCGCTCTAACTTTTAACGTGAGAGCTCCGTTGCGAAAAATCACTTCACAAATAATAGTATAGATAATGTGATATCATTATAACTGATATTATAGCATATATCGGCCAATGAGGTTTGGTCCTAATTGACCAAATCATCGGTAATACCTACCTAAGACTTCCTTTTTAAAATAAACCTGATACTAATTTAATGTACGACTTCCAAATATCAATATTTTGAATTTTTCATTGCCATTTCCCTTGAACGCCCCTCTTTCTCCTATGAGACATTAACATTGTGCTATTGCCAATGATGCCACGGGAAATTCGGCTCTTGCCACCGAAGCTGAAGTGTTTGTATGGGCCGCAATTTTACGTTTTGCGTTTGAAATTCGTTCCGACAATCTTGAGCTCATAAGAGCTATTAAACTCGAAGTTTTTGCCTATGGAGCTCTACATAAGTTAGCAAGAAACGCCCTTCTTGTGGCCTCTCCCTCTCTGTACTAAACTTTTTTTTAATGAAATTTCTGTTGTTCAAAACAAAAAAATAAGATGTTTATTTCGGATCGCAACGATTTGGTGACCAACTTTGTTGGAGATTTTCAGAACCTTCTAAGAGCACCACAAGTGAAATTATTTTATGAAAGAAAATGATAAGAAATGAGAAAAAAATGAAAACCTTATCTCATATGAGAGATTGTCAATAAATATTAATTTTTTTTATAATATCTGTCATTTAAGAGTAATTAGATAGTTTCCGTTCACCCACGAGGGTGTTATTTTAATTTGTAACATTTAGAGTTGTTTTCAGTTAATACATGTTTGTATATGTGTGACATTGTTCATGTATTGTTGTTGTTTAGTCTATACCTTAACCATGTTTTTAACTATTTGTAAGTTATGTTGGTTTCTTATTTCTAATGGATATTGATATAATCAAATAACTCATAGTATATATATTAAGTTTGAAATTATATTTATATGACAATTATTTAATCTATTAAGTTTTTATAATTTATATAAATCCTTTTTATAAAATCTATGTTTATTTAATATTATCACTTTATGTTTTTAAATATTTTTAATAAGTTTGTTTTGAAAATAGGAATACTGTAATATAATTATTTAACCTTTTTATCGAAAAATTAATTATATTATATATCAATAATACTAAAATAATTTCACTTGTGGTTAGATACTTTTGGTAGAAACTTCTCCACTAATGATGATCTAAAGAACCATTTTCTAAGAGTATGAAAGATTTCAGGAGGAATTTGACATATTCATCTAATTCTCTTCCGTTGTTACTTGTTAGTTACAGCAGATAACCCGAGACAGTCCGCTGCTATGCACAGTTGCTCAAGTCTTTTATTGATCTTATCACTCCTCTAAAAATCCAATTTACGACCCTTTTTATAACTATTCCATTAACAATTAAATATTATTAATATTTTAACCAACTACTATTGTGAGCGAGCATAGTCAAGAAATCAGTAATCAATGATGAAATCATATGATGAAATCATATGATGAAATCATATGATGAAATCATATTAATGATTTCATCTGCTTCACCAACCTTATTGTAACCAGTAATCAATTTACTCACATTATTTGCATTTGGCTAATAAGAAAATATTTCTTCACAAGTTGATATTTCATAAAGCAAAAGAATGAAAGAAAACAGTTAAGATTCTACAAGGAAGAAAAGAAGGTCCCAAAAACATGACAAAAAGATGAAGCAAATGTGACTTGACGTAACGTAGATCTCCATATATACTCCAATCGTTTTGCATGGAGCATGCATGTGTACCGTGCACGTCGTAGACCACACACCTCCTTCATAAAAAGCCCTCTCTCTTCCCATAACCAAACCATCAGAAAATATGAGAAACGAAATCCAAAACGAAGCAGCTCAGACTGAGTCACAGGGAAGTATGTTTTCTTTTTTCAATTTGTTCCCTCTTCTCCTCCCAATATTTGAGGTTATCAAGATGGTTGTTGCTTCCGTTGCCTCCGTAGTCTATTTAGGCTTCGCTGGTGTAACACTCGGTGGTTCAGCCGTGGCATTAGCTGTATCTACACCCCTTTTCATCATATTCAGTCCCATTCTCTTACCCGCTATTGCAGCCACTACTGCCCTAGCTGCTGGGCTCGGCGGTAATAGATTTACGGCTGAGCCAGCAGCATCTCCGGCTGGTTCACCATCATTATCTCTGTTGGGCATACCAGAGAGTATTAAACCAAGTAAAATGAAGAACGAAATTAAGGAGAAGAAAGGCAAAGTTAAGAATAAGATCAAAGCCAAAAAAGGAAAAAAATCTAAAGGTAAAGATAAAGATACGACTACGGATGACGATACGACTACGGATGACGATACGACTACGGATGAAGAATAAACCGCCGGCATAGTTCTCCTGGTATAGTTGAATGGAGTAGTTTGAAATTTATATTATTGGGTTCCATTGATTATTCCTATTTATCCCTAAACTACATGTTTCATAATCATTTCTATTAATGTTCATGTTGCAAAGAAATGATAAATAGTGTAAAATTTTCTTTGTAAACTTATTAAAATGATGTGATACATTATAACTGACATTATAGCATATATCGACCAATGCGATTTGGTCCAAATTAACCCGATGATGGTAAATAACTACCTAAGACTTCCTTTTTAAAAAGAAACCTGATACCTAATTTAATGTACGACTTCCAAATACCAATATTTTTGCATTTTTCATTGCCATTTCCTTTGAACGTCCCTCATTCTAGTATGAGACATTAACATTGTGCTGTATTGCGCGCCAATGGTGCCACGGGAAATTCAGCTCTTGCCACCGAGGCTGAAGTGTTTGTATGGGCTGCAATTTTACGTTTCCGTTTGAAATTTGTTCCGACAATCTTGAGCTCATAAGAGCTATTAACTCGAGTCTCTATCTTTGTCTCATCTTGTTCTTTCATGTTTCGAGGTTGTGTAATGTTAGAGCGGACACCTTAGCAAGGAACGCCCTTCTTGTGGCCTCTTCCTCTCTGTACTAAACTTTTTTTCATGAAATCTCTGTTGTTCAAAAAAAAAAAATGTTTATTTCGGATCGCAACGATTTGGTGACCAATTTCGTCGGAGATTCAGAACCTTCTTAGAGCACCACAGGTGGAATTATTTTATTAAAGAAAATAATAGAAAAATGAGAAAAAATGAAAACCTTATCTCATATGAGAGATTGTCAATAAAAATTAAGAGATTTTATAATATCTGTCATTTAAAGAGTAGTTTAACCTTTTTACTTAATTTAATTATGTTATATATCAATGATACTAAAATAATGGTGAGATACTTTTGGTAGAAACTCCACTAAAAACATCATTAGTGAATAGTATCTTCCCAAGAGTATTTTTTCTTTATGATATTAGTTCTTTAGAGAAATTTTATTTTGTTATTTTATATCTAAAACAAAATTGAAACAACAATCAAATGACATATGGTTCAAGAATCTCTAAAAGATAAGTCAACGTATTTCTGCCAAAAAACGTCTCTTTTTTTTTCTACAATCTCTCACGTATTTTTCCTTTTTAATTAATAAATTTGTAGGTACTTTCTTTTCTACAATCTCTCAGGTATTTTCCCTTTTTTAATTAATAAATAAGATTTTCCGTTGGCTCTCTATAATTTTAAAGATCTTACAATTAGGTAGCAATATTGATATATACATATAATTATATGTATTTTGAGAACCCCATGAATTAGATACTCCAATAAGGTTGTTGATGCTCTATATATAAAGAACCAATTTCTAAGAGTGTGAAAAAATTTCAAGAGGAATTTGACATATTCATCTAATTATCTTCGGTTGTTACTTGTTTGTTGTAGCAGATAACCCGAGACATTCCACTGCTATGCACAGTTGCTCAAGTCTTTTATTGATCTTACGATCTTTCTTATATATTGTAATTAGGCTTTCAGATCAAGCACTAGCTCTGTAATTATAACTATTCCATTAACAATTAACAAAAACTGTGAGTTTATAAATTAGGAAACAAATATTACTAATAACCAACTACAATTGTGAGCGAGCATAGTCACTTATACAGTTCCAAGGTAAGCATGTTAATGGTTTCATCTGCTTCACCAACCTTATTGTAACCAGTAATCAATTTACTCACATTATTTGCATTTGGCTAATAAGAAAACATTTCTTCACAAGTTGATATTTCATAAAGCAAAAGAATGAAAGAAAACAGTTAAGATTCTACAAGAAAGAAAAGAAGGTCCCAAAAACATGACAAAAAGATGAAGCAAATGTGACTTGACGTAACGTAGATCTCCATATATTCTCCAATCGTTTTGCATGGAGCATGCATGTGTACCGTGCACGTCGTAGACCACACACCTCCTTCATAAAAAGCCCTCTCTCTTCCCATAACCAAACCATCAGAAAATATGAGAAACGAAATCCAAAACGAAGCAGCTCAGACTGAGTCACAGGGAAGTATGTTTTCTTTTTTCAATTTGTTCCCTTTTCTCCTCCCAATATTTGAGGTTATCAAGATGGTTGTTGCTTCCGTTGCCTCCGTAGTCTATTTAGGCTTCGCCGGTGTAACACTCACTGGTTCAGCCGCGGCATTAGCCGTGTCTACACCCCTTTTCATCATATTCAGTCCGATTCTCTTACCCGCTATTGCAGCCACTACTGCCCTAGTCGCTGGGCTCGGCGGTAATAAATTTAACGCGGAGCCGGCAGCATCTCCGGCTGCTTCTCCGGCTGGTTCACCATCATTATCTCTGTTGGGCATACCAGAGAAAATTAAACCAAGTAATATTAAGAACAAAATTAAGGAGAAGGTAGGCAAAGTTAAACCAAGTGAAATTAAGAACAAAATTAAGGAGAAGGTAGGCAAAGTTAAGGATAAGATCAAAGCCAAAAAGGAAGATAAAAAGGAAGATAAAAAGGAAGAAAAATCTAAGGATAAAGATAAGTCAAAGGATGAAGATAAACCCAAAAAAGAAGGTAAAGACGAAAAGGGTGAGAGTAAACCCAAAAAAGAAGGTAAAGACGGAAAGGGTGAGAGTAAACCCAAAAAAGAAGGTAAACATGGAATGGGTGAGAGTAAACCCGAAAGTGGAGGTTCGTCAATGGATGAAGGTAAACACGGAGGTGGAGGTAAACATGGAGGTGGAGGTGAACACGGAGGTGGAGGTGAAGACGGAGGTGGAGGTAAACACGGAGGTGGAGGTGAACACGGAGGTGGAGGTAAACACGAAGGTGGAGGTGAACACGGAGGTGGAGGTAAACACGGAGGTGGAGGTGAACACGGAGGTGGAGGTAAACACGGAGGTGGAGGTAAACACGGAGGTGAAGGCTCTTCTATGGGAGGAGGTAAAAATGCTAAATCCAAGGAGAAAAAGGAATTCCATTTTAAAGGTTCATCTATGGATGCAAGTAGTACAAGTGAAAGTTCAGGTGGAAGCTCATCTGGGGGTAGTTCACCTGAGAGTAGTTCACCTGGAAGTAGTTCATCTGGAAGTAGTTCACCTGGGGGTAGTTCATCTGGAGGTAGTTCACCTGGAGGTGGTTCATCTGGAGGTAGTTCACCTGGGGGTAGTTCATCTGGAGGTAGTTCACCTGGGGGTGGTTCACCTGGGGGTGGTGCTAAACACTTATGGTAAAAGTAAATTCATGGAAGAATAAAAGACATTGGTTGACCTACTCCAATGTTTAACAAATGATGTGTATTAATATAAATTATGAATTGTATGTACACTATATGAAGAAAAAAACTTTATGTTTATTTATGTAATGGCTAAAACTGATTATTATGATAAGACAAAAAAATACTATTATGATACTTTGTATATTGAAGATATGAAAATAGATAATGTGGTAAGAATTATTTCCATTCTTCTTGAAAAGGATCTAGTTCAGTTAGCTTCCGATAACTAATTATAGAAAATAATACTTGGACAAACATGGATAATAATTTTTTTGTGGAACATCATTTAATTTCATTAAATTTAACCTGTTTGGATATAACTGAAAGAGGGAATTATCATTTATTCTCTTTAAACAGAAGCATAAATTACAAACACAAACATAAATTAGAAAGGTCTCTAGCCAACTTAAATATGTCGATAAAACTTTCATGACAGAATCGAATAACTGAGACATAATCGATCACTTTTGAATGGGACGGTAAAATCCGACCACCACCTACGAGAAAACCTGAAATTACTTCGCTCTGAGTTCTATAAGTCTTTTCTACTAATGCTAGTTTGACACAGGTCCGACCCATTGTATTATGGTGTTGAATCAAAAAAATATTCATGTACCCTTATCATAGTTAGAACCGAGCACGTATAGGACAGCTGAAACATAATTAATAACGACACCATAATTAATATTGAAAATTGATGTGCTCTAAATTAATAATAATTTTGGCGTCTAGCTAAAACATCATATTCATGGGTTTTAGTAAGATATATGTTTATTGAGTGTTCAGTCGTTTCAACAAAGTTTCGGGTCTTGCCTGAAATCCATCCTATTGAGTATTGGAACTTAAAAATAATGTTATACTAGATATTATCATAAATATTTTACATATATAATTTTTATTTTTTAAATATTTAACTTTGATATTATCATAAATATTTTAGATATATAATTTATATTTATTCTTATATATTATGTAATTTTTTAATTATATAGCTTAATTTTGCTATTATATTATTAATATATTTTATTTGTTTATATATTTTACTTTTTTATCAATTATAATTATATTTTCGAGTTTGGTAGAATAAATCTATAATCTGAAATAATCAAATAATAAATCTCCTTTAAAATATCGTTTTTGAAAATATATAGTTGTAAAATAAAAAGTTTAACATATATTAATAACTTAATTTTTGTATAAGAATATTACATGGTTATCAAACTTTAACCTGTTTTAATGTAGATAATAATTTATATAAATGAAAGTATTTTTAAAAATAAATAGGTTACTTTATCAATTTAATATAATTTGTTATATTTAATTTATATAATAATTCTATTTTAATATAATATAGACTATAAGAAAACTTATAAAAGTAGAATATATATAAATATTTTTTAATAATCAGAAATAATCATATAACACTCTTCTTTAAAATATATTTTTGAAAATATATAGTTGTAGAATCAAAAGTTTAACATATGTTAATAACTTTATTTTTTATAAGAAGATTACATAAGTAACAAATTTAACCCGTTTTGGTGGTAGATAATAATTTATTTAAATGAAATTATACTAAAAAAAAATATTTCTCATATTTAATTTATATAATACTTATATTTAAATAATATAGACTATAAAAAATTATAATAATAAAATATGTTTTTAATATAATACTTAATTAATATTAATTTAAAATAATATTATATTATTAATTACAAAATTAATTAATACTTTATTTAACAAACATAATTTAAAATTTTAGTAAGATTTTGTTAGATTCTTTCTTAATATATTTTCCTATAACTAAAAATAAAATTCAAATTTATGGTTACAACTGGTTTATTATTAATATTCTTATTGAATATTACGTAATATCATGTAACTAATGAAATAGACCTACAATGATTTTTGTACAGTAGAGAAAAATAGTGATTCTATTTTAATTGATTAGATGTCAAAATATTATATTCATATTTTTGGTCAAAATAATATATTTATATAACTGGATATTAGTTTTTAAAATGAAGGTGAGTCAAAACCATGATTTTTCATGAGTTTCTAAAGATTGTCTAAAAAAGTTGATTTTATTATTTCTCATATTTTTATTTCCTTTTAATAGTTTTTTTTTTTGAAACTTAACTTTTTAATAGTTAGGGATTCTTTATGAACATATTTAAAGGCAAATCTCAAAATGTCAGTTTGTCGTGTTTGAGCTCCTACCAGAAACAAATGAAGGCTCAAAAAACATGATGAGCACCAATGTTATGGAATGTGACGTGACGTTACGCTATGCAACGTCGATCCCTATTTGCTCTCATTGTTTTGCATGTACAACAACTCCATATATATATAATCCATGTCTTCCCACCTCCACCAATTCACAACCATCCGATCTGAGAATATGAGCGAAAAACTCGTTCAACAGGAATCTCATTCTCACCCATCGATACTTAGCCGTTTTTTCAAAATGTTCTCTTTTATCTTCCCAGTGCTGAACGTTATAAAGTTTATTATAGCTTCCGTGACCTCCGTAATCTTCTTAGCCTTTGCTTGTGTAACACTCGGTGGTTCAGCCGTGGCATTAATCGTATCCTCACCACTTTTCATCATATTTAGTCCAGTTCTCGTACCCGCCACTATTGCCACAACCCTCCTAGCCAGTGGGTTCGCGGCCGGTACCACCCTCGGACTGACCGGCATTGGTCTCATCATGGCGCTCTTTAGGTAATATTAGACATGTTCTATTGAGATCACTAGAGATTTCTGCTTAAATATATTTGAAAACATGTCAACCTAACTGATAAGAATATGGTATTTCAAATATATACTCCATCCGTTCCATAATATAAGATGTTTTAGAGAAAATTGATGTTTCAAAATATAAAATATTTTGATATTTTTAAGATATTTTAACTTTATAGAAAACCGGTTGACCAATAGTATTTTAGTTTATTATTTATGATTGGTTAATTTATATTAAATTTATACTATCAATGATGTTATGTTTTAAAAAGTTAAATTTCTTAATTCTTGTGCTTCGGTTAAAACATCCTATATTATAGAACGGAGAGAGTAATTAGCACCTGAGATATATACATTTATGTGATGTGTGATAGGCCCGCAGGAGAAGTTACGTTGGCCCAATCAATGCTAGGAAAAATTATAATAAATAGAATTAAATCAAGAATGGGAGGTGGCGGCATGGGAGGTGGCGGCCTGGGAGGTGGCGGCCTGGGAAGACTCAAAAAAATCATAGAAATCATAAAAAAGTTCCGTGGTATGTCTGCAGGTGGAGCTGCAGCTGACCCAGCGACTGCACCTGCTGCTGATCCAGCGGCCGCACCAGCGGCCGCACCAGCTGCACCCACCTAATAAAGAACCTTGTTTGATGTTGTCCCAATATGTAGCATATATAAATCTTCTATTAATTAATTTAAGAATTTATGACTTTGAAACTAAAAGGAAAATAGCCTTTTTACTACGTTTTATGTAATAAATATTTTTCTATGTAATGTTTAATTTGCTTTTAATTATAAAAGACATATACATAGTTGACTAGAAAAATATTGTTAACTATGTATTGTGTCCATGCGCTACATAGATTTTAAACTAGTATAACAAAATATGTAATAATTTATAGTTAAATACATGTAAACTCATCAGTTAACTTTTTATAAGAAATATATAAAAAGGTAAAATGACACTCATTCAAAAACGTACAGTGAGCCATGTATAAATTTGTACTTGGAAAAACATTACTATCTTCTACTGAATTATATACAATTTTTTGAAGAATATATTCATTAGCATTTCATCCCAACTCAGAAAAACAATATTAATTGTCTTGAGAAAAATAGATATCAAAAGTAAAATGGTACATAACACATTTTACGAATATGTGTTTAAAGTAAACTTTACTTTATGGGAGTAAAGTTAGTTTAGAGTTTAAAAGTTAGTTTAGGGTTTAAAGATTCAAAGATCCAAACATAGCGTTTTAGTTAGTTTTGCAATTAAATCCTAAGTTTCCATAGCGTTTTTAAGTATACCAATCTATCATAGAGTTTCTGAAAATACAAACGTTATCTTAAAAACATGGGTATATCAATCATAGCACAAACGTAAAAAATGCTATCCTCGTCCGCTATTAAAACGCATTTTTCTTGTAGTGTCTGAAAGATGAAGAATAGAAATATTGAGATGAATGTAATGATGGTCGATGCGTTTTGTTTCTCCGTGCAACTCGGGAGGCGATACGTCGACGGCGCCGGATCGTTAAGGAGACGGGAGAGCAAAGGATCCGCTTTAACCTAATCAAACCCTGTATAAACTTATTTGGGCTTCTTGTTACATCGATTAAAATAGCTAATCGGGAATCAATTACAGTAGAGCTCCAACCAAAAGTATCAAACCGTTTGGTTTAGTTTCGATGGACAGATGTCACATTAAAGAGAGTCTATTTTATGATATCACTTGATGATGTGGGTGAAGGAGAAGAGAGTGAAGCTTTTCTTTATATATAAACATATAAGTACATTTAATTGCATTCTTTTGGAAAAGACTTTACGATTTGTATTACAGTTAACTTGAGGCAGTTGAGGAGAAGAAAAAAATAAAGAATAAAGCTTTCGTTTTTTTTAGAAAAAGAATAAAGCTTTGTTGGTGGCCTTCGATCTTGCAAATTTGTAATAGATTTCTTGTGTAGAAACTCGATCATCTAAAAATCGGTTTGTCTTGTTGAAAAAAACATGTGATGTATATGTGTAAATTTCTGACGGTTTCATGTAATCTTTTGAGACGGCAGTTTAGTTCTTTTGCTTTTTAAGGACCATTAGATTTTGACCCGTACGCCCGCACGGGTGTAGTTCTCTTGTCAATCTGCTTATGTAATTTATTTAAAAATTTGTCTTTTAAAAAAAATATTTTGCGGGTTGGCGGGTACCTGTAATTTAAATTCGACTGATCCATACCTATTCCGCATAAAATATACTAAACCCACACTCGTCTCACATATTTTTCAAAATATGTTGATCTTTACGCCCTGCAGTAAGTCAAACATGACGGAGTCAATGTGTAAAGAGTCAAATTCACAACCTTAATATAAATAATCATATAAATTATATTTTAAAATTTTTATGTGAGATAGAAAAACTACAATATAAATTGGTGTTTGATATTGGGCTTTGTATTATTTTTTTCTTATATATATTGAAAACTTTTTTTATAATCGCTATTGAAAAATATTTTAGTAAAAATCAATATATAAATATATATATATATATTAGAATCAAATTTATAATTTAGTTTTTAAATTATTATTTTGATTTGAAATATGTATATAAAGTTTAAATTTTGTATTATGATTATTTTAAACAAAAATATTTTAGGTAATTAGATTGATCCATTTGCATGTATTGTAAAGCTGGCCCAAATAGATCGTTTATTATAAGAGTTTCAATTTTCTTAATAATTTAGCCCATTTTGTTTTTAATATACTGCAATACATGTTGCCAAACAACAATATATTCCTTTTATTAAATGTTATTCTTGTTCCCAAACAACTCTCAAATGTACTTCAGTTTTAATAATATAGATGTCTAAGTTTTGTCTGAATCGTTTCCAAATCAAACAATTGGGTGGACAGAATATTCTTATTAATATATATCACCAAATAGTAGTATTCTTAGAATACTGTTTGTCTACCGTTTGTCTTGTGTTTTCGGTAAACACTCAATATGGCTGAATTAAACTCCATGGTTAGATAGCAACTATTAAAGCTAAATCTCGAACTATGGCAAAAAAAAAAAAAAAAAAAAACTGCATCCTGGAATCTATGATATCTATCTTCCGAAGGACTTGGTTTAGGCCCATTTAGGGTGTTCCTAGTTCCAACCGTAAACATGACAAGTAACGTTTGAGCTTTGACAAGAAAGAAAAGAAGGCTAAAAACATGACAACCTGTCAACCTAAACACACACAAAAGAAGAGAATGTGACGTGACGTAATGTAACGTAGATCTCGTACTTACTCACGTCGTTGTACATGTAGAGTAGTAACTACACAACATAAAATCCATTTTTTCTCACCACCACCACCAGTCATCCAAATCCAACATTTTTTCACAAAATGTTCTCTTTTCTCAGCACATTCTTGGATGTTATTAAGGTTGTTGTTGCTTCCGTGACTTCCGTAATCTTATTTGCCTTTGCGGGTCTAACACTCGCCGGTTCAGCCGTGGCAGTAGTTGTATCCACACCGCTTTTCCTCATATTCAGTCCAATTCTTGTTCCCGCCACTATAGCCACTACTCTCCTAGCCTCTGGGCTCACGGCCGGTGCTACCCTCGGAATCACCGCCATTAGTCTCATCATCGGGCTCATCAAGTAATATTAAGAAAATTCTTTTGAAATGAAGTCGAGATTTTGCTTATATAATAACACACGCGTGCACATTCATGACGTAGTAGCCTTTTGCCAAGGCTTTGGGTATGAGATTAAGCAAATATTTAGAAGCCACACATTTGAATGTGATTGTAGCTTGAGATGGTTTTGATTTCTCACGGTTCGATCAGTTCCCCAATAATCCTTTTGTACAACGTTTCGAAATTTAAAATTTTGTTCAATTATTTTTCTCTTTTTTTTCTGCTAGGAGACTACCACAAATTTATTTTCCGGTCTTACATATTACCACAAATTTTTTTTTTTTTTTAAATTCATTGAACCTATTACATCTCTTTTTTTGTTTGTTAAAGTTAACTGATTACTGTGTGTGCTTTATAGGACAGCGGAAGGAACTTCGTTGGCACGGTTAGCCCAAACACCATTGAAAATGTTAAAGATTTCGGGTGGATTTGGAGGATCATGGGGAGGAAAATCAATTTCTGGAACATTTGGAAATAATAAAGGTGGTGGATCTCAAGGGTCCGGAAAGATGCCAGGATGGTTAAAAGACCTACTCAAAGGTATGTCAGCGGGTGGAGTGGCACCTGCGCCACCCGCAGCAGGAGGAGCTACACCACCAGGATAAGATAAATTAGCCGAGCTGGTCCTAACATACAGCATATATATACCAATTGTGTATAAATTATAGATTTTATCAAATTGAAAGGAAAAAAAGTCTTCTTATTAAATACGTTTTATGTAATGGTGAAAACTATGTGGTATATTTTGGATAATTTCCTGAGCTTTAAACAATACATAGAGGAAAGAAGATCAAGAATCAGTTTTACATGCTTCAAGAAATAACTCTTTTTTTGCGACATTACAAGTAAAATCATTACAAAGGGATTTATACTCATATACATGTCATGATGTCAAGATCTCTCGTCTTGCTCTTGTATCATCGACTCGACTGGATTATAAAAAAAAACACCACTTTATTCATTGGTCTTTTATACATTTTAATCGACCAACTCTGAGATCCAATCAATATGTGACAAATTTAAATCCAAATCGGACGGCTCATAATGATCATCCACAATGCTCATCCCACTCCAACACTTCAACAGCCTCTCCTCGTTAATATCTACATCACTTACCCCGCTTTTCACCGGAGACTGCCACGTGTCAAACTCCTCACCGTCTTGTCTTATCCCCACACCATCGCCGTTTCTGCCTCTACCCACCGTCGTCCTCACCGGTCTATACGCATACCTGCACCTGTGTTTCCCCTCAGACTGCCTGAGCTGCTCAGGCGCATGGGCGAAAAAACACACTTTCCTCTGGCACATGTTTCCAGCGTTGCATGCGCGTGTCCTGTAACGAGCCGGGTGGAGCCAGTACTCGAAGACACCGTGTGCGAACTCGCAGGTGTCTCCACGGTGACATGCACCGTTACGGAAAGCGGGACATGCAACGGCGCAGTAACTGTAACGGCGAGGGTCACGGCGAGTGGCTTTCTCGCCACGGTGAGCGTATGGACACTCTGTCCAGTCGTGGCTGCGAGTCCGAGGACACCGTTTGATCTTGTAAGCGTACATGCGGAACTCATCTGAACTGTAGATGACATCGTCGACGGTGGGGAGAGGAGGGTCGAGCTCGTAGGCTCCTGCATTGCCAGGTTTGTTTATGATGTAACCTAAATTAGGAAACTGCTGCTCCCCGATGTCGTAGAATGTCATCGGATTTACACTCTTCAACATTTTTTCTTCTTACAATGATCAAAGTTTTTTTTTTGGGCTAACGCATATTAATTGTAAAAAAGAAAAAAAAAACTATAGAGATTTCATCTTAGGAAAAACATTTAAAATTTAGGAAACTGAAACGAGATTTTATAGATGGAAAAACGAAATGATGAGAAGAATATTTAATGGTTTTACCTCAGTAAAGTTTTTGATATGAAAATATTATACTAAAAGCTTATATTTATTTATTTATTTATTTCTTTTGCTAAAACCTTATATCAAACGTAACAGTTAACTTTTCTGAAATGATATACTGTGGAGTCGGCAACGGAAGAGGGTTAAAGATACGATTTCGATAATCATTCCAGATACGTCTAAAAATCATGTATACTATACACTCATCTACAATAATTAATTTTGTTGATCATTGTTAAGATGATATCGAATATGATTTAAATATTTGGCAATGGTGTTCTGATTTTGGTATTTGTTGAACCGTGAGTGATAAGTAATCAGTATACATGGTAAAGAGTGAAAAACATTAGAAAACATACGAGTGGTTAAAATTGCATGTGAAGGCACACGTGTAAATGATAATCAGATGAACTTATAATAATGAAGAGGAGAGGAGCACCATCTGGCACAGGTGTTGAGAGACATCCTTTATATCCTCGACAGCCGTTTCTGTTTGGCAAACTTGGTAGGTTGAGAAATATTTTGTTAGAGGTTTTTCACAATTTTTATTTCATAGTCGTTTGTAAAGGAAATAACATTTAAGTAGGAGATCAGATGATACCAACTTGTTCCACCAAAAAGTAGCTTAATTTATTTTTTATAGTTAGTAAAGTTTTTTTCATAATTAGTAAAGTCACTTTGATTGTTTTAGACAGTAGATTCTATAAACCGACGTTTTGTTCTAAACAATTAAGACTATGATATGTCAGCTAACCTGTTTTGTTTGAAAGATGTATCATTTGTTTTTTCGAAAAGGTCAATTGCATGCATCGTCGTCAGTTTCTATACTCTTTTAATATTGTCATGAATTTTTACTTTACTTTTGTTTTGTTATTGATTCTAAACCAACATCCAAAGTTCCAAACTAACATAAAAGCATGAAAATCGAATATTCTTCCGACTACTTTGTAATCAACCATCACTAAAACTATAATGTAAAATTATAAAATATAATATCTTACATCAAAAAATTATAAAATATACAGTAAATTGTATAAATTAGTATTTGACAAATCAATAATTACAATGATTGATATAATTATTGAATTAACTATGTTCATTGAAATTATAAAATAAATATGTTCAAAATAACACAACTGATTCATTAATAAATGAACTAGAGATTGATCCACAAGTCCACGCAGATATTAAATTATACATTAATAAAAATTGATATTTTATTTTTATATAACTAGTGTTATATATTTTATATGTGTTATCATATAATTAATTGTATAGTTTTAAGTTCATATATATCAGAACTGAACCTGAATCAAATTGGATAATATGGTTATTTTTTGTACAAATATTTGAATTTGCTCCTAATGCATAGTCTTTGGATATTTTAAATTATGTTACTTGGAAACGGAAACAGGTGCGTGGAAGCAGAAGCGTATAAGAGCGCATAATCGAGAATTTTTAAAAAATTAAGAAATGGGTATGTGTTGGAAGCGTATATCTATATATATATATATATACATATATATAAGATTTCATATTAAAACTGTGAAAATACACATAAATTAAGTTTAAAATACATTATTATATTAATTATTTTAGTACTTCATAAATAATTGATACAATACTTTTGAATATATGCTATATCTTTAATAAAAATCTCAATGCATAAATATAATTTATAGTATTATTTTTAATATTTGTCATATAAATAAAGCTATTATTTTATATTTTCATTGATATATGACAATATGTTTTTTTTTAAAGATCGGAAGCGTGATTCCAAAAAAGAGAATCGTAAGTTTCCAATATGCTTTAAAAAATAATATTTGAGAAACTTTTTGGAAATGAGATTTCGTAAGCTTCCACAAGGTTCTGATTTTGATTCCTGTTCCGAAGCGAAAAGCGGACGTCCGATGAAGCTTCCATGCAACTCGTACATGAACAAGGTATATCCAAATATCTATGCCTAACTAATTCTATAAATTAAAAAACTCTTTATTAATCATTTTGATTTCTTTTCACAAAAGAAACAATTTTATTCAAATATGTCAAATTATTATAGTTAATATGTAAATAAAAGATGTAAAAAATATTATAGTAAGAATAATTAATGAAGTAATTAAAAAGAACGAGAAAATAAATGTAAAAGATATAATAAAACACTTCAAAATAAATAAGTTATGTTTTGTACTTATGTAATAAATGATGTAAGATTATTTATAAAAGACAATAAATGAAGTGATTATCATTAATTAAAAATGAAATAAAATTTTGTAAAAAAATATTTAAAATAGATAAGTATTATTTTTGCACTTAAGTTTTAGTATAATAAATTATTTTAACAGAGAGATACAATTAGATGCTTGTATACACATCTTATTAGATTATTTTAACAGAGATACAATTAGATGCTTGTAAACACATATTATTACTGATTTCATTAAGATCTATATATTTCGATTTCAGTGAGTTTGGGACTAGGGAAGGAAATGCGCTGGTTTCATTAAAAAAATCTAAAATAGTAATTTATGGCATTAAACTTTAACAATACACATATATTATAGAGTCAATTTGCTCAAAATACTAAAAGGTGTTGAATACCTTAAATTTAGGGGAAAATATTGATAATGGGGGGAACAAAAACTGAGGGAAATAGGGTAGAGAGTGCAAATAGAGTATTAGTTGTGTGTAGGGAATGCAAATTCTCTATATTATATGCCTCTGATCTCTATACATGTCCACGTTATCACACGAACGAGGACATGGACTGAGTCATAAAGACCGCGTATCAACCCAAACCAGTCTTTCTTCCTGCATGTTACATACTTGCCCAACGTGTTACAACCTGATCAGTCCTTGATTCTAAGAGTGTCAATGAACCTTTCCCCTTGAGAGATGTCATTCTTGACAAGAAAATCAAGAAAATCGTTGAAGCTGCTCTCTCTATACCGAGCCGGGTTTTCATTGTTAACCAACTGGTACGGTACACTCATCTTGTCGTCCATACCCAAACTATGCAAGCTCGCGAGGAGATTCTCGTCTTCTCTTCATTTAAAGTAACTTTGTGAACGACGCTCTTGTATAATCCATTGCTTAGCACTTCCACATGGTCACCAATGTGAACCTAAAAAATAAAGCAATATAAAAACAAAGTCGTGTTTACTAACAAAAGCAATCAAAAATAAATAGATTCCCTACATTTTGGTTTAGGTCTAAACCGGAATTATTGAACACATTAGCACCGTCAATGTCAGTATTATTAACGTAATATCCTTCGGTTTAGAGTTAAACTGATATAATTGGAATGTATACCTTGAGTGCACCTTTGACTTCTGGGACAAGAACCCAGCGGCCAGAGCTACCGTGAGCCGACAGATCAAAGATCTCGAGACCGATCAAGTTCTGTAGAAGGATGGTGATGCAACTGTAGTCTGAATGTGGCGGCAGGCCTAGCGCCGTCTTAGGGTCCGGACACGGTGGATAACAGTTAACGGCCATGACTTGCATGCCGTTTTTGTCCATCCGAGACGATAGGTAGTCTCTGCCTAGTCCTAGGCTCTCCGTTATTGCTCTCATTATCTCGAGAGATAGACTCCTCACTTCTTCGCAAAACTTCCCCATTTTTTCCCTAAAATTTTCACATGAACACCCTATGCTCGTCAGTCGTCACGATAACAATCAACAAAAAAAAACATATACGACCTATTTGATAGATATGGTCGGTCTGAGAAATAAGAAAATGTATTTTCTTGGTAATAAATTTTATACGTTTATTATACAGTTTCTCAATCTATAATCTATAAACCGAGCAGAAAAAATATAGCAAAATAGTTCCAGAAACTACAGGAAAATATGAAATTATGACGAATATTTCTACAAATATGTTGGAAATTATGAAAATGATGTAGTATATAATAAAACCTGTATTCGGGTGGGTTTTGAGGCCAGAGGTGAATCCAACGATGAAGAGGATGTGCATAGTGCTTCAGAAATATCCTCCAGAACTGAATCTTGTCCAAACCGTCCTTGAGACTCGTAGTGTACCGAATCGGTGCATACACATCGTTAGACATAAACTTCTTTTTCTCCTTCGCCGGCAGCTCGAAGAAGCCGTGCGCAACCGTCAATGCATCGTCTAGTATGTTCTGGTTGATTCCATGGTTCACTATCTAAGTAATTTAAGTGAACCACAAGATAAAAAAAGAAAGATAAATCAGTTGGGATGAGAGGAGAACCGGGAAATCTTGATAACATTTCGATATCAACGTCACTTGCCACGTGTTAAAACGAAAATGACTAAAAGAGCTGATATTTATTTTTGCTATGACTAAGAAACCTAATATTTTGACCGACTGAGTGCTGATAACATAACTTTGTTTTAGATATAAACATATATGACACAAGCTAGTTTATGACAGAAATATTTTTGGGCCAAAAACTCATATTCTACGAATTTATATATATGAAATATAGCGTACTTGAAAAAAACCGAAAAGCTGACATGCCGAACGTAGCTCTTGAATAACCACTCGACGCTCATCATTGCTGCCTTTCAAGCGAGAAATATCGATCGTTGGTATGGTTTCAGAGTTTGAGTCAAGTGCATCACGTGGCTCGTAGGAAGGTGGGACAGCGTAACAATTGGGCACGTACGGTAAACTCCTCTCCTGTGCAGAATTACCCATTTTGAATGTACTTGAACTCTCACCTTTCTCAGTCTCCATTGTTGAGTTGAATTCAATGTTGAGAAATGGTTTGATAATATGATATGAAAAACTATAATGGAAGTTCGAGTGACTCCTCTATTTATATGGTTTTGTAGCCGTTTGATGAGTAATGGTATTCGGAGTTTTACTAAATATATGACGGTCGAATTCAAAATTAGTATTGTTCGCTCTTTTGGATGATCTAGAGCATGTGTAACTGTCAAATGTGTATATATGTGTACCAATAGAATATCATTATGAATATTCATATGTTGTAAGACATATATAAGTGACCAAATACATATATGACGTGGGGCATTAATACCATGTTGGATACATTATAAACCCATAGGGTTTATTTAATGGATATTTCAATCCCATTAACTGAACCATATACAAAAGAACAAAGAAATACTTTCCGCAAAAAAACATCGTCTTGTCCGGATTTTAAGCCTTATAAATACGTTGAATACTATAATAAATTTAGCATGTCGACATGAAGTTGTATGCAGGGGCGAAGTTAGAAATGTAGTCTATGGGTGCCTTATTAATAAGAAAAAAATATAAGAGGGAAGGAACGTGAGAAACTGTGGGTGCAAAACATGGTTTTACCATGTTTGAAATAGTTATGGCCTAGCGTGAGGTCTAGGTAAAATGTATTGCGCCGGTTCCTTCATGCAATGGGAAACTTTCCTTAAATTAGAAATTATACTTTAGGACAAAACATTTGTTTTCTAGTGGTTGTTGTAAAAACCTCGAGGTATTCTAATTTTCATACTAAAAATCAATAGTTTTTTTTTCCTTTTATACATTTAAAAAGGAGTTACATTGGCGATTCTCTGGAAGCATGTTAGGTGTGTTTGGTTAAGAGAAACAGTCCCGATTAGTCGAGAAGTTCAACACCCCCCTTCAATAGCAACTCCAAGCGAGTATTTTCAAAAGATGAGACATTGTGCATAATAATCAATAAACATACAAATATTATCATTAATTAATCTGTGGTAATAATCTAATTTTACTCTTTTTGGTTTAAGGTCACTAGTTGATTTTTTCGTTATCTATTGTATTATACTTAGCATAGCTGTAATATTCTAATTTTACTCTTTTTGGTTTAAGGCCACTAGTTGATTTTTTGCGTTATCTATTGTATTATATTTAGCGTAGCTGTGTTTTTAGCATGTTCAATTTGAACTACTTGTCCAATGCCATCATAAAGATTTAGCCATTTAGGGTTATGGACTTTTTACCTAACAACACAAACATCATATGAATTATGAAACACGAAAACATCGTTAAGAAAATAAAATGAAAATGCCAGATAACAAAAAGCAGATCATCTATGTTATGGTGGTTGTGATATTAGGTTATCCACCTATGAGCAGCCTTAAATAACTTATAATACTTATACACAAATATAGTCACAGTCATACATATATGCATAATGCATCTATAAAAGAATTCAACACACGAAAACAAAATTCAACTTATTGAAAAACATATAGTTGCGTGAGTTATGGAGAAGACGTCGACGATGCTATTTCTTTTCTATCTCTGCATCATCTTTGGGATTTCAGTGATAAGAAGATGCAATGCAACAACATACTTTGTGGGAGACACCTCTGGTTGGGACATAAGCTCCGATCTTGAATCTTGGACTTTAGGCAAGCGATTCTCTGTTGGTGATATTCTAAGTAAGTATCAAATACACCGACATACATTCTAATACTTGCATCCATTCGACCATCTCAAAACACGTACTCATTGGTCAATCATCTCACATTATTAGGAATCGAAAAATAATTTATACTTTTAATTTGTCTTTTTTTCCATAGTTTTATGGTTGCTACGTAATTGATTTAAACTTGTTTAAATGCATTAAATTTAATTATAACTGATTTAATCTATGTATGTGTAATTAGTGTTCCAATACTCATCGACGCATAGTGTGTACGAAGTGGCAAAAGACAACTTCCAAAGCTGCAACACTACAGAACCGATCCGTACGTTCACAAATGGGAACACGACCGTAGCTCTGTCCAAACCGGGAGACAGGTTCTTTGTCTGCGGTAACAGGCTCCATTGCTTCGCTGGTATGAGACTACAAGTCAATGTTGAAGGCAATGGCCCATCTCCTGCCCCTGTGGGAGCTCCCGGAGCTGCTCCTTCAGGGATTCTTCAACCGTCTTCTAAGAAGAATAACCCTGCGACCGGAGTTGCTAGCTCGGCTGCCCGCTTTGGTGGCTGCGGTCAGATGATTAGTATATGGGTTTTCGTATATCTGATGGTTTTTACTTTTCCATTGATATGGACTTACATATTGAGTAACAACTAAAATGAGAGTTCTTATATATACTACATGCACACATGTTTCCTCTGTTTAAATTCGTACGAGAGTGTTGAGTATTCGGTTCGTTTGGTTCGAAGAAGACCAAATAAAAACCGAAATGTTTTGGTTGGATTCTTTGAAACATTTGGTTTGATTTAGTGTACCTTTGGATAGAAAATATTAAAAATATTAAGAGTACACCAAAATTATAATTTTTTTATATTAATTTATAGAGATTATTAATTTATCGATATACTAACTGAATCAAAAATTTAATTTGAAACTAAAAATTATATTATTTTATATAATTTTTGTGTATATTAATTAATAGAATATGAATTTAAAAAAGTTATACTGTGATTAGATTACATATATACACTTTACATATCAATTTATTCTCATTTTAAAATACCTTTTTATGTTTGGATGAATATAAAAAAAATACTAGTTGGATTATACACTTATACACATCTATACTATTAAAGCTGAAGTACAAAAATAAAGTGTTTGGAAACATGAATAAGAAAATTTTAAAATTTTGATTGGAAACATGGATATCATACAAATTTAATGGGTTTATTTATTATACTAAAGATTACTGCGGCCCAAGGTACCATTATTTTTTTTTTTGGATTTTCTATCTTTAATATTACTTTACTTCTAAAAATTATTTATACATATATGTATTTATGTTTTAAATGTATTTAGAATCAATCAAGAATAATATATATTTTATTTATATAATTTATATTGACTATTCTTATAAGTTTTTTTAACAATGATATACTAGCCTTCCAATTCTTCATTAAAAAATTAAATTAAAAATTTGACTAAATTATTTAGTGTATATAACTTTACACCAAATTTAGTCAAAAAACTTTTTAAAATATTACTAAAATGTTTACGGGTCACTATATTTTAAGACGTCCCTATTACACAATACAATAATGAAATACAATATTTAAATAATATAATATTACTTAGTAAAATTGACACCATTAAATTGTAATTTTGAAATGTTATATATACTATAAAAACAAAGACCCGCCCAGTCGGGCGGGTTATGATCTAGTTAATTTTATTCTCAATTAATCAATGCACAAACACAAAATTGGTCTGATTTCGATTTAAATGTCTGGTTCAACTTTATTTGATCCGGTTTAGCGAATAAACAAACATACACTCTCCGTTTCTAATCGCAACCGCCACTAAAACGCAAACGCGCCTTATTACAAGACCCGTGTTCCGTTTCGTTGCCTCTCTGTCTTCATTCTTCCTCGTGTCCTCTCTTCCTCCTCTCTCTCTCTCTCTCTCTACCAAAAATTCTCCATGAACATACTCAACAGGCTCGGTCTAGGATCAGGTGGGCCAACAACAACTACGGATCCATCTCCGATCGCTCAAGGAAACGACGACGACTCTCCCACGCCGGGAAATCACTTTGCCCAATTCGCCGCCGGATGCTTCTGGGGCGTGGAGCTAGCGTTTCAGAGGCTCCCTGGGGTGACTCATACAGAGGTTGGATACACGCAAGGGATCACTCATAATCCTTCGTACGAGGATGTCTGTTCTGAAACCACGGGACATGTTGAGGCTGTTAGGGTTCAGTATGATCCTAAAGACTGCACCTTTGAGTCTCTCCTTGATTTGTTTTGGTCTAGGCATGATCCCACTACCTTGAATCGTCAGGTAACGTTATTAGATTTTGGTGGGTTTTCTCTTAATTGGGTTAAAGATTTAAACTTTGACTTTTTGGAGATTGGTTTAAGTTGTAAAGGTTCAGACTTTAGTTTCTTATGTTCTGAAATTGAGAAGGATTGTTCTTATTAGGAGATTGTTTGATTTTTTTTCTCAAATCTGATGGCTTCAAGTACTATTAATATAGCCATGTAGTGAACCTTACTCTGTTTTAAATAAGCTTCTTTGGTTTTAAGTACTCTGTTTTTAGATAGCTTAAGTTTTTAAGCTACAGTCAATTACTTTGGCTTATGAGTTGAATTGTGATCAGGGAAATGATGTGGGAACGAGATACCGATCTGGGATATACTACTACACACCAGAGCAGGAGAAGCTAGCCCGGGAGTCACTTGAAGGTCACCAGCAAAAGATGGAGAGGAAGATCATGACTGAGATCTTGCCTGCTAAGAAATTCTACAGAGCTGAGGAGCATCAGCAGCAGTATCTGTCCAAAGGTGGAAGGTTTGGCATGGGGCAGTCTTGTGCCAAAGGCTGCACTGACCCAATCCGCTGCTACGGCTAAAACGTGAACTACTCTGCTTCTGTCCCAAAACAGAGGATGCTAGGGACTTTTATGTAAAAGCTATGTACTGTTTATACAATTATTTGTAAGAGAATATGGACAAGAGAATAAGTACAATGGAGATGGATAGCTGGTGGGCAAGTGGTAGGCCACTTGGTTTATTATTGTCCATTAGTAACTATGTTACAAAGAATACGATTCACCAGATTATCCCCTTGTTGAAAGTGTTTTTCTTGTGTGTTAATGATTGATTAAGCTACTTAGCGTTCACGTAAGTGCTCTGCTTCCTTTATATATAAATGATCATAGATGCTTCACCATCAACAACTATACAAAAGCGTCACCAAACTGATACTTCTCGTATCCATCTAGCAAAAATGAATTCTTCTCGGACAACAGCGCAAGAAGAGCCTCTGCTAGTAGTTGATGCTTCTCCGACATCTGAAGAAGAGCCTTAGCTACTAGAAAAACCAGCAACAAATCCTTCTCCAACAGCTCAAGAAGAGCCTCAACTACTAGATAAACCTGCGATTGTTCCTTCTCCGTTAGCTCAGGAGCCTGACAACGATGTACCGGTGGCACCGGGAAACAAGTTTGCTGAGTTTGCAGCCGGATGTTTCTGGGGGGTGGAGCTTGCTTTCCAGAGGATCCCTGGCGTGACAGAGACTGAGGTTGGATACACTCAGGGGATCTCTCACAATCCTTCTTACAAGGATGTCCGCACCAACACAACTAACCACGCAGAGGTTGTAAGGGTTCAGTATGATCCCAATGAGTGCACATATGAGACGCTTCTTGATTTGTTCTGGTCTAGGCATGATCCCACCACCTTGAATCGTCAGGTAATTAAACTTTTTCTTGTTTTTGCTATTCTGAATGTTTTTGCTTGTACGGTGATACAACTTTGTGTCTTTTTTGTCGTAGGGAGAACTTGTGGGAGCTCAATATCGGTCTGGTATATACTTCTACACACCGGAGCAGGAGAAGCTAGCACGTGAATCTCTAGAGAACCAGCAGAAGAAACTGGAGAAGAAGATTGTGACTGAGATCTTACCTGCAAAGAGATTTTACAAAGCTGAAGAATACCATCAGCAATACCTCGCCAAAGGTGGGAAGCATGGTAATGCACAGTCCCCTGCAAAGAGCTGCAAAGACCCTATCCGCTGCTATGGCTGAAGAAAACTCCCAGAGGATCTGTATCTGTTTGTGTGTTGATTTGTATGTCTCAGTTCATAATAAATATGCATGTGTGATCATTTCACTTGTGTAACTTGTCTTAGTTTATTGTTTGGTGGAGTTATTAGATATGGTAGTGCCTTAAGATCCTTTCTTATTGTCTTGTTTCATCAGTGGCTTTTAGTGTTAGATGTGAGTTTAGCTTATCATGACTGAGAGATCTTGCTTGCTAAGAAATTCTAAAGAGCTGTGGAGCATCAGCAGCAGTATCTGTCCAGGGGTTGTTGAAGGTTCGCCTAGGACAAAAGCTATGTAACGCATGAATACCGTTTATACGATTGTTTGTTTGATGTTTCTCAAATTATTGGATGAAAAGAGAATCTTATGGACAAAAGCAAAATTCCAACGGATGTAGACAATGGGCTAGTGCCGTTGGACACTTGATTTCTTATTGTCCATTTATGCATGGTTTGTATACATCTTGTAAGACCAGTATTTTTTGTTTGTTCTCTAATATAAAGAAATGTTTATAACTGAGATGAAAATTTACTCCAATTTGTTTTTGAATATATAATTTTTCTAAAAATATAACTTCTCGAAATATAGAGTAAAAATAGGAAGTTTCTATTAAACAAAGAAGAAAATAGCTATTTTTTATTTTAGAAAAATAAATATAGATAAGCTGGAGTAGTTTTGGCTTTAAATGTCACTCTAGAAGAAAATATTACAAAAGATTGAGATGCTCTAAAAACAAAATTAACCTTGTATAGAATCATGGTTGTATACATCTTGTAAGAACAAAATTAACCTTGTAAAGAATCAGGGCTGTATACATCTTGTAGGAAAAACAAAATTCACCAAACTATTCCCGTGTTGAATGTATTTATCTGGTGTGACAACGCATGATTACGCTATTTACCATTTTGGTAGGTGCCTCATCTCTTTCTGCTTCCTTTATATATAAACCCATCTTAGATGCTTCACCATCACCACACACTTTTAACACTTTAAAACACATCACCAAACTAGTCTTTCTTATATACATTTAAATCAAAATGGGTTCTTGTTCTACAGCTCAAGAAGAGCCTCAACTAGTAGATACACCGGCCATTCTTCCTTCTCCGTTAGCTCAGGAGCCTGACAACGATGTCCCTGCGCCGGGAAGCCAGTTTTCTGAGTTCGCCGCCGGTTGTTTCTGGGGGGTGGAGCTTGCTTTCCAGAGGATCCCTGGCGTGACAGAGACTGAGGTTGGGTACACTCAAGGGATCTCTCACAATCCTTCGTACAAGGATGTCTGCACCAACACAACGAACCATGCAGAGGTCGTAAGGGTTCAGTATGATCCTAATGAGTGCACCTATGAGACGCTTCTTGATTTGTTCTGGTCTAGGCATGATCCCACTACCTTGAATCGTCAGGTACCAATTTTTTCTTTTTCTGAATGTGTTGGCTTTGTACGGTAATGGAACTTTGTGTTCTTGTCCATGACAATCTTTAGTTCCTTAAAAATGTTGTAGGGAAAACTTGTGGGAGCTCAATACCGGTCAGGTATATACTTCTACACAACCGAGCAGGAGAAACTAGCACGTGAGTCTCTAGAGAACCAGCAGAAGAAACTGGAGAATAAGATTGTGACTGAGATCTTACCTGCAAAGAAATTCTACAAAGCTGAAGAATACCATCAGCATTACCTCTCCAAAGGTGGGAAGAGTGGCCATGCACAGTCTCCTGCAAAGAGCTGCAAAGACCCTATCAGCTGCTTTGGCTAAGGGAAAACTTTTGTGCAATTGTGCCTCTTTCCTCAAAACAGAGGATTCTTAGAGAACATGTATCTGTTTGTTTGTTTGTTTGTTTGTGTGTGTGTGTATATGTTGATTTGTAATCCTCAGTTCATAATAAAGATGCATGTGGGGTCATCTCACCTTGTAACTTGTTTTAGTTTCTAAACTTTGAACTGATGTATGTTTGAATAATTAGTAAGTACGTACCATCATTCGAATCTAAACTTCTTATCTTCTTATGTGTGTGTTACCATTCTCTGGTTTTTCTTGAAAGGAGATTCTTTGAGTTTTACACATTATGAAGGATGTATGGCCTCGAAACCTTGAAGCTGTGCATGGATCTGTATACCTAAGCACTATGGAAAGATTGTTGCAACATCAATACATCATACGAAGCACTTTTGCCACTCATGATGTGTTATCACCAACATGTTCACTTTTTTAAAAAAAATTTAAGATATTACTGAGGAAATTTTCGGAAGACACATAGACCCATTAGCTGGACTCTGTTCTATCAGCTGCATGTAACGCTTTTTGAGATACTTGTTGCAAGAAGAAAAGACTGCAAGAGGATTAAAGAACACGTGATATTCATGCATACTACTGGAAATTGTAACTTAACTAAAATTGAAGTTCAAACTCTCTGATGCCGCAAATACTAAATTTGAGTTTGAACTTCAATTTTAGTTAAGTTACAATTTCCAGTAGTATGCATGAATACTAAAAAATGTATAGATTTATTTTATTTTATGTACAAATTTATATTTTATTTTTTATTTATGTGGTAAAAAATTTAAATAAAGATTTGATATAACATACATGTATACAATTAAATCTCTTAACAACAAAATAAAATTTAAATTAATATAATCTATGTAGGAAAAAACTTGTCGGTACGGTATAATGGTATATTAATACCTAATTACAAATTTTGATTCCATTAAATTGTCTAAATGATCTAACACTTATAAAATAAGAAAAATATACAATACAAAAACATGAAAATAATTTATGGTATTGATAATATACTAAAATAATACAAATGAAACCATTATATTATAAGAAACCATTAAGTTTTTGTTGTTTAAAATATTTATCTAACTATAAAAAAATATCCTCACGAATGCGTAGATCAAAATCTAATGCCTTATTAAACACGTCATTACCGTTAATGTTTCCTCATTTTGTTCTTGCTTTAAAATTGATAAATTTTCTAATTTAAATATATTGTCAACCAAATTACTCAAAAGTCAATATAAGATTTTCTTTCTTTTTCTTTCTTGACAGCTGTTACAAGAATTTATATTTTCATCATCATCAAGATTGCTGCATTTTTCTTATCGAAACAGAAGAAACACGTATACGAAAATCACTAACGTGTAACGCGGATTCACCAAATATTGACAAATGATCATTTGCTAAATTAACAGAAATTTAAAATTGATGGAAAAAACAAATGAGAAACAAACCACCGTTCCAGTTTCCATTATGCGATTTATGTATCACACTCAGAATATATGACGTGATACATCATCAGAAAATTTGAATATTAATCAGAAAAATAATCAAGGCAGCATCAGCATCAGCATCGGATCCATATTATAAGATACTCAATTAATTTGTTGAAAAAAGAAAGGAAATGATAAAACACAAAAGATACAGTGAATGTTAACAACGTGTTGCTCATTATCTCTTTAACGTGTTTAGCACCTTGGTCCAAGCTCGACACTTAGCCACTACATGACTTTGCTCTATTGGCGCCAAATATAACAGCATTTCATGGATATTTGGGTAAAAGCTTCTTGAATGCACAACTGTTTGACAACTAAATACATCAACCTGAACCATATAAGTCTAGTGATATAATATTACTATCTCGTATGTATGGTAACTTTTGGTTTAAATATAAACCGCATTGGTAGAGTTTACAAGAAAAGGGAAAGTCAGAACAAAACTAAGGGATCATTAGTTTGATGGTTTACCAAATTTATCCTAATGAAAACCAAATCTCTCAAGTTAGCATTATCTTATGTACTATACATTAAAAGTGTGATGATTTTAGTCAGTTGACAAACAAAAATATATATAGTGCTTATAACCTATGGTCAATAACTTGAGATAAATGAATTCCTTATGATCTTATTGTAGTTCTCACCAACTCACCGACGAGACTCGAAACCAAACCTAACAGGCCTTTACTTTCAATCTTCTATTTCACTTTTATGCAAAAATATATTCCTTCTTTATAAACTTAAACTAGATATTTTTTGGTAAAAAAAATTAAACTTAAACTAAATATATATTAATTTAAATAAATTGTGTCTCCAATATGCCAGCCAAGTGGTCCAAATTTAGTGGTTGGCACTAAGATTAAATTGCAAATTAACAATAAAATCATTGGTCAAAAGAAATAATTTCGGTTTGTTTTGTAGTGAGTGAGAACCCAATCAGCATGACTAATGTATGACATATCTTAGTGTTTACATATACACGTTGTAATTTAATTTATTCTATATAAAACCCAAACCGACAGGCAAAAGAGTATACCCAACAACAAAAATCCATGTAAATGTACATATCTCTCTCCAATGGATGTTCAAATTGAGAAGGTGATTCAAGAACACGAACCAATGGCTGAGACCATGCCAAATGTTATAACGGCGATGTCATCTCTCCTACAAAGGGTTTCAGAGACGAACGACGACATGAGCAGTCCGTTATGGGAGCACCAGAGGATCTCCTCTTTCAGTGCATTGACCAGACCTTCTATATCGATTAGAAGCTATATGGAGAGGATCTTCAAGTACGCAAATTGTAGCAACTCGTGTTACATAGTCGCGTATGTATATTTGGATCGGTTCATACAAAAGCAACCCTTTGTGCCTGTTGATTCCTATAATGTCCATAGGCTCATTATTACAAGCGTCTTGGTCTCTGCCAAATTCATGGATGACATGTAAGTTTTCTCAATATATAATTTTTTTGTATGGTCTATGGTAATCTATTTTCTAAAGCATTATTTGAATTTGATAAACTGTAGGTGCTACAATAACGCATATTATGCAAAAATTGGAGGAATAACGACAGAGGAGATGAACTTGTTAGAGCTGGATTTTTTATTTGGAATTGGATTCCAGCTAAATGTGACGTTGTCTACTTACAACAAGTATTGTTCTTCACTACAAAGAGAGATGGTTATAAGGACTATGTACTCTCCTCTTTTAGAGTCTTCTTTCTTGACTTTCAAGAATCTTCAAACGAGTTTGTATGAGGAAGATTCATTATCTAATCATCAGAATAAGCAACTCACAACAGCTGTCTGATACATTAGATTATATGTAAGCTTGTTTTGAAGAAAATGTTACAACATTTTTGAAAACTTCAAACTTTGTTTTTTTCAAAAATTTCATGGAAATACAATGAGAAGTGGTAACTTTTTGAAATAATGTACTAACATGGGAACACCTATATTTACTGAGTTTTTTCACATCTCAGAAATATGAAGTTTGTATTTTGTAATTAATGTTTCAAGAACAAGATAAATTTGTTCAAAAGTATACAGTACATATACAAAGTGGATGTATTTTTGCAATTTTAAATGTTTAGTTTACAGTTTTATATATTGTGCACGGGGAAAGTTAAAATCAATAATATCTTTTATTCAATTTGTAAAATTCAATTCATTTATTTTCTTTTCCATATCGGAACCTCAATGCTTTTCAGCAACAAAGAAACAAAAAAAAAAACAGAGAACTGAAACAGAGTATACAAAGGGAAATCCAAATAACTTAAGCTTCCCAACCACGCAACTGGGTGGCTCGAGCGACACGGTTAACTCCAAGAGTGAAAGCTCCCATACGGAGGTTGCAAGAATGAGTATGGCACATTGACTTGATGTTGTGAAAGGCTCGAGTCATGTACTTTTGAAGCTCCAAGTTCACTTTCTCCTCTTCCCACATGAACCCTTGAATGTTCTGCACCCACTCAAAGTAACTCACTGTCACTCCTCCTGCGTTTGCGTATATATCTGGTAGTATAATCACTCCTTTCTTCGATAAAATCTGCCAATATTCAAAACACATCAGGATTAGATATCATAAGAGGTTGTAGAGATGGATTGTTATCAATGCTGCTGCTGCATTACCTCATCAGCATCTGGATCAGTTGGATGGTTTGCTGCCTCTATTATGAACTTTGCCTTAACATCTCCAGCATTTTCCCTAACCAAAAAAAACAAGAAAATCAGAAAAGTTGTATCTCTATGGATTTGATAATAGAGAGAGTTTTTGTTCCTACTTGTTAAGGACACCACCAAGAGCACAAGGAATGAGAACATCACACTCATGAAGCAACAGTTCATCCGAGTCCATAACATCTCCACCACTGAAATCCTTGAGACTTCCAGTTGCGTCTTTATGTCTCAAAAGAGCGTTGATGTCAATACCTTCAGGGTTTCTTACAGCACCTGTAATGTCACTAACCGCAACCACTTTCCCACCTTTCTCATGGATCAACTTGGCTGCCCATGTTCCAACATTCCCAAAACCCTATTCACACACACCAAAACCAAATCTCTCAACTCATACTCTGATACTACACATCATTAAGCTTCTAGATTAGCCTTTTTACCTGAACAACAAATGTCAATCCCTGAATGGATTTTCCATACTCAGCAAGAAGAGCTTCAGTAGCATAAACCACACCACGTCCTGTAGCAGCTTCCCTACCAAGAGAACCACCAAGATCCTACACCAAAACAGTCATAAGCTAAAAACTTTTGGCAAACACAAATCATAATCATTTTAAGAGCCTTCTTACAATAGGCTTTCCAGTGACAACAGCAGGGGAATGACCATGAAACTTGGAGTACTCATCAAGAATCCAAGCCATGGTCTGAGCATTAGTACCCATATCAGGAGCAGGTACATCGGTATGAATACCGATAAGATCATGAATCTTCTGTGTAAAGACACGTGTAAGACGCTCAAGCTCACTCAAACTCAAGTCACGAGGGTTGCATCCGATCCCACCTTTAGCTCCACCGTACGGAATGTCAGCAACAGCTGTCTTCCACGTCATCAACTGAGCTAATGCGTTCACTTCATCGGGATCAACCTTTCAACAAAAAAACCCCAAATTAAAAAAAAAATCAAAACTTTAGAAATTCACAAACTCTAGATTCCAAAAAACCCCAAATTAAAAATCAAAAACTTTAGAAATTCCCAAACCTTAGATTTAAAAAACCCAAAATTAAAAATCAAAACTTTAGAAATTCCCAAACCTTAGATTCAAAAAACCCCAAATTAAAAATCAAAAACTTTAGAAATTCCCAAACCTTTAGATTCTAAAAACCCCAAATTAAAACTCAAAACTTTAGAAATTCCCAAACCTCAAATTAAAAATCAAAACTTTAAGAAATACCCAATCCCTATATTCAAAAATCCCCAAATTAAAAATCAAAACTTTAAGAAATACCCTATCCCTAGATTCAAAAAAGTGTGTTTGCACTTCATACACACATAAAACCTCATAATTAACTACATTACCCTAAATCCTACACCATAGTCACTTTGTTCATTGGCACCCAACTTGCCCCATCAAAAATAATTTGCTAATTTCCTCAATTGGGGTTTTAAGCCAATCCACTCAAATCAAAACTTTAAAAATTCACAAACCCTAGATTCAAATTAAAAATCAAAACTTTAGTTAAAAAAAAAAGAGATCTTTTTGTTTTTGAAACCTCGGGATGGTATCTGATTCCTCCTTTCATGGGTCCACGAGCATTGTCGTGTTGAACCCTAAATCCGATGAAGGAGACGAGAGTGCCATCGTCCTTGGGGATCGTGCACTCCACTTTGATCTCTCTGAAAGGGATCATGAGACTCCTCTCGATCTTCGAATCCAGGCCGAGGATTCGTGACGCGTGGCGGAAGTTTCTGTTCGTTGCGGCTAAAGCATTCATGGCTTACGTTAATGGAGAAGAAAACGTAACTATCAAAACAAAGTGATCGGAGAGAAGGAAGGAAGAAAGATCCAATTAAAAGGAATCACTTTGATTTGATAGTTGGAAAGGAGATGAGAGGAGGAAGGAGAAAGGAAGTGTATTTGTAGGGGAAGAGAGATGATTTGAATCTGAGGCCATTGGATATTTTTGACTTGTCATTGATACGTCAGACAGGAGAGGACGAGGAACCAGAAGTGAAACTCTCTTATCCTCGATAATGACGCTTTTGTCCTTACTTTATCTTATTTTTGGCATTCTTTTTCTCTTTATTATTAAAGAGCTTTTTTGTCTATTTTTCTTTTTGTCCTTTTTTAAGTCAAACATATCTCCAAGATCTCAGTCAAAATTTCCCAATTAAAAATGTATTTGAAAGGAACTAAATAAAGAAAATGACAAAAATAAATATACTTTTCAAAGAAATAGATAGATCTATGTTTATATAAACAAACAAAAAATTGTATTCTAAAAAGCGTTTTAGATGGTTGCTTTGATGGAGCCTAGGCATTAAACTTTCTTAAACTATAACGATTATTGTAAGAGAAATTATTATTCAAGTATTGTTTATGAAATAATAATTATTATTTTTTCTGATTATTCGGGAAATATATGAAAGATTCAGATTAATTTTCATGGAAAAATGTAGTCCATGAATATATCATTTCTTCAGATATGTAAATAGATTTTAAAACATAGACACATATTCGTATATGTATCAGAAACAATATAATTTAGTTTCACATAATAGATGTATTGAACCTAAAACGTGTTAGTGATCAGTCCATTTTTCTTATCACTCGATCATATTGTTTTGGACCTTACAAAACAGTTATTGATATTTCATTACTAGAAATTGATTACCAAGTTGTGGATAGACATCTTATCTAAGATTTCACACTAAACAAAAGAAACAGTTTGGTACGACGGACTCCCACTCTTCGTTCTTCATTTTCACATGTTACCATCATCTAGGTGATACATATGAATGCGACTCATGTCCGTCATATTTATACATATTAGAAATCATAAATTTTAATTTATTTGTAGTAATCATGATTCATGATAAAACAATAAGAACGTCCTCAAAAATCGCCGATGAAGCATAATCAAACGGTACTATAGTCACAAATCTATGTTCATTGCTCACAATATTTAACCCGTTAAATCATGTTTATAACACACTCAAATCAATATCGCATTTGAATCACCTTACCATTCATATATGTCGTATAGATAGGTTATGGTCTGACGAACCCTATTTAAAAAACTAGCTAGTTCAATAATCAATCAATATTAGGCCTAATCAATGTGTTAACAACTTGTACCTCGCTCTCAGATATGAACTTTTAGGGATTGTATTAAAATGCAACCAAAATTACACAAGTCTCTACTCTTCCTTTACATACAGAAAGAGAGGACTTTTCGATATAAATTTGAGAAGAAAGAATGCAAGACAAACATTTATACACATGTTTTTCAGTAAAAAGTATAGAATAATAGTGTTATGAGATGGGTGTGGTTTAGTAAGCCGGAGGAGGGAGGAGCCACAAGGAGCCTTTGATGTAGCCGAGGGTAAGGAAACTGTTGGCTTCGTTTTTGTCAATGTCTTGTGTGTGGGCTACTCTCTTCTCTTTGTGGGATCCTGGCCCCGTGCACATGTATTCTCCATAGAACACCGTCCTATCATTCATAAATATCAAAAAGTGTTATCTTGCCCCATCACAAAATCACACCTGAACTTTAAAACATTTGAAATTCCTAACACTGCACAATAAAGATAATCCTATATATAATATAAAATATGGACTTACTTGTCATTCTCGCGGTTCCTGTTCTCTTGCCATCCGGTTGGGTTGACGACACTGGACATCTCAGTGTATGCATAAACAACCTTAGGGTGGCTCATCCATGCCCTACCCAAATAGATACCCGTTCCAACTCCAGTAATCTTGCAATGCACGAATGAATAACCATTCTGCTGGTTCTCACTCTGTCGATTGTGTGCTGTGATCACTCTTAATCCATCTCCAACAGCGTGCAATTGTGTGTTCTATAAATATTAAGAAAAAAAACTGTCAGTGTAAATGTTATCATGGTATATATGAGTTAATTAAATAAGATCAAACTAATAATTAAAGGTGTGCTTGTACCAAGTACAAGGAAGCTCCTCTTCCGAAGATAAAATCATACGTTCCCTCGATGTAACAGTCCTTGAAGAAATGGTTGCCAATATCATCACAAAGAGTGTCTTGAAAACCATAGAATCTGCAATTGTAGAAAGCAGCTTTATCGCCGTTGATCCTCATAGCTAGCGCTTGTCCTTGTGCTCCTGGCTTCGGCATTGGAGCAGTATTCTATATATACAAAAAAAAAAAAACAAACTCATATATACATAAGCATTAATTAATACTAATAGATATATAACATAATGTACTAATGAACCTAAATATTCGTACTTTAATGTGTAGGTTGGCTGCCATAAAATATTGGGCCCAGATGATAAGCGTCGCACTCTCCATGGTTCCGAATTTAGAGGCCGTCCCGTCGAAGGTCAAGTTCGTTTCTGCACCAGGTTTACCCATCAACGTAACGAATGGTCGACCTACGTCGATTGTGACTTTCTCATGGTATACACCAGGAGCCAACTTGATGATCACACGCTTTGTGTTCCCTGTCGGAATACTCTTGATCGCATCATTTATTGTCTTAAAATCGCCGCCTCCTTGTTGATTCACCTGCATTGAATGATAATCATATTTTGGTCAGGTTTCTATATTCTCGAAGACAAATGTAATGAAAAAACTATAAACACTAGTCGTATTCATCAAGAGATTAATTAAGTCTTACGGTGATGATTTGTGGCGATGCTTCAGCTGCATCCAGGGCGGGATCGAGTGTGCCTCGTCTTGCTGAATAAGGTTGAACGTTGGCCTTGAACCATGCCTCGACTTGGGCTTTGTCTTCTGGAATCGGAGTTACATCGTCGGCTACAACCGCCGGTAAGGCAAAAATAACAAGAAATGCAATCAGGGCAAGATAAATGTAACCCATCTTTTATTTTTATTTTTTTATTTTTAAGATAAAAGAAAGAACAAAAGAAAATAATATAATATATATAAGAAAAGTGTTATTACTAGTTTTATTAAACTAGTTTATAAATATGGAAGAGGTGAAGAAGCCATGGAATGACTTTAATATGCGTTTGGGATCATCGATGACCGGTAAATTCTCTCTTTTTTACTATTCTCGTTTGTGGTTTGTCCTCATTTAGTATTTTTTTCGTTTGATTTTCATAAATAGTAATTCCTCACGCATTTGGTGTGCGATTCATGTGGAAATCAAGTAGCCTTTTTGTTGAATAAACAATATATATACTTAATTTTCGTGAAAAAATTAACGTCTAATTGTTCGGTTATAGTAATCAAGATTTAGAGATCAGAGCTAAGAAAACAATCATGCTATATAATTAGTAAAATATTTCATATAAACGAATAATTAATGTATAATTGCTGAAACTGCATAGTTTAAGAAACCTCTAGCCTTTACGCTCATGAAATGTTTTTTAGCTTGCTAGCTATTTGACAATATGTATCATTAAATGATAAGGATGTTGATGTATTTGAATTCCTCAGAACATATCAGTAGATTTTACCAGTTTAGATTTTTTTGGACGCCTTAAAACGGATAAAGTAATTTATCTGGTATATTTTTATGTGGCAATTTTTTTGTGAAGTTGTATTTTAGGTGGTAATTTTCTGAATCGCTGGAAGTTAGCATGCGGGGTTACTTCTCGGCTGAGGCATATCTTACTTCATGCGTTCATGGATTAGTGTTTCCTACAACCGGTCTAGATCTAGATCTAGGGTTAGGTTATTGGTTTAGCTTCCAATTTAAATTTTGGGTTGGTTTAGTGCATCTCCGATTTGTGTAAGGGTTTTATCTGATTTATCATTTGGATGTGTCTTTAACCACGTCTAACAAAATTATTTTACAATAAAAAAATTAAAACGACAAAGTAATACGTCAGAAAATCATTGGTATATATATATATATACTATAAACCATGTCAACAAAACTCCGATAAATAAAAATATTCATCATAAATATCATATATTTGTTGCAGTAGAGGTTAACTTTGTTTTCATAGCTTCACATAGACATGAGTGGAAAATTACCAGTTGGTCAATTACATTTATCCGTCCATTGTTATGGCAAAATTTAATATATTTATTCCAATTTTTAAATTCCCAAACAAAATAAACACGATACATGGGTTATGAATATATCGTAGTGAAATCAAAATTCATAATGATAAAATATATATATAATTAATTAAGGGGAGGTGAGACCCCTAGGACAAGATACATGGGTTATGAATTATCGTAGTGAATCAAAATTACGGAAGTCTCATCTGAGAACCGAGGACTCTTGAAAAAGGATAATCAAAGCAAAATAGCGAAAAATACACCGATATACATAGTCTCGGTGAATAAGTATTATTTTTAGTTTTAGGTTTAAAATAGATATTCAAATTAAGCCCTTGGAGGTGGGAGAAGCCACTTGGATCCTTCAATGTAGCCGAGGGTAAGGAAACGGTTAGCTTGAGTGGGGTCAATCTTTTGTGTGAATGGAACTCTCTTCTCAGTAAGTGATCCTTCTCCTGAGCACTTGTACTCTCCATAGAACACGGTCCTGTCCAAACAAAATTACTTAAGACCGGACTGATTGAATTATTATCACAACATTTTATGTAATTTTAAGAATGGGACTTACTTGTCATGTTCAGCCACCTTGTTTTCTTGCCATCCGGCTGGGTTGACAACGCTGGTCATCTCGGTGTAGGCGTAGACAACCTTAGGGTGGCTCATCCATGCCCTACCCAAATAGATTCCTTGACCAACTCCAGTCACCTTGCAATGCACGAAAGAGTATCCGGTCTTCTCATCTGCGGTCTTTCCCGCGTGAGCTGTAATCACTCTAATGCCATCTCCCACCACGTGCAATTGTGTACCCTTAATTTGGTAGAGATGTCATCAGACTTTATATATTAAGAATTGCTAAGATGGATGATATTACCATAAGGTGGTATTATTGTACGTACCAAGTAAAGTGAGGTCCCACTTCCGAAGATGAAATCGAATGTTCCTTCGACGTAACAATCCTTGAAGAAATGGTTTCCGGTATCGTCACAAATTGTGTCTTGGAATCCATAGAATTTACAGTTGTAGAAAGCAGCCTTGTTTCCAGAGATTCTCATAGATAATGCTTGTGCTCCCTTCATTTTACCATCCGGTGCTGGCGCTGTATTCTAAAATATTCCAAAAAAAAGAAAAGCAATGTAAGCATTTGTTTGGTTGCAATCTACATTTTGACTAGTACCATTAGCATAAGTTATACAATATAAATGTTAATATACCTTAACGATGATGTTGACAGCCATGAAATAGTCTGATAAGATAATGAGGGAAGCGCTATCAACGGTTCCAAACTGGGCGGCAGTACCGTCGAAAGTAATAACCGGCATGGCTTTGGCATCTCCCATCAATGTAATAAAGGGTTTGTTTCTGTCGATGGTGACCTTCTCTTTGTATTCACCAGGAGCCATATTGATGATCACACGCTTTGTGTTCCCTGCAGGAACGCTCTTTATTGCGTCCGTTAGTGTTTTGAATTCACCTCCCTTTGGATCCACCTGCGTTTTACATTATTTTGAAATTTTGTGATTAGATAGTTATTATTCAAGGTTTGGTTATTGTTTTTGTGGGGGAATATTAGGTTTATTTCATACGGTGATGGTACGTGGCTCAGCCTCAGCAGCTACGAGAGCTGGATCTAAATCTTTACGCGCAGGCAAAGGAGCTACGTTGGCCGTGAACCACTGCTCCACTTGGGCTTTGGCCTCTGGAATAGGTGTCATATCATCTGCGAACACCATCGGTGTAACAAACACCACCACCAGGGCTAATAATATGGACACATTTGTGTATCCCATTGTTTTATTTTTTAATTTTTGTTTTATTAAAAAATTAAAAAGATTTTTTTTTATTTTTTTTATTTGAATGATTTAAAGAGAAGATGGCCATGGGGGTATATATAGTGTTACAGAAATCGGAAAATGTTAAGTGTTTCATTTCGTTTGCTATTATTATATGTGGTTATCTATTTTTATTTCACCCTATATAGTTTCTCTTGACTTTTTCTCTGTGACCTTTTTTTGGAACCTTTTTAACTTTTCGAAGGGTTTAGGCTATTTTTTGAATGTGTTGTTTGTTTATCTTATGTTTTGTTAACTATTGTTACTTATCATCTGTATGAGGCTATTTTGAAATGTGTTTCTATTTTATCTTATGACTGATCCGAAATAAAAAAAATGAGATCAATTCTCTATGTACCGTATTATTTGCTTCTTCATGGGTTTTGAATGCCAAAATTTGATACTACGAAAGATGTAATTACGTGATAATTCTTCTGCGTAACTTATTATAATTTCATATGATATTTAGAAGTCAAAGTCAATATTCTGTGACATATATTCTCTTACAACTAATATGTTTATTAAACCAGTGGGTTGGATAAATATTTAAATGTCCGGCTGATAAATTATGATAAGATATGGATGTTTGATTAAATATAACTTTATATAGCATATGACGATAGATTAATAAATGAAAATTTCACACTTACATATTTTTATGATCATTTATATATTCTTATAATAAAAATTTTAAAATATTAATATTATTATTTTGATGTAAGCGATTTAAGATTTACAGTAATTTATCATCGTTTAAAAAATTAAATTCAAAATTTGTCATTAAAGTATTAAGTTCTCAATACATGTTCAATGCAATTTTGTAATTGAATATTTATGTATTTTAAATGGTATTTAGTTTAATTTAAGCATCACTAAATATATATATATATATATATATACATCTAATTTAAATATCTATTAAATGATATTTCTTACTCATTAATTATATAATTGTTTATATCGTGCTATAAAAAATATTTAACTATTAATCAAAAATATTATATGTGAAATTTTTATTTTTATTAGTTTATAGTCGTTTTTAAAAATTCAAAATATAAAATATATAAAAATCTAATTTTCTTATTATATAGTTAATGTTATTGTCTAATTTATTTTCACAATATAAATTTAACAAAAAGAGTAGAGGTTATACTATTTTTATCAAATCTTTCATATTCAAATCATTAATTTTCGTACATATATAATAAACATATTAGGTAATTCCGTAAATTTAATTTAAGTAAATAATAATTAACATTAATAATAGTTTTATGTTTAGTTTAATAAAAAGTATATTATATGTTTATATGGACTAACATTTTCTCTAATAAATTTGAGAAGCATTCTTTTAATGACACGTGGCTACCAAAACATGTTGTAATGCTTTTCAATTAATATATAAATGATTTTTATGTGGCAATTTTTTTGGTATATATATATATACTAAACCATGTCAACAAAACTCAGATAAAAAATAAAATAAAATATTCATCATAAATATCATATATTTGTTGCAGTAGAGGTTAACTTTGTTTTCATAGCTTCACATAGACATGAGTGGAAAATTACCAGTTGGTCAATTACATTTATGCGTCCATTGTTATGACAAAATTTTATATATTATTCCAATTTTAAATTCCCAAAAAAATAAACAAGATCTTCATAATGATAAAATATATATCTTCTCTATTACTAACAGATAATTACCATTTTATCTACTATAGAATAGTCATACTAGGTCTATATATTCAATTATATTGTTTTGATTATTTACATTAGTTTATTTAATATATAACATTTCTAAATAATTATAAAGATATTAATAACAAATCTATTTTAACTGTAATTTTAAATTTTAGATTATGTAATCTCAAGATTTGTTGAGAAAATATCTAACAAAATCTTTTTAAAAATTTTAATAGTTTTTAATTAATATACTGATTAATTTCGTAATTAGTAGTATAATATTTTTATACGTTAGTATTAATTAAAATTTATTATAAACAAAATATAATATACTATATACTAATTTTATAAATTTTATAAGTATAGTCTATATTATATTAAAATAGAAACAATAAATTAATTACATATAAAATTATATTAATTGGTAAACTAATATATATATTTTAAAAAAAATATTTTAATAAATAAATAAATAAAATATTATTCAACATTTAAGTGACTAAAATATTATTTACCTTTTTAAAAAGTTAAACATTCATAAATTATGTAATAAATTTTACATAAAATAAAATTATTAAATTTTTATATTTAGTAAATGAAAGATTACCCGCACGTCAAAAATTAGTAATTAATTAATTAAGGGGAGGTGAGACCCCTAGGACAAGATACATGGGTTATAAACTATCGTAGTGAAATCAAAATTACGGAAGTCTCATCCGAGAACCGAGGACTCTTGGAAAAAGATAACCAAAGCAAAATAGCGAAAAAATACACCGATATACATAGTCTCGGTGAATAAGTATTGTTTTTAGTTTTAGGTTTAAAATAGATATTCAAATTAAGCCCTCGGAGGTGGGAGAAGCCACTTGGATCCTTCAATGTAGCCGAGGGTAAGGAAACGGTTAGCTTGAGTAGGGTCAATCTTTTGTGTGAATGGAACTCTCTTCTCTGTCAGTGATCCTTCTCCTGAGCACTTGTACTCTCCATAGAACACGGTCCTGTCCCAAAAAAAAAAATACTTAAGACCGGACTGATTGAATTATTATCACAACATTTTATGTAATTTTAAGAATGGGACTTACTTGTCATGTTCAGCCACCTTGTTTTCTTGCCATCCGGCTGGGTTGACAACGCTGGTCATCTCGGTGTAGGCGTAGACAACCTTAGGGTGGCTCATCCATGCCCTACCCAAATAGATTCCTTGACCAACTCCAGTCACCTTGCAATGCACGAAAGAGTATCCGGTCTTCTCATCTGCGGTCTTTCCCGCGTGAGCTGTAATCACTCTAATGCCATCTCCCACCACGTGCAATTGTGTACCCTTAATTTGGTACGTATAAGAGATGTCATCAGACTTTATATATTAAGAATTGCTAAGATGGATGATATTACCATAAGGTGGTATTATTGTACGTACCAAGTAAAGTGAGGTCCCACTTCCGAAGATGAAATCGAATGTACCTTCCACGTAACAATCCTTGAAGAAATGGTTTCCGGTATCGTCACAAATTGTGTCTTGGAATCCGTAGAATTTACAGTTGTAGAAAGCAGCCTTGTTTCCAGAGATTCTCATAGATAAAGCTTGTGCTCCCTTCATTTTACCATCCGGTGCCGGCGCTGTATTCTAAAATATTCCAAAAAAAAATCAATGTAAGCATTTGTTGGTTGCAATCTACATTTTGACTATTAATGTTAATATATAAATGTTAATATACCTTAACGATGATGTTGACAGCCATGAAATAGTCTGATAAGATAATGAGGGAAGCGCTATCAACGGTTCCAAACTGGGCGGCAGTACCATCGAAAGTAATAACCGGCATGGCTTTGGCATCTCCCATCAATGTAATAAAGGGTTTGTTTCTGTCGATGGTGACCTTCTCTTTGTATTCACCAGGAGCCATCTTGATGATCACACGCTTTGTGTTTCCTGCAGGAACGCTCTTTATAGCGTCCGTTAGTGTTTTGAATTCACCTCCCTTTGGATCCACCTGCGTTTTACATTATGTTCAAATTTTGTGATTAGATAGTTATTATTCAAGGTTTGGTTATTGTTTTTGTGGGGGAATATTAGGTTTATTTCATACGGTGATGGTACGTGGCTCAGCCTCAGCAGCTACGAGAGCTGGATCTAAATCTTTACGCGCAGGCAAAGGAGCTACGTTGGCCGTGAACCACTGCTCCACTTGGGCTTTGGCCTCTGGAATAGGTGTCATATCATCTGCGAACACCATCGGTGTAACAAACACCACCACCAGGGCTAATAATATGGACACGTTTGTGTATCCCATTGTTTTATTTTTTAATTTTTTTTTATTAAAAAATTAAAAAGAATTTTTTTTTATTGTTTTATTTGTTTTTGTTTTTTTGAATGATTTAAAGAGAAGATGGCCATGGGGGTATATATAGTGTTAAAGAAATCGGAAAATGCTAAGAGTTTCATTTCGTTTGCTATTATTATATGTGGTTATCCATTTTTATTTCACCCTATAGTTTCTCTTGACTTTTTCTCTGTGACCTTTTTTTGGAACCTATTTACTTTTTCGAAGGTTTTAGGCTATTTTTGAATGTGTTATCATCTGTAAGAGGCTATTTTGAAATGTGTTGCTATTTTATCTTATGATTGATCCCAAATAAAAATTGAGATCATTCTCTATGTACCGTATTATTTGCTTCTTCATGGGTTTTGAATGCCAAAATTTGATACTACCAAAGATGTAAATTACGTGATAATTCTTCTGCGTAACTTATTAATAATTTTACAAGATATTTAAAAGTCAAAGTCAATATTCTGTGACATATATTCTCTTACAACTAATACTAGATCTCAACCCGCACAACCGTGCGGGTTTTCTTTTTATTTATAATTTATAAAAAAATTATTAATAAATAATAATATATTTACTTATAAAATCGTGCAAAATACTAAAATAATAGATGTTAAAGTATCATTTTTAAACACAACAAAACAATATAAATTATCACTAACAAATATTTATCTATAGTGTATCTAAATANTACTAGATCTCAACCCGCACAACCGTGCGGGTTTTCTTTTTATTTATAATTTATAAAAAAATTATTAATAAATAATAATATATTTACTTATAAAATCGTGCAAAATACTAAAATAATAGATGTTAAAGTATCATTTTTAAACACAACAAAACAATATAAATTATCACTAACAAATATTTATCTATAGTGTATCTAAATAAATTTTAAAATGTATTGTATGCAAATTCCAGAAATTAAAACTCTATGTTAAATAAGATTATAATTTAATTATTTTAAATTATAATTTATGTATCAAACTCAAAAATATATTACTTAGTAATAACAATCAATAAGAATATAAATTAAAATATATAAAACAAATTACTATATATTAATAATGAAGAATAAAAAACTTAAACAACTAAATTATAGAGTTATATAATATATAACATTAAATGTAAATCATATATTTAATTTTTTTATAATACTATCAAAGTGTTATATTTAAAAAAAAAATTGTGTGGGTTAAACTCTAATATATAGTTTTTTATTTAGGATTTAGGAATATATAATGCTATCTAGATAAATTTTAATATCTTAAACAAAAACATTTGTATTTCGAATAAAAGATAAATATATGGGATAATATTATGGAAATACAATTTAAAAAGATGTCAAAAAGATTTTGTTGAATTTATTTCATTTGTATTCAAATAGAAAAATAAAGATATTTAAAGATATTATCATTAAATTATGTAACATTTGATAATCTTCATAATCTTCTTAAGGAATAGTCCAATTTTTAAAAAATCACACATGAATCTAGGTTGTGACTTCTCTTTTAATAGAAAAGATNATACAATTTAAAAAGATGTCAAAAAGATTTTGTTGAATTTATTTCATTTGTATTCAAATAGAAAAATAAAGATATTTAAAGATATTATCATTAAATTATGTAACATTTGATAATCTTCATAATCTTCTTAAGGAATAGTCCAATTTTTAAAAAATCACACATGAATCTAGGTTGTGACTTCTCTTTTAATAGAAAAGATGTTTATTAAAACCAGTGGGTTGGATAATTAATTTAAATGTCCGGCTGATGAATTATGATTAGATATCGATGGTTGATTAAATATAACTTTATATAGCATATGACGATAGATAGAAGTTTGAATATGCAGACCATTATAAATAAGTCTCATATTGGACGTGGCCCGGTAGTGCGCGGGAGTTTTGACCAAACTCAAAGAAAACTTCATCAAATAATAGTCCACTTTCATGCTCATCTGAAAATTTCTGAATTAGTAAAGATTCAAAGAAATTGTATTGATTATTGAATAACACCGGCTAAAAGTTAGTGTATGCTTTTGGTATTCCGTATTATTAAATTAAATTTAATAATAAATAATTTTAATATTGAATATATAATTTAAAAGTTTGTTTCTACAAACCTCTCTGTTCTTTCATTTCATCTTCTTTCCGGTGCACAAAGCTCTGAAGAAAGTCTTGAGTTGATCAAAAGTGAAATGCAAAAGCTAGGGTTCGAAGACGCGAGACACTACTACTACCCAAGCGGCACGGAGAAGCCGTACAGAGGACAGTCTTCGGCAACTATCAAGAACACGGCGTCAACGAGCAGATATCACGAGAAAGATCAACCATACGTCGAGATCTCGCTAGACATACACGAAGACTACGTCTCCGTGTACGGCTTAAAGTCACCGGACCATACAGGTGCCGGTGAGGAGCCAGGTAAATCGCTTCTTAGACAAGAAGGTCCTTCAGGGAGGAGCAGCAACAACTCTGGTCTAAAACGTATAGCGTCTTCTGTTTCAACCAAACTAAAACGAGTTGCTTCCTCCGTCTCTTCATCATCGGCGGCTAGAAAGCCGCCACGTCCGCCGTTGGCTAATAAGTTTAGGCGTTCGAAGTCTAGAGCAGAGCAAGCACTCAAGGGTCTCAAGTTTATTACCAAGACTGATGGTGTCGCTGGTTGGCCTGGAGTTGAGAAACGGTTCCATGAGATTACAGAGAAGAGCAACGGGTTATTGCACCGTTCAAGATTCGGTGAATGTATAGGGATTAATTCAAGGGACTTTGCGTTGGCATTGTTTGATGCTTTGAGAAGGAGGGAAAATGTAAGTGGAGATTCTATAAACAAGAAGCTGCTTCAGGAGTTTTGGAAGCAGATCACTGATCAGGATTTTGATTCCAGGCTACGAATTTTCTTTGCCATGTAATGATTTTCTTGAAACCATTCCTTTTATATTTCCGTTGTGAAGGTAGCTGAAGTGTGGTTTGACTTGCAGGGTGGATAGAGATGCAGATGGGAAGTTAAATGAAGAAGAAGTAAAAGAGGTAGAATCTTGATTTTCTTATAGTGATGTACGTTGAAATTTTATAGTAGTTTTTGTTCTCCTCTTCATGTATAGATTATAACTCTAAGTGCTTCTGCAAACGAACTGGAGAATATTCGGAGACAAGCTGATGAATATGCTGCTTTGATTATGGAAACACTAGATCCTTATCATTATGGATACATCATGGTATGTGAAGTTTTGTGAATAAGGTTCGTTTTATTTCTCTTATTTAGTTGGAAGAGTATGGTTTGTGAGTGGTTTTTGATGTGTTTGGAGCACTTTCTACACTGGAAAACAGATAGAGAATCTTGAGGTGTTGCTGCTGCAAGCGCCTATAGAGGAGAGAAGAGATGGGGACACTAAGAATCTGAGCAAGATGCTAAGTCAGAATCTGAGAATATCACAAAGTAGGAATCTCGGGGAGCGTGTTTACAGAGGGGTCAAGTATCTTGTGTTGGATAATTGGAAGAGAGTATGGGTGTTGGCTCTATGGATAGGTGTTATGGCCGGGCTGTTCACGTGGAAGTTCATACAGTATAAGAAGAGATCCGCTTACCAAGTTATGGGAGTTTGTGTCTGTACAGCTAAAGGAGCTGCAGAGACACTTAAACTAAACATGGCTTTGGTTTTATTACCGGTTTGTAGGAACACCATCACTTGGCTCCGGACCAGAACCATGTTAGGTTCTGTTGTTCCCTTTGATGACAGTCTCAACTTTCACAAGGTAATAAATTTTTAAAAAAACGGTTTTAGATTATCTATAATATTAAAAGGTTATGATTGAATCTTTACACAGGTTATAGCAATAGGAATTTCAGTTGGAGTTGTAATCCATGCCACATCTCACTTAGCCTGCGATTTCCCCCGGCTGATTGCTGCAAATGAAGAGACGTATAAGCCAATGGAGAAGTATTTTGGGGTACAGACAAAGAGATATATGGACTTTGTGCAGTCTGTGGAAGGAGTTACAGGGATTGCAATGGTTATACTAATGACTATAGCCTTCACATTGGCTACACCATGGTTCAGACGCAATAAGCTCAAGCTTCCTGGACCACTGAAGAAGATAACTGGCTTCAACGCCTTCTGGTACTCTCACCACTTGTTTGTTATCGTCTACTCGCTGCTCATTGTTCACGGATACTATGTTTACCTAATCAAGGAATGGTCCAAGAAAACGGTTAGTAACTTAGACTCAGTACAAAGTTGTAACTGGATGTAATGTGGGCCCTGATTTTGGTTTTCATGTGATTTATCAGACATGGATGTATTTGATGGTGCCAGTGGTTCTTTACTTGTCTGAAAGGTTGGTTCGTGCGTTCAGGTCAGGCATCGAGGCTGTTTCGATACTAAAGGTAGAATCTACTAAAAACACTTCTCTACTAAAATATACATATTCATCTCTGTTACTTACCTTTAGTTCTTCAACAGGTTGCTGTGTTACCAGGGAATGTCTTGTCACTTCAAATGTCAAGACCAAGCAACTTCAGATACAAAAGCGGACAATACATGTACCTCAACTGTTCTGAAGTTTCTTCATTAGAATGGTAATAAGAAAAATTAATCATATAATTATCTGAAGACATTTATATATGGAAGAAAACTGAAAAGTGGTTTGCATATAAACAGGCATCCATTCTCAATTACCTCGGCTCCAGGAGATGAGTACCTCAGTGTCCACATCAGGGTTCTAGGAGACTGGACTAAGCAATTAAGAAAAGTATTCTCTGAGGTACTTTACTCAGTTTCTCCACTGAACATAAACACAAGAGATCCGTTAGTCCAAACGTATATAATTTACTTCGTATGTATATGATCCTCAGGTGTGTAAGCCACGCCTTCCTGAAGGAAATACACCGAACAGAGCTGACCCGAGGCTCCTGAATAACATCCCTAAGTAAGTCTTGTCAGTAGCTATGATCTCGTAATGAAACTAAACTGCTTTAACTTTGAAACTGTGATCCCATAGCTTTCCAAGAATCCTAATCGATGGCCCGTATGGAGCACCAGCACAAGACTACAAGAATTTCGAAGTGGTTCTACTCGTGGGTCTAGGAATCGGAGCAACTCCAATGATAAGCATTGTCAAGGACATTATCAATAACATAAAAGGCAACGGAGATGAAGAAGAAGGACGAAACAGTAACCAAAGACAGTCACCGATTCGCAACATGGTCACACCTCCGCATTCCCCAGCGAGAAGAAGTGAGACGTTCAGAACCAAGAGAGCTTACTTCTACTGGGTCACTAGAGAGCAAGGATCTTTTGACTGGTTCAAGAACGTGATGGACGAAGTGGCGTTGACAGACCGCAATAAGGTCATTGAGCTGCATAATTACTGCACCAGCGTCTACGAGGAAGGAGACGCGAGGTCCGCACTGATCACTATGCTCCAGTCGCTGAACCACGCCAAGCACGGAGTGGACGTTGTGTCAGGGACACGTGTCATGTCCCATTTCGCTAAGCCAAACTGGAGAAGCGTTTACAAAAGGATCGCTGTGAAGCATCCCAAGACTAGAGTTGGTGAGTTTCTTAAAACCACAGTCATCCACTAATGCATATGAACTGAGTACAAAAAAATATGAATGTGTTTGATATGTTTTGACAGGAGTATTTTATTGCGGAGCGCCTGGATTAGTGAAAGAGCTCAGACACTTTGCGCTGGATTTCTCTCATAATACTTCCACCAAGTTCTATTTCCATAAAGAAAATTTCTAAAAATAACATTTGGAGATAAATATAGTTTACTAAGAGCCTTGAAAAAAGCTTATTGAGTTATTGCCTTAATGGTTGAAGAACTTTGTATAGAAATTGTAGATATACTGTGATTTAATACAGTTTTGGTTCTTGTACAAACAAATCATGTTTGTATCATTAAACGCAGATGCAGAACATTATAACCTTTTCTCCGAACGTGAAGTCTCTTCGAGATGAGATATTGACTTTGTTCCTCCTCTCCTATACGCTGTCTCAACGCAAAAACAAAATGTATTAACACTCTTTTGTTTAACTTTCACAATCATTTGTACCGAATTCTCAAGAAGAGTAGAGAATAAGCAGAGGCTTACCATGAAAGCTCACTTATTCTTTCGTTTCAGCCTCTGGAAGCTGGGTTTCATGAGCTGGCTTGATGGAATAGTTTGGTGGTTAGAAACCTGACTTGTCTGAAAAGGAATCAGAGGCTTCTTCTGAGACAAGACTGAGACATCCGGTGAGGTTTGGCTAGCTGTGGCTACTACGTTTGGTGATCCAACTTTCCCTCTCATCTTTCTTGGAGCTTCAAGTCTTTCCAGTATCATGGACGTTTTCATATCGGCCTGTTTGTTGTTAGGCGACAGAAAGGGGCGGTTTGTATTTGGTTTGGGTGTAGTCAAAACCGGAGAAGAAGACTTCATGTGAACCTCAGTGACTACTAGTTGTTCCCATTCTTTAGTAATGGAAGCTGTTGCTTTGTCTTCTTCATCAGTAATCTGTATTACCTGACGTGTTTCTTCTTCTATGGGTGGATTTATTATGCATGGGAACGTCTGTGCGATCGGAACTACAGGGTCTGAAACAACTGAATTCTCTTCGCATGTTGCCTCGTCCAAGCTTGAATGTAGTGAACTGCCACAAACAGCAAAACTTAAGAGACATGTAGTAACAGGTTTTCAGGGAGGTTAACTTAGTGCTGAAGATGAGAATAAAGGAGGAGAACAATCACCCAAATTGAAGACTTTCTTTCACAATGAGGTTCATTTTTTGGTGGAAGCCTCTGTTGTGACTCAGAGGATTGTAGTCTGTTGATTCAATCTGCTTAAGTAGCAGGAAGAAAATAATAGTTAGGATTTGTACAACTATATATGACTATCAACAGATTGTAATGAAAGCGACCTCTAACAAAGCGCCTTTGACAGAAATCTCAATTTCTCTAGGAATAGAGGATCCAGTAAACTGGCTGATACTGGAGGAAATAGGAAGAACTTCCTCTGACCCTGCCAATCTCTGCAAACAGTTTTTTTTTTGTTAAACTAAGAAAGTATACAAATTCAGGTCATAACACAAGTTTATTATATCATAAGAAGAATACTATTCAGAATTCCACTGTTATTTTGTCAAGGAAGAGAGTCAAGTCAAGGTAATGAATGTTTACCCTCAGAAGCATTGGACCGTTTTCTGACGGTTGAAGAATGTAATAACAATGAAATTCCACGACTTTCCTTGTGTCTAGATTACAGTCTGAAGAACAAACCAAGCCTTGGTCCATTGAATATAGTGCACCACATAGACCCTGAAAAACTGCATTCTAGCTGCTTAAGAAATATATAAGACAATACTGCAATGTGGGTTTCTTTAGGGAAACAATCTGCTTACTCTGAGTGTTCAGATCTGGTTGATCCATTTCTTCTGAAGAGTCTTCCGTTTCAGGACAAGTTGAAGGGCTTACAATATAAGGCCTTCCAATTATTATGCCTACGTCAGAGTATACTTGAATCAACTTCTCTATTTTGGAGGAGGCAAACGAACCCAAAAGATGAGACCGAACTGAAAAGAATATAACTTCGAGTAGCTAAAAAGTGTTACCTTCATTGATAGAAGTCAGATTAGTCCTCTCAATGACATTGAAATCAATCTGAGAAGAGATTGGGTGAACTTTCTGGAGGCTATCGATTGAAGGCAAGAATAGAACAGTTCTCTCGCCAACTTTCACAGAACTTTCAATAACATCATACTTTCCAAGATCATGATTGGTTACAGAGCATTGCAGCTTATCTGATGAGACTCCCAGTGAATCTCGTACTGGGATTCCGTGACACCTGCATGTCTGTAAAAAGCAACAAAGAGGATGAAAACTGTAGTGAACAAAGCATCAAGCTGAAGTTATACAATATGAACATATCCAATATCCGCCTAAGAATGCTAAGTGCAAGCTTATTGAGAGATAAATATTCAAAGTTAGGGAAATGGCTCAGTTGGCTCAGTACTTGACAAGGGGTAAATCCGTCGACAATCTGATTTGTAGCTGCAGTGAAATTGCAAAAGATCTTGTTCACTGAGCCAACAAGGTTACGTTTGAAGATAAATTGGGCCTGCAGTGATTCTCCAGTGTCGTCCTTTAGATCCTGAAGCCATTTATTTTCAAGGCCACGTAGTGATTTTCCATCTGAAATTCATAGAATGGATCAGTAGTCTATCTCCGGAAATGTTTACGAACTCTCCTTGCTTTCCCTCATGATTACAGATAACAGATTTAAATGATTAAAGGAAAACGACTCCAAAGAGCAACAGAAATTTGATAAATATAGTCACTGTTCTTGTAAAAAAAAGTAAATGAGCAGCAGCCAGTTATTTGGAACCTACCAGGGATGCAGGTCTGAAATGAACAATTGTCAAGATCCGAGAGACATCTGAGGAATCTATTAGTCTTCTCCTGCGTATAGCTCAGATGACTTGCTATCTTCTCAAGCAAAAGAAACTCAACTGATACACATTTATCTGCTGCAGTCTGAAGAATAAAAAAGACATACAACTGAGTAAACAAGTTAAATAAAGCCGTAACAAATACAGTATTTGGCTAACCATAAGAGTGTTTCTCGCTTCAGAATCCATATCTTCAGGAAAGCATGAACTCATAACAATAACTTTCCTCATGATATCTCTACCTCCCCATGAGTACATAGCTCGATCACACAGAACACTCGATAGCTTAAGATCTATGAACAATTCATCACTATGACTATCAGGAAGCTATACAGTAAATCCATAACTAAAGATTGGAAGATAAGAGACACCTCTGCAAGATATGCCTCCCGATTCATCAATCTCCGGTAAAAACGCATCTAAAGGCAAGCTGTTAACAGCGTGATGAAAGTCTCGAAGACAGAAGTTTCCACTTGGAGTGTACGCAAATTTCAACTGCTAAGATCCATCGAAACGTAAACAAACCACACACAATCACCGAAACTCAACGATAGATGAGGACGATTAGTTTAATTAACCTGATCGTTTCCAGATATCCGATCCTTCAGGATATAACACAAACCAATCCGATCAGCGAGAGAATCTACCGGAGACGAAATAGCGTGTAGATTGGCGAGATTCAGAAATGACTACAAAAAAATTCGCAGCGGAAATCAAATTTATAAAGCAACAATCGATTACGAGTTTCATGAACGAAGACGAGAATCGAATTCGATCAAACAGATAAGATTTGAGCGATCTACTAACAGAGATTCTACTGACAAGGGAACGAATGATAGCGATAGAGATACCTGCTTTAGATCTCCAATCAGAGACGGAGGGATGTTACGAAGATCCAAGACGAAGCATACTAACACCATTCTCAGTCAATCTTCGTCTTCTTCTTCCACCAACGATCGATTCGCGCGAGAGTGAAATTTGAAAACTGAGAAAGAAGAAGCAGAGTGATTAAATGGAATTTTACATTCCAGTCCCTATACTTCTAGTAACATTCGGGATTGCACTAAAATAATAATATTTTACCAATTAGACATAATTATTTCTCTTTTGATCCTAAACTTTATTCGTTGTGGTATTATTTTTCACAAATAGCAATGAACGGCAATTCCAGAGTTGAAAACTTACAAATATATGAATTGAAGATAAAAAGAGTAGCACTAATGTAAAAACTTACAATATATGAACTGAAGATAACAGAGTAGTACTGATGTATGTATTACTCTTTAGATAACCAAGAATATTCGAGGGAGACATGGTATAAATCCCAAAAATGAATCAGCCAACCCAAATGTAATATATATATAAATAAAGAACCTTTTAAATTCTAATTCCCTTCATTCAATGCCGTGTATGTATACTCTTCAGTTTTCTGTAGACTCATCTACACTCTGAAGAATATCACGAACGAAGTTGATGAAAGAACAGAGCCCACCCAAGAAGTTATGGTCGATGACGCCATTACCATCATGAACATGAGCGAAATCCACCAGTTTCACTTGTGCTCTAGCACCATTATCATTGATAGCTTCATTCTCGTAGATTATGAGAATCGAACACGAGTTGAAATGGTAGAAAGTCTGGTTCTCAAACCAGGTCTTGAGCTCCAGCAACTGTGTTAAGATCCCGTTGGAACCTCCGTAAACGCTTGAGGCAAAAGCAGAGTCAGGTTTTGAGCTGGTGTCAGAGAGTGTGTTGGAAGAAACAAACTTCCGAAGAGCCACCCTCACCCCATCGACTTTGATCCCGTTCAGAAGCTTCCTGTCTGGCTTCCAGAAACTCAGTTCTCTGTGGTCAAACACCTCGAAGCCAGAGATCCTGAAACCAGAGGAGACAGTGGTGCTCCTTGCGTCTTTCCTTAGACATTTTTGGATGTATTCTTCTGATGCTTCAGGGTACCATGTTCTTGAACCCATCTTGACATCCATCACTGATGGCTTAGAGTATTTGGAGAGAAGATTCTCCAGCACAATCATGGTTGCTCCATCAGAGCCTTCAACAGCTTGAGTGCCGTGATACACTGGGAAGTATCTACGTATGTGATCTGGAACCTCTGTGTTTGAGGAGAAAGATTCGTAGAATTTCACCTCTATTTCGCCACGAGAATCTCCCTGGAGCGGCTTGAAGAACCGACCTTTGTCGTCGACGAGGGGACCAGGCTTCCCGTCTTTGGCAATGTGTCCTGCAACCTGATGTTCAGGGGCCTTGAGATGCATCTTGTCAAGAGTAGGATAAACCTGAAAGAAGAAGAATTCAAATCATTAGAAACATCATAATGAGATAACTTCAGTTTTCAATGAGATTACAAAGTTCAGAATGAGGCAAGCACACAGAGGGATAATAATACTAAAAAGGAATCACCTTTCTGAAGATATCAAGTGATCTGAAACCAATAACAAGAACAGTTCATGAACTTAGGAAAAGTTACAGCTTTGCAAATCAGTCACAATCTTTCAAACTTAGCAATAAATCATAGCTAATAAAGGTTACTGGGTTAAAAGAACAACCATCACACACACATAGATGAGAATCCACCACCACATCATACTATACTTGCAGAACAGAATATTCTAACTTTACCAATGGAAGATTCTGAATCAATACAACGTGTCCCATCCCAAAAAAAATCAGATTAGGGTTCTTCAATGATCATTGCATTTAATTAAACCGAGAAAATACATCATCGCTTGAGTAACAAGAGAAAAAAAAAGTTAAGGAAACAAAATAACCCCTTAAATAATAAAATTCCGCGAATCCAGCTATCAATTTTTATTTTTTTTTTAAACATCATCCAGCTATCAATTAAAAAAAGTTGCTTTTCGTGGGATCTATTGCTAAAAATGCAGAAAAGGCTAAGAACTTTTCGCAAAAAAAAGTAAGATCCCAACGCAAACTTTATAGATTTAAGTAAAACAGTAATGAAAGAACGTTTGTGGTTAAACTAAGTAAGGATTTACCGAAACAAAAGTTAGAAGAAACAAATCGTGACGGAGGGAGAAACGATGAGGAGGACGATAACAAGGATTACGATTCGCAGATGAGAGAGAGCCCGTCGCTGTTTCGTTTCTTTTTTTTTTTGAGGCACCGAAGCGATCTTAGCTGGATAAATATATATACATAAATATAATAATGAAAATTAATTGCTATTGGCTTTTTTAATTTATTTTATTTAATAAGTTGGATGAAGAGGACGAAAACTCAACACGGTTGGTGTTTATCTACGACATGTGTTCACCTTTAAAGAATGGGAAAATGAATAAACAATAGGAAAAGGAAAAGAGAATATCACAAATATAATGACATTTCAGTTCAGACAAGATATTTAAAATTTACACATCTTTTCTATGATTATCACCTAATTAATTAAGCAGATGTTTGCACATATCATATATTTATACAGATTTGGTTTTTTAATTGCAGTGGATTGTTAGACACAAAAATATATACTGTGTGAGCGGTTACGTTACTTTAAGTAAACCTTGCCTTAAACGATATAAATAACAAGATAACCGTAGTTCGAAAATTAAAGGTTAGGTTAGACGCGTTTCAACTAATATCAACTCGTTTTGACTAGGTTTGGATATTCGGGATCTCAATCAGATTTCGGTGTTATCCAATCGGATCTCAATTTTTCGGATTTATCAAAATTAGCCTCATTCAGACTATTTGAAAGTTTGATTTGAGATCGGTTCGGGTTCTATGGATCCGGGTCGGAATTAAGAAATCTTTAAAGAACCGGTAGAACTCGTTATACTTTCGGATTCGAGTCCCAATTAATACTTTGGTTTAAAAATACATGATTTGTACTTATTTTGTAATCAAAACAAAAATAAAATCAGTTCTTCGGATTTAAAGTACATGATGTGTAACTATTTTGTAGTCAAAACATAAGTGAAACTAATTTAAAAATAAGAAAGGAATATCCAATGTAATCATTCAAAATTAAATGAAAGATAAACATAGTTATTAATAGAAAGAAGATCAATAAATAAAAGCATAAAACGAAAACCAAGTTCTTAAAAAATGAGAAATATTATTCAATAAAAATAAAATTTTACTCTAAAAATTTCAAATTTCAACCGCTACTTTCAACCATCAACTTCATCTAATAGATAATTATTTTCAATGTTTAGTAATATCTTAAAGTATTTTTGATATATATTAGGAATTAAGATCATATTTCGTATACATTTTTATTAAAAAGTTTGAATGTTTCGGATTCTATCGAATATCTATTTAATTTTGGGTTCGGTTCAGATAATACCCATAATCCAAAATACTATAAAACAAGATTTATTTGGTATTTAAATCGAATTCGGATTAGTTCAGATTTTTTTTTATTAGATCGGATTCGATTCAGATTCTCGGGTTAAGTTTATTGTCCACCCCTAGTTTTAACCTTTCTCAACACGTCTATACTGTATGATTCACTTCTGCTACGTTATTTCTCTTCTTAGAGACAAAAACAAAAGGTCGTAAAAGGAAACACAATCTCTTTAATATCGAGTGTTTTAATGAGAATTCAAAGCAATCATTAAATTTAGGAAAACAATATTGGCAAGAGGAAAAAAAAGGGGGCAAACCACATGTGGCGGAGATGTCGATAAAGCCAAAATTATTGAACTTGACAGAGAAAAACATGCCAAGCATTGGAAATTTATGAAAGTGTGGACAAAACCATAAACAAACTGGTTTAGCCGACTATATAGATTTAATCACCGACGAACTAATGCTTACTAATGTAAACGTAGCCCTTAATTATGCTTGGGCTTGATTAATGTACGTTTTAGCATAGATTGTCAAACTAACTGAAAGAATCTTAAGTCTCATCAGCTTCATTTTATCTTCCAAGAATAAGCTACAAAAAGAAAAGATGCAACTCTATCCACTGTGTGTTTGTGGGTGGACCAGTGTATTGATCGAACATATACATACGCCTAACATTCTCCTGATACTCCATAAGATATTTAACTTTACTCAATAGTTTAGAAATTAAAAAAAAAAAATTGTGTTTATTTTCTCAACTATATTGTGTAGATGACAACAAACAATCGTATACACTACTCTGA